GTAGCAGCCACCGCAACACCACCGAGGCAGCCGCGACCGGCGGCCAAGCAGCATCAGCGTAACGCTCCAGCAACAGCAACAACGGTAGCGCCCCGACGGCGTTTGCAGCCCTACATATCGACGAGCATCGGCCACACTTATTTTGTAAGCTTGTTCAATAGTTATTAGTTTTCTTGTAATAAAGTCTTGTGTGTAAATCTCACTTGAGCGTTATACACTTTATTTCATGATCCTTCCCCACTCAGACACAACAGAAAGTAATATTTAATATTCAAATAATAAAGTTATTACCCCGTATAAAAGGGGTATATAACACTTGGTACCCAAGCTAAATCTATTCAGCACACCAAAAAACCTATAAAGAGCTTCGGTTACCTCATGGACTTGAAAATGCGTACTCGACCCATAGCTCGCGCCCGGACTAAAAGTATCAGAACAAAGATTACAACTCCAACTACCATTAGACATTAGTGAGCATCGCATTTTTTAGCATAGTTGAAAGTTCTTTAAAGGAACACATAAACCTAAAATTGAAATTTGTTTAATAGCTTTTTAAGTAGGATTTTCCCTTCCCTTTTTATTGCATTATTCGAAACTCCAAAATGTGTATTTTACACTGAGTTACAGCTTAATACGAGAGAGTTTTTCGTATCCTTTACGTATTAAATTTTTTCTTTTGCGTTTTCTGGAAAGTTATGTTTTTGGTCATCTGTCGTAATTTTAATACATAATATGAGTTTTCTTACTTAAAATGATGGCATTATTAAAAAAAAAAAAAAATTGAAAAACATTTTTTTAAATTTCTTTATTTGAATAATATAAATGTTTGCAACTTAAAATAATACTGATCATAATAGCTACATTTAATATTTTTATTGCCATCACGAACTTTGTCTTTGATCTGCCAAGCAAATATGATATAAATCCTTCTTCTTCAGTTCTTCAAGGACCATATCGCAGCAAAGAAGCGGCAATCGGTAGTGTATAAGTTTCATGAAAGGTTCTATTGTCCAGTCCAGGAAAAATCTTCTCGACATCACCTCGCACAGATGCAACTGACAAGCCTCGCGATATTTAACGGGGAATTTCAATTTATTCGTCCGCGCGATCTCGAAATAATCGTTATACGTGAGTCGCCTCGCCGCCTCTTGGGGTCGCAACTTGATAAGGTCGTAGAGCGACAGACTCGGAGTTATCATCTTATTTTTGGCTCTGCTCGCGAACTTCTCCTCCTCGTACCAAAATTCGTCAACGACCGCTGACGTCTCCAACACCTTCTCCAGAAAGAATTTCATGATCTTATGAGCGTCGGTTCGGTTCAATTCGTATCCTCTTTTCTCGAGACGTTCGATCGTGATCATAGCACTAGATGCGAGTCTCAATTTAAAATTTTGCCGGTTTTCCTGATACTGCGGATTCAATGTCTCGGCGAGGTCATCCGGAAAAATGAAGGTAGACAAATCGGCGCCGTTATCCAAGAGTACGTCGACTACATCCGGCTTGAGACTCGACACAGCGAATTGCAGCGGCGTCCGGCCCTCGTTGTCTCGGGCGTCGACCAGAACCAGCTGATTGACTTCAGCGTTGATCTCGAAGAAGGGCTTCAGCAATTTACCGTCGAAAGTTTCCCGACAAATGATATGAAGAGGTGTAAATCCATTCTCTTTGGGCAAATTTGGATCTGCGCCGTTTCTCAGCAGCAATTCGACCAATTCGCGTTTTCCCTCGAACAGAGCCAAGTGCAACGGTGTACGACCCTCATCGTCCCGGGCGTTGACCTGGACAATCCGACCAACTTCGTTGCATACTTCGAATAGCAACTTTGCCAAGTCACACGAACGTTCATAATCCTCGAAATAATCATAAAAGCAAATGATATGAAGAGGAGTCGATCCATTCTTGTTAGCAATGTTCGGATCGGCGCCATTTCTAAGCAACGATTCGGTCACCCCCTTGAGGTTGTGGGTCACAGCCAAGTGTAACGGCAAGTCATCTGATTTTCCCCCCGTCGAATTGGGATCTTGCCCAAGCGCGATGAATTTCTCGACGGCTTCGACGCAGCCACACGCGCAGGCCACATGAAAATGGGACCTACCGAACTGATCGTCGATGTAATTCAAGTCAAATCTGTTGTAGATATCAAAAAGACGGGCCATGATATTGGCTTTGGCCCAGTATGCGCGATGCACGACTGTGGTACGACGCAACACCGGCTTTCCGTCTGCGTCCACTTTGGGCTCGTCCCTGTAGCCGGTGCGAGCCACGAAGTCGATGAAATTGACCGTACGATAGTGATACGCGGAACGGTAGAGAAGTTCTTCGATTTCATCGGGTTGAAAAATGTCCCGGAGGTTTGGAAGCGAGCCCTCCCAATTGTTGATCACGGGAAGAATTTGATTGAGAAGTTTGTATCCCTTTTTTTCAATGCTGCCGTTGAAATTTTTTCGCAGCAATTTCAATTGCTTCAAACAGTTTTGGTCGTCTTGGGCCATTGTTCACTGCACTGATCACACACGACGCACAAAAGTTTATAGTTTTAAATAATTAATTTTTGTTCACTTTTAATCACTTGTTGTCTAGTGGATGGGATCTTGCTCTGCTGCTTACACTGCGGAGTCGTGGCGTGTACTGAGACGAAACATGTGCTACGGTATCTATTTTATATAGAGTCTAAAAAGAACATGTGCTCGAGCTTCGTTTCATTTGATGTAAAGCAAGTCGCGTCAAGTTTGGACATGCACATGATCGAAAAAGAGAAAGCTGAGATACAAGCTACGCTACAGACCAATTTCGGATCTGGTGTGCATCGACCGCATAACTAAAAAACTGTAATCGATGTGAAAAATTTCATGAAAAAACAAAAGGATCATTTCGGACGTATCTATGTTTATTTAAAAATACCAAAGTTATTTTCCAATTTTTTAACGATTTTCAATCTTTACGATAAGTATCGGGGGAAAAAAAATAAAAACATTTCGATTTAGAATTTCCCAAGGAACTCAACGATATATTTCATTTTGCAAAAAAATAATTGTTTGGTAATAGCAATTTTTTGATAATTTAATTTAAAAAAAATGTATTGACATCAATGGATTGTACTGGGCTAATTATTTTTTTAAGGTACTTACAAATATCTATAGATTATCTTTTTTCTATTCAAATACAATTTTATATGGCAGTGGAGTTTTAAATTATTTACTAGATCTAGAAAAAGCGACAATTATTGAAAATCGACCGAAATTGGGAAACAGTTTGTTTGCGATTGTAGACGATGGCCAAGCCCTTGAAAAGCTCCAAACCGTAATCTAGTGATCCAATAATGTGAAGCAAGAGATTTTTCAATTTGAGAAATATATGGCACCATATACATTTTCTATTCTAAGAGTACCTTTACTGGGTCAAAAAATTAAAAATTAATTAATTAAACAAAAACATTGTTTTTTGTTTACTTTGACGTGAAAAATCATGATTTTGTGAAGCGTAAGCCATATAAATAATTATACCATTGAATTCAGCATTATTTGATCAAAAAATGTTGGAAGAACCTCCTTAAAAACATTTTTTCGATCACTCAAGCAGCCGGCCCCACGCAGATTCACGTTCAGCATCGACTTTTACATAGAAATTCCATGAAATAATTGACGCAACTCTTAATCGGACTTCTCAAGTTTTAGTTCTCTTATAGACAGAATTGCCAAAAATTAATATTATTAGTAACTGATATGTAAGTAATCCAATTAATACATTGTTTTTAACATTTGATTTTTTACTGCGTTAGAATCTGTATTAAAAAAAGGTTGTTGTCAAGCTTGTTATCATGCTGCAGCTCAAAATTGTATTGAAAGTAAATTATAACAAGCAAGAATTTTTTTTTGTATATCACATTCCAACTTGTACAGCTTTGCAGCACCAACTTTCGCCCAGAATTGAAAAAAAAACTGAGGCGTTAAGTTTCATGTATTATCGTTTTGCGACGTTTGGGAAACATTATTCAGCGACAATTATGTAATTCAATAAATAATTGGATTAATCTATTCAACAATAATACATGAGTTGAAATATTTAGTTTACATATTTCTAAGTGAAAGCCATACTCTAACTAAATTCTATACTAAAGCCTTACTCTATACTAAATTCTTGACAGATCGTATGATATTTTGCTCCTTAGAGGACTGAGTTAATAGTAATCTAACTGTGACACAAACTGGAATAAAAGCTCTAAACATTTCTAACTTTGGCAGACTTCTAGCTTTAGAATTTTTTTTGTTTTTGATGTACATTCACAAATGTATTGAGTAATTGGGACTGTAAAAAAATGTAAAAACATTCATCTTGATCCACAGTAATTTGATTAAAATAAATGAGACAAGAGATTTTCAATTGACTTAACGGAGAACTTTTTTTTCATTTTAACAAGTGTCAATTAATAAAATTATATTTCTGCTTTTATACAATAGACTATTTTTGAAAGAAACCTACAGAATTTCAACCATATAAATAAACAAATTTATTCACATATATAATTAAAGACTTTCACTTTCATGTAAATACATCAGTATTAGTTATGACTGAGGGTGAATCAATAATGAACTCAATAAAATATTCAATCAATAACAAATTTTTATTGATAATTTACTTAAACATATGATTCTGGGAACTCGAATGTTACATTACGGCCTGTGAGTTTCTTATAAGCAGCAGCAAAAGTATCAACCTATAAAAAATAAATATTTATTATGAGGATGAGTAAAAAAAATCAAAGCACTTTTCAATTATGAATTGAATAACTGATCATACCTTATGGTCAATATTGGTTTGTTCATTTTTATCCAAATGAACTTTGATGAGCTGTGAGCCATCAAGCTTTACACGTGTCCTCTTGCCAACAATCTCTACTGGGTAAACTAGGTCTTCCAACAGAGCATCATATACTGCTGTCAGGGTACGACTGCAAAAAGTAAAAATAGTTAATAAGCTGCAGAATGAATAATATTCAATAGGAATAAAATAAATGAAAAAATATCTTTCGATTTTAATATGCCATTTTAAATTTAAGAAAGGTACTGCATTAATAAATAGAAAGACTTACTTTCTTGGGCGTTTTTGCTTGTTTGCACTGCGCGTCTTCCTAGTTTGCTTTGGTAAAATGCGTCTGTCTCCAAGAAACATAACATGTCTGTTGTTAAATTTCTTTTCCAACTCACGAACCAGCCTAGTTTGAATTTTTTGTACTTGTTTCAGCTTGGGAACTGGTACATAGATGATTATGCACTATAAGATAATGAAATAATTTGCAAGAATTAATAAAGCTCAATAACTTAATTGATACTAAATAATAAAAATTATAAATATTCACTTTTTTGGTTCCAAGCTCAAGTTCTCTAGCCTTCGTGATGTAGATTTCACGTAGTTGATGTTTCAAATCAGAGTTGGCTTCCAATTCCACAAGAGCTTGAGAAACACTCTTCTCAAACTCATCGGGTTCAGCACCGCCGCTCTTGATGATTTTTGTATTTGTTGCAAGCATCTAAAAATATGCAACAAGTAAGTAAAATTGTCAAACAAGTATATGTCATTTTGAGTTAAGCAGAATATTTTAAGCAGTCTTCACTTCAGTTTGGCAGTGGAGGTTAGGATATAGAATAACATTTTTAAACTCATTGTAAACATTTTAATGGATAATTGTAAGTTTCAACAAAACACAGAACCAAACTTTGAAACTTATTTTGCACTGTAAAATTCAAATAATTGATAACAAGTAATAAACATTTGCTAGGTATGGGTTAGGAAGCACGTGGTGTCGTCGGCTAAAACATAATGAAGTACACAAAACAGTAATCCTTGGCACAATTTCCAATTTCGTTGCGTAATGCAATAAAGAGATATTTTGCAAATTTTCGCACCACTTCCATGTTAAATTTATTTAATAAAAGTTTCATTATCGTATTACCTTTGATGTTTGTTTGAAAGAGAAGCAAGAAAAGAATTTCGGGTAACGCGAGATTACCGAAGTTCAAGTTGTGACAGTATGACCGCTCAGTAACGTGTGGCGCGCGTAAGCGTAGAGAATTCGATTAAAAAAAAATAATTTCTAAAATTAAATGTTGCTGACTAGGAAATGATGGAAAAGTATCTAAAAATCAAATCATCACACCTGCTGCTTTGAGGTTCTTGAGTTGCTATAATGCATGTTAGCAATAAGAGTGACAGAGTCATAGTGAAATTTCACGATTTTCCAAACAAAACAAAACAAATTTTCCAACAACCAAGCTTTAATTTAAAATCGTAAACTTTAGGATTCATCACTTATTTTAAAAATTACATCGTGAAGAAAAAAAAGGTTATTGTCTTTATTTTTTGGAAATTTTAATTTCTCCTATAGAATTGTATTTTTTTTTATTTATTGTTTTTTAATTTGAGATGTGATTTTGAAAGGTACGTATAGGCAAGCTTGAATTCTAGATTAAAAACTTTAGGATTCCTAAATTATTCTAAAAATTACATCGTAAAGAAGACATTTTATTGTTTTTCACAAGATTTAAATATAAATCCTAAAATTGCTCGTATAATACACGCGAAAAAAGTACCCCAATCTTACTTTCTCTTCAATGATTCAAAATAATCATTCTAAAGCCCATTTACTTGATTTTTTGGATAATTCGGTTTAACTCATGTCATTATCGTCTGATCGATTTGAGTATTGTGATTTTCATTATAACGCTGTTCTTTCTGAAAAATATTGAGATAGTTTCAATTATTTATAAAGAATTTTTTTTAAATAATAAATTCTTTTAAAATGTTTCTTGCTGATGAGAATCTGGTAGCTATAACGGAACGTGAACAAAATGAACGCGTTCGAAATTTTATCGGAATAACATTTATTTTAATCATCACGATTCTGCTGGAGTAAAGCAATGTATGCACATTATTTTAGACTGTCCGTTATTTTCCGAATTGCTAAAATCCTCGCTCTCGCCTCTTGAGAGCTCATCTTTTGCGTCCCAGTTGAAGAAAATCACTGTCCAATCTGGATAAGTTAACTCTAGATTACTGGTAGACCCATTCAGTAACCAATACTTATGAGATCCCTCCCAGCGATTGTGCGCACATGATATGCTTAGAAAATCAAGGAAAAACGCATATTAGCATTGTTTGGCTGTGTTTTTCGATATTTTACAGCAAAGATAAGCGTTAACGATCATCTTAGATATGGCGATGGTAAAGTAAAGATTAAGACCTTTAATTTGGTAGTACTAAAATCTATCTTCGTTCATTAGAACCAAAGTTACAGGTGTTTAAAGTTTGATTGAAATATCAAGTATCGAATATTCGATATTCTTATGTCTACACTATCTAGAGTTGATTTATCGAGATCGGAAAGTGATATTCTTTTATTGTAACGCAAAAGATGATCTTTAAAGAGGTGAGAGCGAGGATTTGAGCAATTCGGGAAATAACGGACAGTCTAATGCACAATTTTCGTAGAAAAAAAATATGATGATGCAGCATTGCTTCGTGACCATAAAACGTGTCGAATTGTTACTTTTCCATGTAAGAAATGACTTTTTCGTGCAAGCGATCGGCTTAAAAACAATGAAATCTGAATTTTTTTACCACTCATGAAATTTTGGGCAAGTAGCACTGCAAAAAAAATATTTTTAATTTCAATTTCATACAACGTATTGTGAAAGATATTATCATGCGACTTTTGTCCATTTTTTCGACGTTATTGCTGAATTTAATCAGTCACCAACTTGTACATACCTTAACGCAGAGTAAATTGGATGAAGAAATATTGACGGGCTTTTTGAGGGGCCAAGAGGAATTTGACGAACTTGAAAAAAATAGTGATTTACATCAAGAACTGATACTGCTCATGGGAAATTCAAAAGCGAGGGAGGACTTTTTCAATGATCACGCCTCCGAAATCGTTGATTTGACCGTCAACGTAACAATTCTACCGCACTTGATGCTGAACACTCGAACAAAAACCGAATTTTTGGATTTTTTCATCATGGAGGAGGAAATTGAATCAGTCCAGCATATTCCGAGAGTTTATTTTACTAGAAAGATTGTCAACCTGGTAAGCGCAGTAAAGTTGCTCCTTCTCGTTGATTTTCCTTCATTCGATAAACAGATTGACGCTCTCTTGCAAAAAGCCGCTGAATCTTTTAGGGACGTGAGAAAATTCCTAAACGGCATCGGTCTCATAGTGACGCAAGTTCAAAACGAGCAGCAAATTCAAAAGGTGAAGGACAATTTGAAAAACCTCGTCAAGTCGCCTGAAAGATCCAACAAAATTGCCTCGATCATCGATGCTTTACACGTTAAAAACGAGGGAATGGAGGATTGGAATAGATTGGGATTTGTCGAGAGTCCAAGCAGTAGCTCGTTGGAGATTTATAAAATAAAAAATCTGGAACGCATGATCTACAAGTCGATTGTTTTTACGAGCCATAATAGCAATGATATAATCTACACGCCATGCCAGAACAAGCCAAGAATTTGCGACATTCTGCTCGATCTACTGAGACGAAAATTGTCCGAGGGAATCATTCAGATCGGACAAGATATGCTCAATGTTCACGCATTGGTCGAAAAACAACTGCACGACTTGCAAAAATCTCTAGTGTACTTCTCGCACGCACTGGACAGTTACCACACTTTTTTTAGAACTGAAGAACTATCGAGAAAAGGGATAAAAAATCCTGGACAAGTGATCGAACGAATTGTCGAATACTCAAGAGCTGTGACTGCAGATTTATCCAACAAAAATCTCCAATTATCCGCCGACTATGCGAAATACTTAGTTTTTCTCAAAGGACCCAATGGGCCAGATGACAATTCATGGATTCTCGATCAGTTACTTCCTGTGCACAACTACTTAGAGACATCCAAACAGTGGTACCAATTTTTATTAAATTTAGATAAAAAAATTCTATCCGATTGGATGGTACAGAAAGATATTAGCCCATACAAGAATGTAACGTCGCAGCTGCTCGAAGAAATTGAAAAAGTCAAGCATAAAAAAGATTATGACATTACCGTGAGTTTGAACAATTTATTGAGCTCATTGCCGGAACAACAGGGCACCCAAAAATTTGAAAGCTCGAAAGTGACTCAGTTAGAAGTACCGAAATTAGTAGTATTAAAAAAATTACTGTCCGAGACGTTGATGCATAACGGCCCGAGCGTAAAGTGTGATACCGAATCGAAAAAATTAACAATCAGCGGTTCGTATGTCAAATTGAGCGACGTATCAAAATCCAACTGCGACAAGGCAAAATTCATCGAAGTCTTCGCTTTGAATAAGATATTTATCGATAAAAATTTGATCGAAGACGATATAAAAGTACATTTGGTGATTATCGCCCCATATTGGGATGTAATCGGCCAGGATCGATTAATATTTCTGTTCGGCGAAGAAGTAAATGAAAAACCAGGCCGACCAGCTGGCCATTTTTTGGGTATTGGTAGAATTTTTACGAATTCTTCAGATCTCCTCGTATCTGCAGAAGGTCAAGTTGAAAAATCAGGTACTGTAACAATAATTGGATTGGAGAAATCGAATCCAAACATAAATGTTATGGATCCAGAAGGGCGGATCAGCAATACCAGCATCGCTAGTTCGGAGAAGACCCCAAAATCATTCGGTCGATCCATAAACAGCTATCAATTATTTCTCAGAGGGCATCTGATGGGAAATATACGAGAGTCCCGTTTGGAAAGATTCTCCTGGCTTTTAGCTGATAGCGAAGCCATCATCGATTTGTACGATGTCCCAGGATTAATAGATGAATTTCGACAACTCGAGGATCAATTTTGGCAGCAGAGTCCCAAGATGTCTCTATTGCCATTTCATCGTTCCTTGTTAAATCAAATCAAAGGGTATGCGAAAAAACTTAAGGATTACAAGCAACTGACCCACGATAAAGTAAATGTACTTCGGTTCTTGTACACTGCTGCATTGAGTATAATCGTAAATTTGGAAAATAATGTCGACGCTTATTTGGTCGTTGACTTGGATACCTTTTTAAATTCGATCAAGCATGACGTTGACTCGGTACTAAAATTGAAAAATGCTCAGATTATCTATGGATATACAAGAAATTATCTTCAAGAATTTGAGATAAAAATTAAAGAAGCTCAGCATTATGTTACCGAGGTCATTTCCCCGGAAATACATAATACTATTATGAAATTGGACGAAGCAGTGGTCAAGTTAGTCGATGAAACTGTTGCGTTACAAGAAGCTGCTAAAAAGGAAAAGGAAGAATTAATCAAGAAACAAGAAAGTTTAACAAGTTCCATGATCTTGACCGCGGTATTCGGTGTAATAAAAGTGGCGAGTTTGTTTTTAAACTTCTTAGGTCCAATTGGAATGGCAGTGAGTATGGGCATTATTACACTCACTTCAATGTCCGAATCTTTGCTCGTCGATTCTTCAGGTGTCGATGAAAATGCTTTACTCAAGTTGCCCGGTGCGCTAAAAGAATCTCTGAAGCCAATGACATTCTATCTCAACAACAAGAAGGATCTACTCAACCAACAACTGACTGATGCCCGAAGTATGTTTAATGCCTTATCAGAACAAGAAAAGACCGATATCAAAGGCATCGAAAGGGAAATCAAAAATGCTCAAAATGAATTAATGCATGAAATCGGCCAAGGCAAGACACTCGATCCAGCCTCCGTTGAAAAAATGAATAACTTGAGGAAAAAGATTAAAGATTTATGCTCAGATAAAATAACAGAATTGGAGAAAAAAAAGCCACAAGTCGATTCCAAGGTGTCAAAACAATTAAAACTTGTCGGTCAGGTTCAGAATGCATTGAGCATTGTTGAAACGTCAGTAGACACCTATCAAAAAATCAAATCGCAGCAGAATAAAATCGACGCGGTCGGCGACCTAATTCGTAGAGCTGATCAGAAAATCGAACAACTGAAGCAATACGAGCAAAACATTTACGACATCATCGTTCCCGTTTGTAAAAATGTCGAAGCCAGTATCGATCGGGTGCAGGAACAGCTGGAGGGTAAATCCTCGGGAGCTCTTGTCATTAGCAAGTGGAAGATCCAGGGCGCCTTGAAAGGCGTTATGAATGAGATCAAAAAAATGACAGAAGGTTTCCAAGTGCAAGGAGAGTTTTTGGACATTTTCAATAAGGTCGAAGAAGGTATAAACGTCATGGTCGAGTTGTACAATATCATGGACGAGTACCAATACAAGGCCGAGCTCGGCAAGTTCATCGCCAACATCAACACTCATGCTTCCGCGGCAGTCGTTACGAACAATTACGAACTTAACGAGGCACTCAATGATTTGATGCTTGTGATCCAGAATAATGTCGTAATGCAGAATTACAAAGTAGCCGCCGAGGCTGTTAAGCGTAATGTCTTTCCATTCGCTCATGCCTTTTTCGCGTATTATAATTTGCCGGAGATTCTGAAGACTAACAAGACCGATGTTATAGTGACCTATGTTTTGAGCGAACTCGAACAACTGAAATATGAGCTTTTGAAATCTGACGCCAGGATCGACAAGTACGATCGTTTCGTGCATCAAAATATCGTTTTCAATGGTAGAAAGGGACGATCAAAGCCATTCTATACGTGGAAATACAACGAGCACAAAAATAATATCGGAAAATTATTACACGGACATAGAGTGACGCTAAAAGCTGATATAAAGCACGGATTCAAAGGCAACGCCGTAAAATTCAATAAAATCGGTATCAATTTTTCATCGCCAAATAAAACGATCAATCTGAAATTACGCAAATTGTTGCGAGGCTTCAGTATTACCATGATCCATTTAGGTCACTCATTTTATAGATGTGACGATAGAATATACATGATTCCGAGTGCCAATCAGACTATTGATTACTCGATGATCAAACCTCGTGGAAGCAACGTCCCAGCTACCACCAACAAAGTTTACGACAAAATAGCAAAAAATGAGCCTGTCCTCAGTCCTTATGCCACGTGGCAGATACAATTGAATGGCGCTAAGGATCGTTTCGATGAACTATCAAAGTACGGGGGCGAAACGATCGATTTGGTGCTCGAAGGTACAGGACAATACGTCGACTTGAATCTACCGGAAGTGTGCAACGAACAGCTCGATCGATACTACACACGGTGTAACAATCAAAAGGACGGCATTCAAGTCTACGAAAAAACTCCAGAGTTTAATTTGAAAAGTGTGCAGGGATTGATGGATGATTTCTGGATGCGAAGATGAAATGTTTCTAAAATCCTGCAAATAAATTGATTTTTCGATGCGCTGTTTGTATCTTTTTCATCAATTATTATACTTACAATTGTAAATATTTATTAATAAAAATACGAATTTTTAATTGTATTTTCTTATACTAAATACTTATACTAAATGAAAATTGAATTATTTATACAAATGAACCAATTACCATGAAAGGCCAAAATCCTCTCGACATTATCTAGCATAGATGCACAACGCAAGGCTCGATGGACCTTTTGGAAAGTTTGCGCAATTTATGAGAGATCCAGAAATTGAAGTAGTCCAGATATGCAAGTTGTTTATCTTCTTGTTCGGGTTTCATTTAAACCAAATCGTAGAACGACATACTCGGAATTATGAATGTACAATTCAAACCCAAGCCAAATTTTTCCATTTCACTTCTTCAATCGGTCGTCGAAGTAAGTCTCGGTGGGAAAAACAAAGTTGGACAGATCAGTTCCACGATTCAAGAGTTGATCGACATTTTTCGCCATGATATTCGATACGGCCATTGTCAGTGGCTTCCGACCCCACTCGTCCTTCGCATCGATCTGTATACCATCGATCGGCTTTCTGTCCTCGCAGATCTCGAAAAACTCATCCACCGAGTATAACCTGAAGCTAAACTCGTCGCATACAACGTGCAGAGCGCTTCTTCCTTTCCGATATATATCTCGTTCGTCGATGCAATTCACAACGAACCTCTTGTATATTTAAAAAAGTCAAGTTGCTTTATAGGAGTTACCGAGTTCAAACACTTGATGCAGTGGTGTGGTGCGACGCAACAGTGGCTTTCTCTCTTCGTCAGCTTTGGGCTCGACTTTGTAGCGGCTGCAAGCTACAAACCCAATGAATGGATCTTTAGAACGATTACAGGAATCCGAGAGAATCCGCTCCATTTACTCATTTCGAAAGAGGTATTGGAGATCAGGAATTCCTTTCTGCTATTGTAAGATGATAGGTGCAATTTCTCTGAGAAAATTGAATCGCTGCTCTTCAATCTCCAAATTCAAAATTTTCAGCACGTTTTGAAAAAACGAGAACTTCGTAACGTACATTTTCTCACAAAACACAGTGACTAATAAAATGAACTGTTTTTTTCACTTTCAATAATTTGTTGTCTACGGTCAGCATTAGCTTGAAATTTGAAGGAAATTTGAAGATTGAAGTAAATCGAGACTAATTTGTTAATTTTGTCTCCGAGTAGTAACCATATTTTTCAATACACATTTGTTTAAACAAATTTTGAAAAAATTTAAAAATTGTCTCTTGTGATTAACTCTTTACAATGCATAGTTTCGAGTTCTTCATTTAATTGCGTAAAACAACGCGGAAAGACGATACTTCCAGTGTTGCTAGTGTTTTTCTCATTAATGTTCAGACATTCTCTAATCAAATCTGGTAACTTTTTTCCAAGATTTGTAAGGACAATGAAATTTAATAAATCTTAAGGATTAAGGAATCTTAAGCTTTTTACTATTTCTTACTTATTACACTACATTTTACAATATTTTTGTACATTAAAAACATTTTTTGTAATACCGTTTTTTATGTTATGGGTGCTGGGACGACCGCTCAAAGCCAATAACAGCTCACGATCACTGAAGCATCCGAGATGGTCTTCAAAATTGAAGCAAAATTGTTATTATGACGTTATCTATTCAGTACGATCATTGAAAATCTTCAAAATGTTGATTCCTATAATTAACAAGTACTATAGTTATATGATATTATAATATTGAAGTTCTCAAGGATACTAAGATTGTAAGCCCGATTGAAGTACCATCCAAAATACCGAAAGAACTCGTAGTTCACGCGCCGTCTGCCGTTTAGCCGATGTGTGTATTTGACAGCATTTATACCAACGGAGCATCGCAAAAATACATCCACAAATCACGGCAAAAACGTCAAGTCGATGGCGCTCGAAGTTGCGAGTCGCGCACCGAACAAAAGAATATCATTTGGGAAAACCTGCGAGTTTTATGTCCGCATTTCAGCGGTCTGGTGCGGCATTGATAATACAAGTTGTAGCAAGTGTTGGATATCCGACTGAGTGTACTTGGATATTGTTACAATTCATCGTTCTTGATAAGGTACGATTAAAGTTAAATAATTCTCAAGTTTTTGTTGTTCGTGTGTTTTATCGCTTATTAATGAATTTAGATCAATTTCGTATGATGGAAGCCGAACGTAAAACCATAATTGACGCTTTGTCATCACCCGAAATGAGAGATTTTGCGTTTCGCTTGAACTTGAAATATGAAATAAAAAATGCAGAAGAATCTATAAAAGCCCGGAAAGAAGGAAATGATTTGTACGTCAAGAAAAAGCACACAGACGAAGACCATAAGATGATTCTGTATTTGTATAACAGGAGCATAGCTTACGCTCCTAATGAATCTGAAGAGTTAATGTATGCTTATAGTAATAGAGCATATTTATTAATGCATGTCAAAAAATATAATGAGGCTATTGATAGTATAAATAAAGCCTTGCCATTGGCCGATTCAACCAAGATGAAATTGAAACTACATTGCCAAAAAGTGAAATGTCTTGTGGCTCTTGACTCTTCGATGAAAGATAATGTAATGAAAGAAATTGATGAAATGTTTCAGAATTCTAAATTATCCATAGAGGATACAATTCTCGTATCAAATATCATTAAGAAAACAAAATCTGCAGTTGCATCGATGAAGCAGTACGAACCTAGTAATCAAAAGTTCTTAAAGCAAAAAAAGCAGTGTGATAAAATTGTTGTTGATAGAGAAAAAGTTGATCCATTTGATTTTGTTGAAATAAAACAAACTGAAAATACGGGCAGAGGACTATATGCCAAAACTGATTTTAAAGCAGGAGATTTAGTGTTAGTTGAAAAACCTTGCCTTATTATGCCACATTTTTTCAATCAATATATATTCTGCTCTCACTGTTTAGCAGTTGCATGGACTGGAATCCCATGCGAAACATGTCATGATTATATATTTTGTTCATTAAAATGTAAAAACACAGCCAGGGAAGAATATCATCGCATTGAATGCTCAATCACACCGTATCTTATTCTATGTGACCCAGACATTACCATATGGAATCACATGAGTCTAAAATTTATAATGTCATTAATGAACGAATATGGAACAATTGGAAAGCTGAAGTCCAAACTAAGATTTTCCAAAAATCATAACGGTAAATATGACTGCTAGATATATTTAAATTTTCTGAACTAATTCAATTCATCTGGTTTTTATCATCATCTTTTACAGTTGAAACAAAAAATGAAAAATCTGATGAAAAAATTCATTTATTCAATAAGCTCATGAATTTAACTCATAATCTACCCATGCATCGAAATGTTATTTCAATTAACCATACCGTTAAAACATTGATTTGTATGGCAAAGTATACATCTTTTTTCTCTGAACAATTCAAAGATGTGCATTACGATGATTTTTCAAAGATTGAAGATGTTATTTTTATTGGATCTTTACTTTTAAGATTGACAAAAATTAGTGCTGTTAATGGTCATGAGGTGAGGAACAATTTTTTTCAAGTTTGATTCTTTAAATCTGATAAATCAATCTAGCTTTGCATTTTTTTTCTAATCATTAGATATCGGATATAATTGAAATAAGTAGTGCTCAACTTCATAATCTCTTAACTGGAAAAAGCATTAGAACTAGAGGATTTTGTATGGGACTTATCAGCAGTGTTATCAATCACAGTTGTGCACCGAATATTAAACTATGTTTTTCAGATAATATGAAGTATGTTTATTATGCCTTGGAACCAATTGCTAGGGGAACTCAGGTATGCATTAATATTCATTAATTAAAATATTTTTGAAAGTAGCTTCATATATCAATTATATTGTTATAGCTTTTAGATTCATACTTCAACCCCTTTTATGAATCTGCATCAATGGAAAGAAAAGAAAAAATAGAAAATTTTGTGTGCCAATGCATTGCTTGTAAAGAAGATTGGCCTGCAGTTTTATTACCACATGTACAGAAAGAGTTCATTACTTATAAAATGAAATTTGAGCCAATAATACATTTTACCGAAGTAGGTTTCATAAAAAAAATCTGTTCATTAGCGGATAGAATTGAAGAATGGAGAAAATATAAAATTGATAAAAATTTAATTCAAACTGTTGTTAAAACGATGAACAGAGCAGCTAATATGCTACCACAACCTAGTTTAGCAAGATGTATGTTAATTCAAATTCTATCAAGGATTTATGAACATCTCTACGGTCTTACTGTGCCTTTTGAAAACTTTTGTTCATCGTAAGAATGATTTTGTATGAAACAAAATAATATAATTCTCAAACTTAATTTGGATAATTATAAGCTAAATTTATAAGATTGAATGTAAAACATTCAGATTTTTGTATTCTGTTTAGATACCTAAAGGTTTTTAATTTTATTATGATATTCAAGTAATATTTATATCATTTGAATAGTTCAAATCTGATGTTTTTATAATGACTTATTAAATGTCTTACTTTTTAATGCGCAACTTTTCTGTATGTTGAAAATATTATTGATAGAATAATTAAAATTGTTGTAATTTCAATTTCTAATTCCCAAGTATTACACTTAAATCGTTAATCTCTGATTTTAATTATTTGTAATATATTTCAAAAATGTGGCACCCATGTGCATAAAATGAAATCATTATTATACTTGTAATTGGAATTAATCTTGACTAGCTATAACAATAATTTAACGAACACCCAAAATAGGCAGTTTTACTTTTTATTGTGCTCATCTGCTGAAGTGACAGCATAATGCAGCAATACACGTTTGAATCCATCGATAAAGTAGAACAAGCAGCTGACTTGGCAGTCGTGCCACATGGTCATGGCATTAATGTGTCACAACACTGACCTGTATGTCTGCGTGCATCTGAATGTTTAAAGGTTTGTTTTTCAAAATTAACTTTTATTCATCGCTTTAACTGTTGGGATTGTTGGAACAATTGCTTAAATCTTGAGTTTTAATTACAAAAAAGTGAGTTGCAATACAGTTAGCGCTAGGTACGATGTTTCTTGCTACAAAGCAATTGTCAAGTGTTGTTACTGCATTATTGCAGGCGGTGAAAGTGAAACACGTGTCGACTAGTGAAGTCTTTGTATACATTTTAACGTAAAATTTTCTAATATTTATAAAGTTTTTGACAAATAGAAAACTAGTGAGTATAATAATTTAAAAACAAGTTTCTACTTCGCTTCATAATACAATACTCATAGAAACAAAAATTGTCATTGCTTATCATACGTTTATTTATTGTTTATTATTAAGTATTTTGTAACTACTCTGAAATACAAGTGGTGAGCCTTTTATCGCTGCACTCGGTGACACGAGATATTAGAAAAATATCCAAAACCTCGTAGAACTAAGAACTCACACATGCGTAAACATAAATTACACACATACGCAAACACACTAGCAGAGCACTGCGTGAGCTGTCAACTTCGAGCGTCAGTCAATGAGGCCCCTCACGAACTCCGAAATGTTCACCCTCCCAAATTCCTGCAACTCTTAAACCATGATGCAATTTTCATCAATTATTTTGTCGCCGTTCACAGATGGCTTTGACGAACAAAATAAAAATCGTGAACGTCCAGCCGGACCAGTTCGAGCGGGGTATCTCGCAGGCGCTCGCCGAGCTGCAGGCCAGCAGCGAGCTAAAAACGTCGCTTCGCGATTTGTACATCACGAAAGCTAAGGAGTTCGATCTGGGCACTAAAAAGGTGAGGGTTCAAACCCCTCGTCGAGCTCTGTAATTTCGAGACGCGATAGATTCTTTTTTCTTCGTGTACTTATTTTACTTGTCGATTCTTGAACTCTCGGCGCTTTCGATACTTTCCTTTTACTCATTTTCGTGGCTTTTTCCAGGCGATCATTGTGTACGTGCCGATGCCGAAACTCGAGGAGTTTCGGCGCATCCACCCCCGACTCGTGAGAGAGCTGGATAAGAGGTACTCCGGTAGACACGTCGTGATCGTTGGGGAGCGCAGGATCTTACCGAAACAGACGAGAAAGACGAGCAGTGCCAACAAGCAGAAGAGGCCAAGGAGGTAAATCATACTTTGATTCAATAATTATTTTTTATTTACAAGTTAGAAAATAGTATCTTGTACATTAAAACGATACATCTCTTGTACATTAAAACGATACATCTTGCTGATTGTGCTTACGAAGACTATAAGTAAAATTAATCATTCAGTCAACTTGACTGAACACTCGAATATGACAGATACAATTTATAGTTGAACATTAATTTTTTTTTATCGAACGCATAAAAGTAGTCTAAATAGTTATCGAATCTTTATCAACTCGAAAAAATTTTAATTTTCACAGCCGAACGCTCACCGCCGTCTACGACGCAATCCTCGAGGATCTTGTTCACCCCGCGGAGATCGTGGGCAAAAGGAACCGCGTCAAGCTCGACGGCTCGCAACTCATCAAAGTGTACTTGGACAAGAGGCAGCAAACCAACGTTGAACACAAAGTAAGAGTCATTTCCAACACTTTTATCAATCATTGATCGTTCGAATCGTATTGACTTTGATTCTTTGTATTGTTACAGGTCGATACGTATGCTTCGGTGTACAAAAAGTTGACCGGACAAAATGTCTCTTTTGAATTCCCAGAATCTCATTAGATGTTTCTGTCAATAAATTATTTATAATAAATTTTCTGTGTATCATCATTTTATTGGTACTCATAAAGAAACACTCGGACACGACATTTTTGAAGAGATAGTAATGTTTTTACGGACGATTGATACAATACTCGAATCATCCCTTTTTCTCTCCATCATTTATCGTTGAAACAAGACGAGCGAAAGAAACTAAATTTAGAACCAAGATAATCGAGCGATCCAAAGTTTGAGCAAAATCTCGAATAACGGCGAGTAAGGAATGCGCGTCGCGGTGCAGGTGTCGGCGCGAAAAAATTTCTCGCCCGCGTGCGGGCGCATTGAACGCCGCCGCGGCGGATGAAAAAAAACTCGCCTCGCCGGTTTCTCCCGTTCGGCTGTGTGCCGCGCCAAAACGCGCGATCGCGAGAGTGAGATCCGAGACCGCGAGAGAAAAAGAAATCCAAACGCATATTTCACTTAAAAAGTGGCATGTAAGTACGTGTATATATATAATACAACGCCGCATTCACCGAAACGCAGACACGCACACACAAGCGGGTAATGCAAGTCGCGCGCGACGCATTTACGCACACGCGCACACTCAACATCACTCACTGCATCGCCGGTGAGCCGCGAGAGTATTTTATAGGAGACGGTGCACACCATGCACGCACGCACACACACACACACACACACACATATTTTGCCGCTGCATCGTTTATAAACTTTCGCGCGGTTGCCGATCGTCGTGCGTACAGAGGCGCGAGAGGCCTGCGCCAGTACGAAACGGCGTGTACTTGTGCTCGGTTCGTCATTATCATCATCATCATTGTCGTCGTCGTGGTCGTTAAATGTGCATATGATTTTTGTGTGTGTGCCCTGTGTGTGACGCTAACTCGGTGTGACAGTGCGGCGAGCAATTTCATTTTTAATTTGTAATAAAAAAAAAAAAAAAAAACTCGGAACGACGACGTAAATCGTTGGTAATTTTTTCGAGTGATTAATTTATCGCGTAATTTATAATAAAGTGCGAGTGACTCCGACCGCTCAGCCAGGTAGGTGTTTCGTTAAGTATTCATTAGCTATGATTTACGCGGTTCATTGTTATTAACGACGATTATTTTACTCTTAAAAATCGGTAAAATCGGTATGTTCGTCGTTCGAGTTTCTCGAGTAAAATCGCGCGCGGCACACCTCGCTCTCGGTAAACGTATACATATGTACACAAGATCCACACGCGTATACACACGTACGTGCTGTATTTTCGATCCCGCGCACCGGTTTAACGACCGGTGAAAGCCTCTCTGTTTGCGCTGCACCAAAGCACAGCACAGCACAGCACAAACAAACATAATGTAACGATCACTTTGTCGCGGAGAAGTGCATCGAATTATATTCTCGCGAAATTTCGCTACCTACATATACTTTTTATTATTCTCGCGACGAAAGAGGCGCTTGCACAATAATAGCTCTGCGCTGGAGGCGGCGGCGGCGGCAGCGTCGCAGGATGTCGATATTATTACCTTACAGCCGCCTGCTATTACCAATGCACACGAATCCAGAATGATCACGAACGTCGCGGTTTTCCTTTTTTTTTTCTTTTCTCGTTTCGTCTCGTCTCCTCGTCGCGTGCGTAAGTACATTACGGCCGCATTAGTAGATGGAAATCGGCAATGTCAGACGAAATCGCAATGGGAAGGTGTACCAGCGATTACGTAATCGCAGTTATAAGTGCGCATAAAACGTAATGGGATATAAAACGAAAGCGCGTCGACGACGTTTTGTATCCCATCGAATAACGGCGACAAACGACGCGTACGAGAGCGCGACAATTGCTTAACGGCGCGTAAATCAATTTCGCCTAATTACAAAGATATACACGCGCGCGTGAATCGAAGTATATTAGATCCGCGCGCGCGCACACGCGATCGGCTTAATTGCGACACGTGTTTGTAATGATTCGTGCGTGTGAGTATATACGCGAAAACTCGTCGCGCTTTCCACGCGGCTCGATTAATACAATGCACGATGACGATAAAAAAAAAGTTCTAAAAAAGCCGGGCTAAACGCGCCTGTCGATTTTCACTGGCGCGCTCGACCGTTTCAACGCGCGCGCGCGCGAGTTTGGCAATAATAAAATTAATGATAAACGGCGTAATAGTAGCGCCGTGAGCCGAGCGCGTTCTAATCGCGGGCGTGACCGACGACCCGACTTTGTTTTTTTAATGGACGCGATAAAACAAAGTAAGAGCAACAACAACAAAAATGACATGATGTCATCGATTTTATGCCCCGTTGAGATTCTACATCTATACTGAAAAGTGGAGTAAATGCAAAATTGTGATTATTATCAAACGATATTATCAAACCCACAACAAACTTTCATGCGCATTACTTTTTTCGCTTAAAAGCGCGCGCGCGCGCGTGGCGAATTAGCCGTAATACGCATTACCTTTAAAATGCATTTCAAAAGTATCGTGTCCCGCGCGGCGTGTTTGTCGAGCTCTGTGCGCGCGCCCGCAAAACTCGGTCGTGAATTAGACGTGTATAGATATGGCTGCAGCTCTGCCGCCACCGAGACAGGAATTCAACTATTCACGTGCGCGCGCGTGACCCGAATTTCGCAAATTCCTGCTGTTTTTTTTTGTCATTATGTAACGATCGCATGGCTCCCCCGTTTATAAACAGACATACACACATTTTATTATCGTTAAAACGTGTGCATTAGGTCACGCTAAATCGCAATAGCGCAGTATCGTATCGGAGATATTCCTTTATTTTCTATAAGGTATATTATATACGTTTGGAATTGAAATTGAGGCCGATCGCGACAAAATTCGAGATTATTCATATCAAGTTCACTCTCTCGCCGCGTGCGTCAAATGTATAATGGTTTTATGCTTAAAATCGGTTGCATCATCCTGTATAACGAGTCCCTGCAAACACGCACGCGATCGATCGGTATGACGTTTTTAACTGCGTGCGTAAATGTGCGACACGATACAAAAAGAAAAAAAAGAGGAATCAGGATGTAATGTACAAAAGTCGGCCGGGTTCGTGCTATACCGGTCGTCGTCGCGAATCGGATGTAAAAATCGAGTTCGCTTACATCCCGCGTCAATCCCGAGTCAATGTCCTTCCCGTTCGGTTACGTAATTATGTACGATAATTATATCGTGTATCGCACCGAATGCGACAGGCGGGCTCTTTGCGAAATTTCGCGCCGGCATCTTCTCGGTGCACTTTCGACGCGCTGTATACGTTCGAAAATCCGTCTAAATATTAACGACGCTCTCTGTTTTTCTTTCATTTAGCCGATTTCGCACGATGTATACATTTATTTTTCTGCAGGCCACACGACGACGACGACGAGGCGATGGAGCAGCGGCAGTCGCCGCCGTAAAGTGAGAGCTACTATCCATTACTATACTGCACGAGGTCGTCGTCGCGACGAGTCGCGCAAATACATATATACACACACGCACAAACACGTTGTTGCACCCGACTGCCTATATACGTACAATAATATACCTAGCGCACGATCGACGCGAAAGAAAAAGTAAACATTATGCAGCAGTCTCTGTAATAAAATAATAGCGCAATTGTGCGCGCGATGGCTAAATAAATTCCGCGAATAATGCACGCGAGGAGACGCGTATAATATTTTCAAGTAACGAAAATGCCATAAATATGTATAATTTGAGAATGCGCTCGAGTGCTAAAATGCCCTGGATGTTTATGCGGGGGGACGGTAAAACAAAAAAAAAAGATTGACTCACGCAGACACGCGTTTTACATGTGTTGCAGCGCAGTCCATTCCAATCCATCGCGGTCATCGTCGGGCGCGACGAAAGTATATACAGAAGCGAAGGAAGAAGAAGGAAGAAGACGTGCTATATACATACCACGAGCGAGAGGGAGATTATATTTTGTATAGATAAAATATTTTTTTAAACCACGCGCTTATACAAATAAAGATACATCGTAATCACGGTCTGCGCGCGTGGCGGCGGGCCCCCGCGTTTATAATCTTGGAGCAGCTCGCGGATCCTGGATCCAAGCGAGGCTCGTCGCTCGGCTGCTGCGGCAATAGTCGCGGGGTCAAGAACGGCCAACATGCGCCGCTCGCTCGTGCTCCTCTCGATTCTTCTGTCCGTCGGTAGCATCCGGCACAATGGTGAGTTTCGATCGATCGTTGCACGCGAAATTCATTCGACTCGACGATTTTGCTCTTTTTCTATAATAATTTTCGTAATAATTTACAGTGCGACTGCAGCCGGAGCGAAGGAATCGCATGCTCACGATGCACCGACGATTGGGCAATCTCAACGAGATCGGCCAGAGAGTTTGCTTTGGTGAGTGTATACAGTATGCGTTATTTAACAGGGTAGCTTTAGAATAAACGAATGGGGAAGGTTTATGCAAAAGGTTGCTTATATCTGTCACTTCAGGAGATGAATACACTTGAAAAGATAAATTTTTTTTTCCTTCTTCAAGTTACAATATAAATGAGAAAAGTGACAAATTTCCATTTTAATTTTCATTTCCAAGATGTGGTACGGTACACCCCAAGCGTAATAACGTTCATAGATTTTATTTATTAAGTATATCACATCGACCAGTGGCATCGAAATCGATTCGTTATTTTGGAAACTACGAGAAGACGAGTTTTGATGCACAAACTACTAATGTTTTTGCGTATTCGTCCAAGTATTATTATAGTTCGCATTTGTATCAAATTATATTTTAATATTTTAAACCAATCCATACAACATTTTGAAAGTATATATTACAAATAATTGAAATCATAGTTTAAAAATTTAAAACTAATACTCAGACATAAGAAACTGAAATCACATTAATTTTAATTGATTCATTGAAAATGTTTTTAACAAACGAAGAATAATTAAAATTATTAATAAGTATAACTTTTATTATTAAAACATCAAAGTTTGAAATTTTCAAGTAAGCTACATGTTACTTTTTTACACTAATAAAATTGAAAATTTATAAGTTTCTAAACATTATACAAAAATTAAAATGTTTTATACTTAAGCTTATAAATTAAACTTATAAGGTTTTAGACTTATTTAAAAGTATTGAATTGTTTAAAGCTTAACTGACAAAGGTTGGTAGCAGTATTGGAACGTATATGTTTTTGTATTATAAAAATACATTTTTACGTTGAACAACAATTTTCAAAGGGCATCATAAGATTATACTGTCTCGAATAGATCTCTTCGAGAGTTTTTTGTAACATACATCTAACAACACTAGGGTGGGGTAGTACATCAGCTGCTTTATCTATCATGTTGAGAACATCTTGAAGTAAATCTTTATCAATTCTATTTTTTGCAAAATGAGTTTTTTTTACTAATTGAAAGACTTTATCTATAAAACCTACTTCTGTAAAATATGTTTTTGGATCCAATTTCATTTTATTAGTAATGTATGCTATTTGTGCGTCTGGTAAGAAAAGAGGAGGCCAATCTTCTTTACAAGCATTGCATTGGCAGACAAATTTTGATAGGTGTTTTTTTCTATTCGTTGATGAAGTATCATAAAAAGTTTCAAAATATGAATCTAGAAGCTGTAAAAGTATATATAATATAATATAAATCTAAATTGAAAAATATTCATAACAATGAATGTTAAAAGGTACCTGAGTTCCACTAGCAATTGGTTCCACAGCATAATAAACACACTTCATATCTTCTGATAAACATCTTCTAATATTTGGTGCACAACTATGATTGATAAAACTACTGATATATGCTATGCACAATCCTCTATTTTTTGTGCTGTTTCCATCTAAGATATCATCAAGTTGAGTACTACTTACTCCAATTGAATCCGATATCTAATGATTAGAAACAAAAATGTAAAACTAGATTGATTGCTATAATAGATTTTAAAAATGTTAATTTGATATTCTTTATTTCTTACCTGATAAGCATTAGAAATATATATTCTTGATAATCTCAAAAGTAAAGATCCAATAAAAATAAAATCTTCAATCTTTGAAAAATCATCGTATTGCACATCTTTGAATTGTTCAGAGAAAAAAGATGTATACTTTGCCATACAAATCAATGTTTTAACGGTACAGTTGAGTGAATTATTATTTTGATACGTCAGTAAGTTACAAGACAAACTCATGAGTTTATTGAATAAATCAATTTTTTTATCAGTTTTGTCATTTTTTGTTACAGCTGTAAAACATAATGATGAAAATCAGATGAATGGAAGAAGTTCAAAAAATTTAAATGATTATAAAAGCCATGTTTACCTTCATGATTTTTCGAAATTTTTAGTTTGGACTTAAGCTCTCCAATTGTTCCATATTCGTTCATTAATGATATTATAAATTTTAGACTCATGTGATTCCATATGGTAATGTCTGGGTCACATAGAATAAGATACGGTGTTATTGAGCATTCAATGTGATGATATTCTTCCCAGGCAGTGTTTTTACACTTTAATGAACAAAATATATAATCATGACATGTTTCGCATGGAATTCCAGTCCATGCAACTGCTAAGCAGTGAGAGCAATATATATATTGATTTGAAAAACGTGGCCAAATAAAAACAGGTTTTTCAACTAGAACGATATCTCCTGTTTTAAAATTGGTTTTGGCATATAAACCTCTGCCGATATTTTCTGTTTGTTTTATTTCAACCAAATCAAATGGATCAACTTTTTCTTTATCTGCAATAATTTTTTGGTACTGTTCCTTCTCTTTTAAGAACTTTTGATTACTAGGTTCGTACTGCTTCATCGATGCAACTGCAGATTTTGTTTTCTCAATGATATTTGACACTAGAATTGTATCTTCTATAGATAATTTAGAATTCTGAAACATTTCATCAATTTCTTTCATTACATTATCTTTCATCGAAGAGTCAAGAGCCACAAGACATTTCACTTTTTGGCAATGTAGTTTCAATTTCATCTTGGTTGAATCGGCCAATGGCAAGGCTTTATCTAAACTATCAATAGCCTCATTATATTTGTTGACATGCATTAAGAAATATGCTCTATTACTGTAACCATACATCAACTCTTGAGATTCGCTGGGAGCATAAGCTATGCTCCTGTTATACAAATACAGAATCATCTTATGTTCTTCGTCCGTGTGCTCTTTCTTGACGTACAAATCATTTCCTTCTTTCCGGGCTTTTATAGATTCTTCTACATTTTTTATGTCATATTTCAAGTTCAAGCGAAACGCATAATCTTTTATTTCGGGTTTTGACAACATGTCAATTATGGCTTTACGTTCGGCTTCCATCATACGAAATTGATCTAAATTCATTAATAAGCAATAAAATACACGAACAACTTGAGAATTATTTAACTTTAATCGTACCTTATCAAGAACGATGAATCGTAACAATATCCAAGTACACTCAATGGGATGTCCAACACTTGCTACAACTTGTCGGGCTATGATCGTTATTATCGATGCCGCACCGTATAAACTCGCGCTGAACACACAGTGATCTACTAAACTCGCAGCCACAGGTTTTCCAGACGAGATTCTTTTGTTCTCGCTGCGCGACTCGCAACTTCGAGCGCCAACGACTTGACGTTTTTGCCGCGATTTGTGGATGTGCTTTTGCGATGCTTCCGTTGGTATAAATGCTGTCGAATACACACATCGGCTAAACAGCAGACAGCGCGTGAACTACGAGTTCTTTCGATATTTTGGATGGTATTTAATGTTAAATTGATATCACACCATACTTGTTAATTATATAGGAATCAACATTTCGAGTATTTTCATTGATCGCCTCGAATAAACAATGTCATATAATTAACAATTTTGCTTAAATTTGGCAGACCATCTCGGCTGCTTCAGCGATCGTCAGCCGCTGGCGCTGAAGCGGCCGCCCCAGCACCCGAGCGTCATCAAGACCGAGTTCTATCTGTACACGCGGGCGAATCGCCACGAGCCCGACCAGCTCGAGTACGGCGACAAGCTGCAGTCCATGAAGCAGACGCGCTTCAACGCCAGCAAGCCCCTCAAGGTCGTCATACACGGCTACAAGGGCAGCGGCAAGAACGCCGGCGTCGACGCCTTCCTCGATCTCGAGGACGCCAACGTGATCGTGGTCAATTGGGCCCGGGGCGCCGGCTCGAGCTACGGCCTCGCCGTGTCCAATACCGAGCTCGTCGGCCGCCAGCTCGGCCTAATTCTCGCCGACGCCGTTGACATGGGCGTGCCCCCCAGCCGCATGCACCTCGTCGGCTTCAGTCTCGGCGCCCACGTGGCCGGCTGCGCCTCCGAGGTGCTGAAGAAGCGCGGCCACCTGCCGGGCCGCATCACAGGCCTCGATCCGGCCTCGCCCTTCTTCCGCCACCATCTGTTTCGCGACAAGTCGCGCAAGCTGGACGCCTCGGACGCGCGCCTCGTCGACGTCGTCCACACGGACGGCTCGTCCGACTTCTCCGACGGCTTCGGACTGCTCAAGCCCATCGGCCACATCGACTTCTTTCCCAACGGCGGCAGACAGCAGCCCGGCTGCAAGGACATCAAGCACTCGGTCGTCGTCAGCCATCTCAACGGTAATAATAATATATAAGGCAATTTTTCATCGACGAAAGTAAAGAACGACATCGCTAAAAATGTTGTGAATGTAGGACAATATTGTGGATTGTAATAAGAAGTAAAGAGCTAACTAAACTTTTATTATTGATGAATTCGTTATAAATCTTCAATTGAAGATGATAAAAAGAGATTGTGCTAAGAGTACATTGCCTTTTGAGTCTACGCTCACAAAAGGGTAAAAAATTTAAGATTTCTAACTATTTCGGACTCATGGTATGTTTTTCTACACTTCATCACTATAGCCCAATTGAAGTAATGCGTTTAAATTAAAATGAATTTAAAGAATTAATAGGTACAATTTTAAATGAATGAAAAAACAAAATAAATTGCTATACCAATTTGCAGTTGTTATTTTTTAATCAAGGGCATAAAATTATCAAAGTCTGTACCTGGATTTATACAATTATTTTGACTTAGACACTTGCAGATTTATAGCAAAAAGTTACAGGCCATCTAGTGGCAGAAGCTTCAAGTAGCATTGCACAAAGTAATTAAGAAGAAGTCAATATTTTTTTGACAACTATATTATCATTCAAGTCATTTAAAATGTGCTTCTGCATTTGTATAATAATTATAACATTAGTATCCCCCAAAATAAGCAAATTAATAGTCTTATACGAATTAATATTACGAATACATTCTTAATCAAGTGAAAACCACAGAGAAAATTAATATTTCTTCTTGAAAATTCATTCAGAGGTGTTTCTGGGTGTGTTCTTTCGGAATCTGGTATTAATTTTACTTTATAAATACTATTTTGAAATCAAATTTCTACCTTTTCCTGTGTTCGGAGAGCCCATATAACATCTAAAAAAACATTGGGAATTTTGCAATTCGATTAGGTTTTATAAAATTTAAAATGTTTATAAAAGAATCCAAAAAATTTACACGTATATTCTGAATAATTTCGAACATTCTTTATTCCATAGATTTTGTTCATAACGTTGATAGTAGTCGAGTAAAAAATTCACGAATTTTTATGCTGCAGCTCGGTCTTTGTTCACCATTTTGAAATTGTAAGAACTATAAGATAAAAATTGCCACAGCGAAAGTTCCTTGAAGCTTTATGTTAAAATCTCTCAGTGTTATATCAGCCCTCCGAACCCAGAAAAAGGTAATAAATTGACTTTGAAATAAAATTTCAAGTTGAGAAATCACGTTTTTTATTGGATCTATGCAAAATAATATTGATAATGTTCATCTATGGTTTTCACGTGATTGTAAATTTACTCGCAAAATTAAAATTGTGGGCGTTTAAGGGTTATTCCATTATGGGGCTGTCCAAAGTCTTAAGGTTTTTTACACATTTTTACACTTCTTTACAGTCCTCATACTTAATACGATAGTTTTATACTTTATTTTCATTCATGTCGTACATTTATCGTCTCGCGCGCTCAGAGGACAGCCTGGACATCAACATAGCCTGCAGCCACGTGCGCTCGTGGTTCCTGTTCGAGGAGAGCCTCGTCAGCCAGAAGACGAGCAGCAACAAACACGATCAGGGCTGCAAATTTCACAGCTGGCCGTGCAAGCGGCGCTACGGCAGCTTCCAGGCGGGCTCGTGCTTCCCGCCCGAGGATGCGATCGCGGCGCCCGAGCTCGGCTACGCCGCGGACCGCGGGCCCCAGGGCCTGTACTACCTGGCGACGCGCTCCGAGCCGCCCTACTGCGGACTGCCGCTGCGCGCCGCGGTGAAGATCGCCGACAGCGAGCCGCCGCGGCCCAGGGGCGTGGTCACGCTCGCCCTCGTCAACAACGCCACGAGGACCGTCTTCAAAATCATATGCGAGTGAGTGATAACTCTCGTCTAATTTTTGACGAAAAAAAAGTACATCGATACATGTATCGTCATAAATTGTAAGTTCGGAGTTTCTATCAATGAAAACAATGATTGCTTTCAAATTTTACTTGAAAAAAATCAAGTTGTGATTACGGCTATTACAAATAGTAACTTCATTTAGTTTCAGGGAATATGATTAAAAATTCTTCACGAGCATAATAAAAATTACTATTTTGCTACTATTGCCGAGTGACAAAATTACCTATGTAATGTCCAAGTACTCCATAACATAACATCCGTGTAAAATCAAGGCTCTTGTAATATTTGCAGGCGCCTAATTAAATATCGAAATGTTCACTGTCACTAATTTGATAGTAATTTTTTTTTGAAGAGTAATTCTTTTCGTTAAAAAAAATTGTATCGTTTATCGTCTCGGCAGGCAAAAACATGGAGTTATTGTTTTGGCCATAATTTTCAAACGTCATTGTTTCAGCTATGTGTTGAGTAATTGTTTTCGTATAGGCAACGGCGTTATGATCTCAAAAATTAAAAAAAAATAAAATAAAATATAATAACGAACAACTTTTTTCAACGAGCGACTGCTATAAATAGCTTGTACTTATGTCTCATCGTTCTTATTATTTATTTTTTTTCATCTCCAGCCAATCGACGTTACCGCCACTTTCGAGCCTGAACAATCGCAACGTCGCCCAGCCGACGTTCTACGACATCAAGGCCGCGGATTACGAGGGCTTCTCGACGCTGCTCGATCGGCTCGAGGCCACCGTCAAATTCGACGTGACCGTCGTGGCCGAGGACGAGGCGGCGGCTGCGGGGGCGGCGTTGCCACCCGTCGACGAGGCGATCTACGTCGACCGCATCGCCGTGGAGGATCGTCGTGGCAACAGGTGAGAGACATCCTATATATATGTAATACATAGAAGAAAACAGCACAAAGCGACGAGGATTTTTTTAACTTACTCTTGCGTGACTTTTTTGCAGTTGGAGATTTTGCGGTGAGAATTTGGCCATCGGCAAGAAGGAGCAGACGTTGACTCTGACAAATAGCGCCTGCTAGCCATACAGCCGGCGCATACACGCGCGTATATTTATATATACACCTACGATTATAAGCTTTACACAATTACATGCGTATAAGTAAGAGATGTTATATACGGCGTTTCGACACGCGCACACATATTGTACAGTTACTTTTTTTTCTCTGTTTTCTTTTTCTAAGATAAAGAATTTTTTATTTTTATTTTTTGTACAAATTATATTTTGTGTGTTTTCTTTTGTTTTCTACATAAAAATCTCACTCTTGGACTCGCGCGCCCCATCCTCGACAAAAGAAAAGAAAAAACCGATTACAAGGATTCCACGTTTGTGTAATAGATATACAATAGTAAAATAGTATAGCCAATAAATAAGATTTATAAGATTAAGATTTCATCTTAACGATTCGATCGAACTTTTACAAAGTTGCACATCGTGAATGATACAATTTTAATTTTTTCGTTGTAAAAATTAAAAAAAAAAATAAATAAAGAAGATAATACAATAAATAAAATAACATGAACGTATAAGCCTAAGATACACGATACACCGTACGAGCGCTCGTGTATATTTTTTTCATAAGAATTTCTATAATGGTAATAATAATAAACGTGAAACAATTTCCTAAATTCCACCTCACGATCGTATATATAAAAAAGAACAGTAGAAGGAATTCCTTAAAAATTCGAATATCGCTCGAACGAAGAAAAAAATAAACATAAGAAGATAAAAGACAATACGTAAAACATGCAGAGCAAACTTTGCACGATGTATAAATTCCTAGTACAACATTGACAAAAAAAAAAAACATAAGAAGAATGAAAATTTGCATTGTTTCTGCATACAAGTAACTCCACGCAGCTATATTTACATCTTAGTTATTTATATAACAAGTTTCGTTAAATAAAGAACAAACAAAAAAAAAAAGAAGAACGATTACGCAAAATTACGAAAAACAAGAGAGAGAGAGAGAAAAGAATTAGGGATATATCTGACTATGCGCGTGCTGTTTTTTTTCTCTCTCTCTCTCTTACTCCGCGCGACGACAATATTACATATATCAGAGAGAGAGATAAAGAGAGAAGATCAAGACGAACGCGAACGAATTTAAAAAAATCCAAGAGCGTAAAAGTTCATCGGTTTTATACTCATGAATAATAAATTATAACGTCGCCTCTTTAAATATATAACGAAAAATCTTCTTTTTTCCCCTTCTCCTCTTTTCCCCAATCGCTCTCTGCCTCTCCACCTCCGCTCCCCGTTAATTAATCGCGGCGACTTTCGAGCCTGGGAATTTTTTCCCATTTTTCTATCCACAATTATACATAATTCTCTCTCTCTCTCTCTCTTTTTTATCTCTCATCATTCATGCCTCTTCGCTCATTCGCAACGAGCGTGATTATTACGATCCTGGCTGCTGGTGCAATGCGTGCCGTCGCCGCGATTCTCGATGGTCTTGGCGATCAGCTGCTCGCTAGGCTCCTTGAGATCGTAGGCCCAGCCGAGCTTGGCGAACAGATCGATGATGGTCGTGGTGGAGTTGAAACGGCCGCCGCCGATCTCAGCCGCCCTGTAGTCCTGCGGAAAGGTGTGATGATAGTTGTGCCAGCCCTCGCCGAAGGTCACGTACGAGACGAAGCCGTTCTCCACGGGGCCGATGTTGCGATCGTAGGGCTTGTTGCCGAAGAAGTGGGCGAAGCTGTTGACGCTCCAGGTGGCGTTGAGCACGTAGACGTAGCGACAGAGCTGGAACATGGTGGCGTGATACCAGTCCTCGTCCCAGCAGTAGACCGGCAGGCAGATCGGCACGACGAAGCAGACCATCAGTTTCAGCAGCGTAAAGTGCCTGAGTGTGCGTAAAAAAAGGAAAAAAAAAGATCGTCGTGGTTTATATACGAGAGTTGCGTAACGTCGCGAAAGAGAAAGAGCGACGATTCAGTAAACTGGATTCGACTAGTTTCCGCGTGCGTTAGTTGTTCGCAAAAAAAAAGAAAGAAAGAAAAAGCGCGTTACCTCTCGCAAAAAGCGGCAACGGGATCGGCCTCGATGTCGCTCATGTCGATCAGTTTTCCCTTGCTGATGACGTCGGGATGCTTCTTCATCATGAGCCAGCCGACGTGCGAGAAGAAGAAGCCGCGCTTGCTGTTGTGCGGATCGGCGTCCGTCTCCGAGAACTTGTGATGCACCCGATGGTCCCTCACCCATTCGTGGATCGAGTTCTTGTTACGACGAAAAGAAAAAAAAAGAAGAAGATGTAGCGCAAGGACGACGATGTTTGCTCGTCGTTAGCTCGATATATATATTTTTTTCATGTACATATATTTGTTTGCCAATTATTTTATTTATGTATTATACCTGGCCAGCCGCGACGAAGCAGAACATGAGGATGATTCTGAGAAACGTGTTGGCTTTGTAAGCCTTGTGACTCCAGAAGCGGTGAATGCCACCGGTTATGCCGAAAGCCGCCGCCATGCCGATGAGAAACGCTGCAACGGAGTGAAAAATAAGAAAAAACGCGTCCTCGGATAAGGAAGAAAAATCGGTTTGCGCAATATAACCGATCGTGTACACGTACCCCAGATGAAGGTTTTCCAGTGGGTGAGATAGGGCGCCGTGAGGAAGCCGTAGACGGCGATCATGTGGAAGACGCTGATGAGGATCACGTTGCGCCACTTGATGTCGTCCCGGCGCAGAAACGTCCACCAGTCCTGCTGGCGGCCGTCGACGTATTTCTTCTTCGCTTCGACGCTCTTGTCCACATTCTCGTTCACGTCTGTACTCGGAATTGTCGTCGTCGTGGTTGTCGTCGTCGAAGGACTCGAACGATGGTGATTTTTCTTCAGGTCGTGGGCGATCTCTTTGCGCCTGTTGCAGGACTTTTCCTCCTCGGCAACGATCACGTTGTTCGGTGCCATATTTTTATTATATATACGGTAAAGATCTGCAACGACGTGTGAATTTTTTGCGGGGTATATTAGCGGTCAACGTGCTACGACGAAATGACGAGGAAAGAAAAAAAAAAGAACCGGAGGCGACGACCGCTGACGAGTGAGCGGCGATCAGCGCAAAAAAAATCCGCGACTTTGCACACCTTGGACGACGTAAAAATTCGTTTCGTATGTACTGGTGTCTGTGTGTGTGTGTATGTGTGTAGGTACGCAAATATTTAAGTGTGTGCGTGCACACGAGCGAGTTGTGCCTGTGGCGAAGCTCTCCGATCGAGTGTCGCGTGTCGTCTTGCTGCTTACTCAAATATAATAACAAATATTTTCATGTATCATCAAAATTGCTCAATTTTATTTTCTCGCTCGCGCGCGCTCGCACACTTACACACGGACGAAAAGTTGGCGCAAGAATTATAATATCGCAAAAGTCGCGTATGTCGAGGCGAAAAAAAATTGTTGCACCGCGTACATACGGCGCACGTGGATCCGCGCGTTACAAGCACAGACAGACACAGAGAGAAAGAGAGAGAGATTATAATTTTAACTCAATGTACGAGGAGTCTATATTTAGCCCTACATCGGGAGATATCGAATCGATTAAAAATTATGTTTACCTTGCAACGATATTTCTTTCCACTGGATTTATCGCCGTTCCTTATAAACCCGAACAACGATGCTACTGCTATCACTGTATAAAAAACAATCGAACTTTTTTTACTTTCCACTGCGTTATCACACAATGCGCGAGTACACTTTTTCACTCCTTTTTTTTTTTGCGCGCGTGTACAGGTCGATTGCAGACACACGGACGACAGCGACGACGAGCGATGATGAGCACGCAGGCCACAGCTTAGATCACGCGCGCACTTTCTATCTTGTGTATTATACAGATATATTAAGGAATCAGGCGCCGCTCTCGGGCTCGCACCGATTTCAAATCCCCGGCAACGACTGCTTGTGTAATTAAATATATATGTATACTGCCTCAGTCGAAATCCTCGCTTTAAATTTATATACTACTATAACTACTACTACTACTACTCCTGATTCTCCGCTATTTCTTGTGCGTGTGTATACGAGAGCGCGGATGAGCAGTGTGGTCGTCGTCCAGCGCGTCGAACCACAAGAATCGAAATGTACCGAGGATCGGGCTCGCTGCGACACCTTATTGAAAAATATGCGCTAAATTTTTCCTACTTTTTTTTTCCTCTCTCTCTCTCTCACTCTCTCGCACGATTTTTTGGCAATAAGCCTCGCTCGTGTGTGTGCGTATAGTGTGTACCGAGCCTGCGCGCGCGCGACCTCACGCGTCCTGCGAAAGAGAGAGATGGAAGAGCTTTATAATCGGCAGCTCCGTTAGCGGCGCGCACGTAACACACGACCCCTCCTTCTCGATCCTCTAAATTTTTTTTTCTCGCGTATAGAAATAATAAAAAAAAAAATATTCATAATTTTTTTCTTCTCCTCTCCTGCGCGCGCCTCTTGGCCGCCGGGTATAACGCGCGTGTGACATCGAGCGAATCCGCACCGGGGCTACGTGCTGCCGGCCATGCGTGCACACACGCGGGACTCGATCGGCGACGACGACGACGACGACTCGACCACGAGAACGATCATAATATATTATCACGTATATAACGAAAGATGCCGCGTATCCCGATCATCGTGGTGTTGTCATCGTCGCGTATCTCATATATATAATATGTACTTGTATACGTGCGCCTGCAAAGTTGTCAACAACGAAAAATTTGGTACGGGTGTCCGCGCGCGCGATAAGTACAATACGATTATACGCTATTTACCGCATCGAGTCCAGGCCCCGACTATATTGTATGGGTATCCTTTGTTGTTCTTGCCAATTAGATCTGACTTTTGACGTTTTTGCTAAATAGTACAAAAGTGCGCGGTACGTCGTGTAAAATTGCTTGCGAGTAATCTCCGGACCAACCGACAATGAGCTCCCATTATTGTTAAACGGCTCTGCCGAGTGTAGAAAGAGACGGACTACGCGGACGCGATCGTAAAAAAATTAACTCTTATTTCACAACGTTGCACACGCCTGTGTATAGCTATTATACATAAACGATCCGTTCGTTCGCTCTGTTTTGTTCAATGTTAAAAGTCTCAATCAGATCTGTACTGTGGATCAATAAACGATGATCTCTCTCTCTCGCAGTGGTCCAGCAAAAAAAGATGAGTCAATTTGTGGCCGCAGCTCGCGAAAAATTTAATGCCCGAAAGGTAACGAGCCATTCACGTGATCGTTTACTCATACACGCACAGAGAGTTTTGCACGGCTGCGCGCTTTATTTTTAACGGGTGTATATGTACACTGTACCGCGTGGACTCCTTTTTGGAATAGAGAGTCTCTCGATAGCCGCGTGCGTGTGTGCGAAAAAAAAGAAAGAGGAGCCTTTATAGACATAAATTGACTTCCTAGTCGTCACGTAGGTTTTCTTGTTAACGCAAGGTCATCGCTGCTGCTGTTCGGCGCATCGTGTTATAATAATGCGCGCATGGTGATCGTAGAATAAAAAAATAAAAAATAACCATCACACGTGGCCAGGCGCTGGATTTTTTTTTGCTTTTTTTTTTTAAATATATTTGTATGATGTAAGCCTGAATTAGCATGGGACAGAGAGATATCCTTGCCGCGACGACGATGACTAGCGAATAAAACGTTTATTTATTGTTTTTTTGGGAAAAATTTTGTAAATTTTTTTTTTTTTTTGCCAATTCTCGAGTGTCGGAGTATATAATACGTTTTCGGGTCCTCGAACTTTGGTACACCCATTTGAATTTTCATAGAATGTAACGCGATTATCGAACCGGACCCACACAGTTAAAATTCAAATAAAATCGGCGTTACGCAAATGCGACATTCTAATTATAATCGGCGAGAGACGAAAAAAAAAAAGAAGAAGAAGGAAGAAATCAGCTAGTGTTGCGAAGCGAATTGGAAAGTTATGGGCCGACGTTTGGCAACAACAGGTGATCGTCGTCGTTTAAAATATAATAAGAAAGAAAAAGAAAAAAAAAAACTAAAATAAAGCGTCAAACTCGAAGAAAAGATGTAAGGCGCCAAATTGCCCAACTACGTTTAAGCGTCTTTTCCTCCTTAGATAATAATGGCATTGCGATACGCGCGTATTTATAGATTTTCACGTTACGTCGCGCGAAATACAATGAAACAATTTTTATATACGAGGCCACAATCCCATCTGGTTATGACCAAAAATTAAAATTATAATAACTGTGTAACTTTCGTCGAGCCGCGATGGCGTTCATTTGAATGTACAATTAGGTGAAATCAATTATTGACTCCGATATTACCTGTACTTTTAATTGCGTAACGTCTAACGCCAAAAAATTAAGCAACAACGATACGATTATACTTGAATTTTCTCAATTTTCTTTCTTTCTTGTTTTTTTCTTTTTTTTATGTTTTTTGCATTAAAATTATAATTATTATACAACATCAATCTTTGTGCTGATGCTGCTTGGACTCGTGGGTGCCGTCGCCCCGCCTCTCTATGACCCTCTCGATGACCGATCTCGCGGGCTCCTTGCGATCGTAGGCCCAGCCTAACTTGGCGAAGCCGTCGATCAGCAGCGTGGTCAGATTGAAGCGGCCCCCGCCGATCTCCGCCGCTCTGTAGTCCCAGGGAAAGGTGTGATGGTAGTTGTGCCAGCCCTCGCCCATCGACCAGTACGACACCCAGCGGCTCTCCACCGGAGCGATTTCCCTGCCGATCGATTAAATACCGATTTTTTTTCATTTCATTCCCCGCATTTCGATATCGCGTAAATTCTCGCGTACTTGTCGTAGGGCTTGTTGCCGAACATGTGGGCCCAGCTGTTGACGCTCCAGGTGGCGTTGAGCGACAGCACGTGGCGCACCACCTGGGCCATGGTCGCGTGGTACCAGTCCTCGTTCCAGCAGTAGACCGGCACCAGGATCGGCACCAAGAAGCAGGCCAGAGTCTTCAGCGGCAGGAAGTATTTCTCGCCGAAACGCACCACCGGATCCGCGAGGATGTCGCTCATGTCGATCTTCTGGCCCTTGGCCAGCACCTCCGGGTGCTTTTTCAGCATGAGCCAGCCGACGTGCGAGAAGAAGAAGCCCCGACGACTGTTGTGCGGATCCGCGTCCGTCTCCGAGAACTTGTGGTGCACCCGATGGTCGCGCACCCATTGATAGATGGAATTCTGCGGACGACGAGCGGGGTCGTTTCGTTTACAAGAAAAAATGGCTAAATTGCTACTTTATAGTAAAAGTGTGACTTCCATGAGTAAATAATTTTATAGTAAATTTTATCACAAATCAAAGTCGTCACACTTTTATTATAAATAGTAGTCATTTATAGGCAATTCTCCGTGTAGTATGCACCGGTATACCGCTTTTTCATTTACTTTACCTGTCCAGCGCTGAAGAAACAAATCATCAGGATGGATCTCAGCGCGGTGTTGGCTTTGTAGGAACGATGCGTCCAGAGACGATGCACGCCAGCGGTGACGCCGAACGCGTTGCACAGCGCGACGAAGATCGCTGTATGGAAAAAATGCGCAGTCGATCAACTCGAAATTATTCGCCATCGATTCTCGTCGACGTTTATTTAATTAATTATTATTCATCTATTCACCCCATAGAATCGTCCTCTTGTGCTGCAGCACTTGGGCCGTGACGAGGCCGTAGAGGGCCAGAGCGTGATAGAGCACGATCACCGTGACCATGTCCCACTTGACGTCGTCGCGCAGCACCATCCACTCGTTCTCGAATCTGGCGTTGTACTCGGCGATGACTTTGTCCCGCTCGCGATCGACCTTATCGTCGTCGTCGTCGTCGTCTCGCGGCGTCGCCGTAATTTTGGACCGCTGCTCCTCTTCCATCGTCGTCGTCGCTTCAAGCCCGATGCCGGACAACGGGCACTGCAGCAGGCCGTCCCCCACGTCCGGAGCCATAATTGTGTATATTCACTTGGTCGCCAGCGATTCCTGTATATGCTTTTTATATTGCCTCTTAATTACGATCGACACACTTGCTCACAATGATAACGATATCACGATCGCTCGCGGTTACATTTTCCGAATTCGATCATGATTTCGAGCGTGAGAAAAAAAAAACAACAAAAAAAAGGCAGACGAAACGCGATGAAAAGCGCCGAGGATAGAACGACTGCGAGCAACAACGTAATAATAGCCAAGACTACATGGTCAAGAGCACCTTATAAGCAATTGTGTGTGCGGTGCAAGAGGATTTTCACGGCGTGCGATCGAACGAGGCAGAGAGAGAGAGAGAAAAAATAGTAATGACGCTTTCCGAACAATACCTCGCCACACGCGCACACACACACTCGCATAAGAACGCGTAACTGCAATCGATTGATTTAATGAAAATATCTTATCGCGTAATCTCGCAGCATCCCGCAGCTTAGTAAACATATATAATACGCGTTAACCGCGCGATGCTCATTCACAGACACACGTACACAGCAGCAGCAGCAGCCGCAGCAGCAGCGGAGGCATCGGTAATTATTCAAATGCGAGAAAACTCGCGGCTTTGTTGTAATTTCGCTCTCCGAGTATAGGCGTAATTCGCTTAAGCTCGTGAATATACATATACACAACAAAAACAAAAGAAAACAAGACGACGATAACGATAACAATGCTGATCGACGTACCCGACGTAGACGTGTGCGGACGCGCGGTTGAAAGGATGCGTCCGTTTCCTCACCCCAAAAAAAAAAAAACAAAGCCAACGAACCGAACGGATTGGAAAATTGCACTATTTTCTCTGAGCTGGTTCTCGGCGAAAAGAAGTGGTATACGACATCATAGTGCGACGTCGCTGCTCTATCGGTGGCCTCCTCTTCGACACGACGTCGGGATGCATAATATTCGATCGGGCAATTTGTATTAAATGTCGTTGCGGCCGTTATGATTATTACCGCGCGCGCGCAAGGTCGAGAAACGACGCGTAAACGACTCGTCGTCGACGATCGCTGCGTGGAAAATTCATCGTTTCGTATGGTTTCGAAAGAACGGCCAAAACTTACCGATAAGAAAACGAGCAAATTGACAAGAAAACCCGTTCTCCTCGTAACTCGTATCGTTGATAATTCGACCGTGCGCATCGCTCGCTCGAAAGAAAGCTTATGTTATTACGGTCGTGGTGTATTATAACGTTAATCGACATTGAGACATGTAACGAAAAATATAAGCGGAAGTAATTTGCAGCGCGTGACGCATTAATAAAAGAAAAATCGACAGATATCAATCTTATATTGACCATTATCAAATTATTATTATGAATCGTTAATATATTATTATATCAATTATTATATTATAACAATTATTATATCGATCATTGTTAATTATCGAATCATTATAACGACGTCGAATCGTTACGATACAAAACGAAAATTATATATACTCATTCACGCGCGCTCATTAATCCTATATATACGATTATATTATTGTTGTTACGTCTTCTTCTCCCCACTGTCGCCGCTGCCACCGCCGCCGCCGAGATGCAGCAGCAGGTCAGTCGATGGCGACTTTGCCCTCGTCGCCGAGGCTGCCGTCGCCGCGATTCCTCATCGTTCTGCGCACGGTCTCGTCCGAGGCCACCCGGAGATCGCTGGCCCAGCCACGGGCGGCGCACCACTCGATGAAGCGACTGGTGGCGTCGAAGCGCGGACCGAGGCCGAAGTCCGCCACCCGATAGTCCGACGGGAACACGTGATGGTAATTGTGCCAGCCCTCGCCGAAGCCGATGTAGAACATGAATCGGTTCTCGCACGGAGCTATGTTTCTGAGGAGGAGGGGGAAAATGAGATCGATATGAAAGAGATACGCGACTTTTCTTTCTGTATAATATTTTATACGCGCGCGTCAATACGTACTTGTCGTAAGGCTTGTTGCCGATCAGATGGGCGAAACTGTTGAGGCTCGTGACCGAGTGCAGGCTCCAGAGTATTCTGACGACTTGGAGCACGAAGGAGCTGTACCAGTCCTCGTTCCAGCAGTAGACCGGCACCGCGGTGGCCAGCAAAGTCGCCGACAGGAACAACGGCATGAAATATCTATATATACGTGATCAATTTTTTTATTCCAGCTTAATAGCAGTTTCGTTTACGTATATACCTGTCGCACAGTCGAACGACGGGATCGGCCACGATGTCGCTCATGTCGATCTTTCGACCCTTGGCCAGCACCTGCGGATGCTTCTTCAGCATCATCCAGCCGAGATGGGCGAAGAAGAAGCCCCGACGACTGTCGTGCGGATCGGCGAACGTCTCCGAGAACTTGTGATGCACCCGATGGTCCCGCACCCAGTTGTAGATCTTGTGCTGGCCCGACAGCACGTGGGCCAAGACGAGAAAGAGTCGCAGGCCCGGGCCGGCCTTGTAGGATCGATGGGTGAAGAGTCGATGGGTGCCGGCGGAGACGCCCAGCGAGGCGTAGAAGCCCAGCGACATGGCTGCGCGCGCGGCGGCGGAAACGCATAAGTTTCATCGTTGTTTTATCACCTCCCCCTCCTACTTTCTCAGCTGGTACTCACCCCATAAAAATGTCCGCCACTGTCTCGCGTAGTCGGTGGTCAGCAGGCCGTACAGAGCCAGCAGGTGCACCGAGGCCATGAAGATCGAGTTCAGCCACTTGACGTCGCGCCATTCGAACGACTCGGCGGTGGCCTCGTCTTTGCCGTAATCTACGTCGTCGTCGTCGTGGGCGTCGAATTCCGTCGGTTCTGCCGTGGCTACCGCCGCACTCGAGGCAGCGTCGTCCGATCGATCGGTTTCGACGACGAGATTATTGTTATTCACTGCAGTTTGATCGGTAACGTCCGGAGCCATGACTTTTTTGCTCGGTTTCGGGCGAGACGAAACGTAGTAAGTACGACGCGACGACAAAAGAAGAAAAAAAATGCACAACGAAGTTAAATACAAGGCAAACTCGTTTCGAAATATATATGTATATTGGCTATCGACGCGGTGCGCGACGTTTAAGCCCCTTGGCCGACGTTTGCACTTACGCGGCGACCGCAGACACAGCCGAGGCAAAGGCACCGCGAGCGATAATAATTGCATAAAGAGAAAACAACGCACAGACGAATACATTTTTTTTTCCGTATTATTTCATGTACGAACTGCGTGCACACACTGTGTGCGCGCGATGATTATACTCGATTTTAATTTCTCGCGCGATACGAGATAACAGCTCGAGCCAATGACTCCGAAACACAGCTGCCTCCGCCGCCGCTGCAGTGTCCGGGATGCGATTACGCCGCGGATGATCGTCGATCGACGATGACGCGGTGCGTCAACAGTTCCAACAAAACGAGGATCAGGGAGGCGCCGAGGCCGGCGAGGTACAGGCCGTAGACGAGACCGAGCTGCTCCAGGCCCACCGGCGAGTAGTACTTCTTGATTTTGGCACGACGCGACGAGTCGGTGCGGGCGGCCTCGAGCCAGCGACGCTTCAGCGCGTCTATCAGGCCGTACTCGTGCAGCTTCGTGATGCTGTTGACGACCACGACGACGACGACGACGAGAACAGAAAAAAAAAAAAGAAAGAGAAAGATACGAATTTAATGGGGCTTGTTGATTTCAAGGGGTGAGGGAGTACACGATCGTTTCGAGTTTTTTACTGGACTTGAATCGAACTCGACGAGTCGGAATATTTTACTCGATTTTTTTTGTTGATAATATTGAACTTTTTCATTAGTATCATAGATAGCATACATTTTTTACAATCTATACTTTTGATGCGTGGAAAGGTGCTTATAGATAGAAAAATCCAAACCATTTTCTTTTTTAATTCTATTTATTTGAACGATATTTCTTTCGTGCATTTTTTTATTTTATTAATTATTTATTTGACACATACTCTTAAAAATACAATTTATAAAAGTCCTAAACAACAAATTACAAAAATAAAACTGCCACTTTTTAATAACCACAAAAGTCTTTCACTTTTTGGATGGAACTTTCAAGTATTTTTTGAAGTAATATTCGTAGCGATCGATTTCTTCCTCGCTCAAAACGTCACCAAGATTCGGAAGTTTGCCCTCCCAATCGCTCGCCGAGTCATAAAGCAGCCAGAAAAATTCATCTCGCTCTTTGCCGTTCTGCCAATTGATCGTCGTCGTACTCGAACGACATTTTGCTCGCAACACACAATAATTCGCGATATTTCAACAATTATTTCGTCGCAAAAATTACTCGCTGTACATAGCCGCGATATGACAACGCGAGCCGACCGTATACGTACACTGTATACTACGATACACTACACGAGATACCGCGAAGTATCCCGCGAGTCTTCGAACATCGAAAAGAAAGAAAAACGATTCACGCGACGCGCTATATACTTACCATGCGAGTCGCTGATCGCCGCTCATTAACTCTCGTACGCTCATAATTCGGTGCACGATTTTAGAAAGTAATCAATCCACGAATTAGGCTAACTTGGACGTCATGCGTCATGCGCGTATCTAAGCCAGCCGCGCGCACACGAGTAGACCCCTACTACCCACGGATTGGGCATTTTGATCATTTTTTTCGGAATGCTACAAGTGTAAAATCGTAATCGCAGCGTATTCGGGGCCCGCCATGTGCGCGAGACGCACGCGGCTATAATAGCAACGGTACTACACACGAGGGGACTTATAACCCAGGCTATACCCCGCTGTGTTGGCCATTGACGTCATAGGCGTCTTAAACAAGACAAACGCACGCCATATAAAACAATTCAGTATCTTTTAAAGTTCAGTACATAGTTACCGCGTGTTCGACCAACTATACGCATAGATGACTGAAAATAAGTGTCCAGGTTCTTTGCTATGCCTCGGCATTGTCGTCTCAGTGACAATGCTTGTACTCGGTCTAAATCATATCAATAATAATAATGATGATGCCGGTCCTTACGGGAACAGTACTAACGGTACTTATGGCGGACAAAGATTGATATCGTCCACGGCTTGGAACCACTACGCTTTGAGTGCCGGTCACGATTCCAGCTCCAGCGGCAGTCTGAGCGCCAGTCGCGGTTTGAGTGCCAGTCGCAGTTCCATTTCCAGTCACAGCAGTCACAGCAGTCACGGTTCGAGCAGGGGCGGCGGCCACAGAGGGTAGAACACAGAAAAAGCTGTATATAACGTAATCTGTATTTTGCGAGCGTCGATCCACGATGACGCGACGTTCCGAATTAAAAAATAAAATTATGCGAATTGAAAAGTCTGTAAAAACCTATCAAATACCATGTTTAAGTTTAAAAACTTGTACGATTGAAGCGTTAATCATAAATAATAAATGTAAACATTTGTAATAAAAAGTAATTTTTAAGTAATTTTTTCAAACATAATAAATGAACTGTTGTAATTAATGTTTATTTTATAATTCTGTTGCCACTTTTCAGCTCGCCTCTCGTGTATTAACTGGTACGCGGTAACGCGGTAGTGGGGGCCGGCAGCGAAGGGGAAGCGACATATATAGATATTCTAGCGCGGCTCCGCCGGCCCCCACTACTACTACTTACACCACTGCCGACCGCTGTAAACTAATTTTTCAATATTGTGAACAATTTTGCACCGACACTTGAAAAGTTTAAAGTGTATTTCGATGTAAAATTTCACGAGGAATCGATTGGTGCAATTAGTTTTTCTGTATCTTGCTTCGTTCGCGAGACATCAGCGAAAAACTCTTTCATCCTCGATTTTCACCCTGACGCTGATGTTTTAGGTAAAAAATAACATCGGCAATGAATTCAGCGCACCCAAAAACATAAAGTAGACTAGGTTTCATCTCTCCCCAAAAAAAATGCAATTTCATGTAAGTTTAACTGGACTATATATAAAGAAATTATTTTCAGCCGACTTCGGGCCGCAGATGCCGCCACGTCTAGTCGGCCCCCGCAATTTCGGGCCTTCTTTGCGGGTCTATAGTGACGAATATTGACTAGTTTTATTGGGTATACTGTATACTTTCCTATAAGAAGTAACTGTGATATTTTATTATAATTAGTGTTTTAGTTGGTTCTTTTCGATCGGACGGGGCAACAGAAGACAATTTCAATAAGTGTAAGTTTGGCTCCTAGCAGCAAGATGCCAAGGTCTTAATTACGGCATTATTTTTTCTTTAACAACTCAATTCTTTTCTACTACTTATAACCTACAAGACATAATCTTTTGAATTCGAGTATCTTTTAAATAGTAGAACATACTATATTTCACTCAAGTACTTTTATTCAAGCTTATTATGTCTTACTCGTTACTTTTTTCTACTTGCGGCAAAATTGTTGTTTTTAATAATTGAAGTCCTTGTACTTCTTATTTTGTTAAATTTACAATCTCATGCGCTACACGAGAGACACCATGGCCCACTAGAGATTCAAATCTAATCTAATCTAATTTAATCTAATCTAATCTAGTGGACAGAGCAGATCAGCGTCATGTCAGTTTAATTTTCATTCGGCGCAATCCTACCTCAGAGTGCGCCGTACCGTATACGCTGCCTCAAAGTACGCCGCTCCAAGGTGGCATATTCTGCGGAAAGGAAGTCGAGCCGGCACGATGCAGCTGCTCCGCAGCATCTTGCTGCTATAGAAGCCCACGACGCGGGACAGTCAAAAAGATAGCCACACAGTCAAAATGAAATATTATGTACATAACGGTATTTTTAGGTCGCTGCATACCAAAAGTGTAGTTGACGCAAGGAAATGACTTTTTGTTTTCTAGCTTCAAACGAGACATACTTTTTTCCCGTATAGCTTCAAGCACACGGTGTTTATCTAACTCTCACTTTCTAATTTTAGGTCAGCCGCATGATCCATCTCAGATTTCTAAAATCTAGCTACAATACACGCTAGAGTTGCCGCGCATGGCTTGCCTATATAGGCCAGTGTACGTTGCACCGCTGTGGCGTGAACGTTAAAGAGAGATCGCCACGACTGAAGCAAGTGATGTACGAAATAAAAAAATCAATAAAGTTTTGAGTTTTTCAAGTGTTTGTGCGTGAGTGTGAAAACTGATTCACGATGCCCAAAGTCAAAAAACATTCGCGTAATAATAATGACGATCTAATTAGTGGTGTTAATTGGAAAAAGGCAATAAATAGATACAAATTTCTCGATCGACTTTGTAATAATTTGAGCCGAGATGAGAGCCTGTGTCCTAATATCACAGAAATTCTTACGCCGACGCAAATTGAGGTCCTCCTCAAGGATGCAATGGATTATTGGGATAAACAAGAGAATAGCGGTCAAAGGCAACGATTTCTAAATTTCGTTATTAACAGCGGCTACACAGACCAAATTCAACGTAATAAGGACGACCCGTCATTAACATTGCAACGCCATACAGCACTGCTCCAGGCGGTCAACAAGAAGCACGACGACTGCGTGAGTTTACTTTTTAAAATTTACAACAGATTCGATGTCAATTACACCATGGAAATAGACGGATACTCGCATTTCCATGCGGCCTGTCAGTATGGATGTGACGACGTCGTCAAGGGATTCCTCGAAAAAAAGCACGATGCCAACCTGCTCGGGAAAAAGCAGGATCAAGAAAAAGTAATAGTCAACCGGCCGCTGCACTACGCTCTTGACTACAATCATTCGCCAGGAGAGTGCGACTACAAAAAAAAAGAAGTGATGGAGCAGCTGCTGGATAATGGTGCCAATCCAAATGAGGCCAACGCAGAGGGATCGACTCCTCTACACATTATTTGCAAGACGATCGACGAGGATGATCTGTTGAGCTCGTTTTTCGAAGCGATAGACAAAAATGAGCTACACGTGCACGTTGACGCCCTCGATAATGAGGGCCGCACACCGCTGCAAGTGGCGATCTCGTGTTTCAAGCCGGACGCGGTCGAATATTTACTGGAGAAGCGTAATGCCGATCCGTCAAAAATCGATTATCCCTACACGCGTAACTGGGACGAGGACGATGAATCTCATTTCTTAGCGGTGTCCAGCAGTCTCGCTATCGTCGAAATTCTAGTAAAAAATGGGTACAAAATGAAGCAGAGCGACGTTGAAAAGATCAAGAAGGATTTGCAAAATATCGCTGACATTGACGACAACTGGTACGAATTCGAGGATTTCAGAGTAAAAGCGCAACAGATAATGGTGAAGCCGGATCTGTCACTCTACCGTCTCGTACAATTACCATACGACGAGGCCAAAGAACTGCTCACGTACATGGACTTTTGGGAATTTGCACGCTTAGATAAATTGGATCAGCTGCCTCGAAAGCATCGTAAAACTTGCGCTTTGGCACTGATTAAAACGATGACTCGAAGATTTTTGGATACTTATAGACAGCTAGAATAATGTTTGCGCCGACGAAGAGGAGATTAATCTTAAAACCACACTGTATATAAAACATGCATTGTAAACACATAAATATGAAAAATGTATATTCAATTGTACAAAAGAACGATCATCAAGATATTACTGATTTTTTATATACTTTCAATAAAACAATGAAACTTTTATTAAGAAAAAAAAACAAACAAACAAACAAACAAAAATTATTATTGAAAAAAATTACACTGTTTATTTAATCAATCGAAACATTATCCTAGTCTACATAATTTTTGCGGCTTTCGATACCGCACAAAAAATATACGTTTACTTTTGTCACTAAATTAATAATATCAAGCCATGGTAATTGATGTTTATTTTATAATTCTGTAGTCACTTTTCGAGTCGCTTATGCAGCCTTTCCATTTTATTCCGTAAATTTTACAAATTTTTCTGAATTAAATCAACCTTTCAATAATTTCAAACGTTTTACCACCTGTTTTTCACCATAAACTAATAAACTAATTATTAACATCCATATGGCTATAATATTTTCATGTCAAGTATTATGATTCAACATTTGTTTAATGTCAATATTTCAGATATGCATCATAGAGTAATTTAATAATTTTTCAACTGCATGAGAGCAACTGAAAATTTTTCTTCATATTTCATAAAACATAATTTGATTAAAATATTGTGATGAAGAACTGAATGCCATATTAAAAAATTTATAATAACTGAACATCTGTGGCCAAAGATATGTCTCGAGGCTCCTTAGCTGAAGCTGAGAAATTCTGATTTGCAATTAGGCATTATTACATTAAAAATAAATATTGATGACAGTATAAATGTGTTTCTTAACTACTAGGAAGATTACAAGAGATTTTTTAAATTAATTAATTAATCAATTGTTATACTTCGTATATTATTCGTATTTTTGTTCTACTTTTTAACACAAGTAATTTCGAAATTGCTCAAGTGTTCGTACATGTAAGATATGTGTACGTTAACAATGAATTGCGTACTTTAATAATTAATTTGAAAAATTAACCCTTTCCTATGATGCATATGTAGCTTCATAACGTCAAAATAATTCATTACATCTGTCTAATTAATTATAAAATCTCAAGATGACATTTTCATTGCAAATGGTAACAAAAATCTGCTTTTCATTTTTTTTTTATTTTGATTCTATAAAGTTTATTAATTCTTGATTTTTGGTGTGCATTTCTTTACATATTAAACTTCACACTACTCTAATTACTACTAATTTCATTTTACCAATTCACCTACCATGATGTTATCTACATATAATTTCTTTTATGGTACATTTATTCAGTCTCAATGGAATACATATTTATTGAACTTTAAGATCTTTTGTGCGTCTGCAGATTCTGTGACAATTGTTTTTTCATTGGTAGCGTCTACTACAGGTGGCTATTCAGCCCGTAGATCCTGTGGAAAATAGATATTATCTGGATAACATTTCTTTCTTTGTACTTTTGATTCAACCAGCGTGAAATCCACATTAATTGGATCTAACATCTTTTGTGCATCTGCAGATTCGGTGACAATTATTTTTTCATTGGTAGCATCTACTACCGATGGCCAATCAGCTGGTAAATCCTGTGGAAAATAGATATTATCTGGATATAATTTCCTCTTTGGTACTGTTGATTCAGTCGCTGTGGAATCTACATTGGTTGAATTTAACATCTTTTGTTCATCTGCAGATTCTGTAACAATTGTTTTTTCATCGGTAGCATCTATTGCCAGTGGCGATTCAGCTGGTAGATCTTGTGGAAAATAGATATTGTCTGGATAACATTTTTTTTTTTGCACTGTTGATTCAGTCAGTGTAGAATCTACATTGGTTGGATCTAACATCTTTTGTGCATCTGTACATCCTGTGACAATTGTTTTTTCATCGGTAGCATCTACTACCGATGGCCAATCATCTGGTAGATCTTGTGGAAAATAGATATTATCTGGATATAATTTCCTCTTTGGTACTGTTGATTCAGTCGCTGTGGAATCTACATTGGTTGGATTTAACATCTTTTGTGCATCTGCAGATTCTGTAACAATTGTTTTTTTATTGGTAGCATCTATTGCCAGTGATTCAAGTGATAGATCCTGTGGAAAATAGATATTGTCTGGATAAAATTTTTTTCTTTGCACTGTTGATTCAGCCAGTGTAGAATCTACATTGGTTGGATCTAACATCTTTTGTGCATCTGTACATCCTGTGACAATTGTTTTTTCATCGGTAGCATCTACTACCCGTAGCCAATCAGCTGGTAAATCTTGGAGAAAATAGATATTATCTGGATATAATTTCCTCTCTGGTACTATCTGGTCCTCGTTGGTTAAGGACCGTACCCGTAGCCAATCAGCTGGTAGATCCTCGGGAAAATAGATATTATCTGGATATAATTTCCTCTTTGGTACTATCTGGTCCTCATTGGTTGAATCCACATCATTTTTAGACTTTTTATCATTCATAATTGCTGCCTGAAATTAATTTTGGTAAACATTTACTCAAAGTATTGCATTTTAATTATTACTTTTATGACTATGAGAATTATGAGAAGTTTTACGCTTTTACAATGAAAACAATATAGTCGTTGATGTAATAAACTGAGTCGACTTACCTTTTCAATTGATCCCCGCTTTAACTGGTGAAAATACTATTTTGTAGAGTTATGTAAAAACTTGTCTTCTTAATTTTGATGAAAGTTGTGGATCAATTTGTCTATTCGTCTTAATATTCACCCGATAGCCGTTCGATTCAATTCTATAACGTATTACGAAGCGTCAGAAAAATGAAATACACAAGAGTTCGATCAAATTATAAATTTTGCCTTTACCCGTCACGACCATCGCAGAGAGAAATCGTAGAGAGACTTGATAATTTGAAAATCTTACGCTGGCTGATCGAACGAGTCAATTTTGTACCGCGCACCTTCGCGATGTAAACATAGAAAGTACACAAGTCCCGATCTAATTTTGTTTAGTAGAATATGAAACTTTGTATGCTTGTTTCACTCGAAAAATTGGATAAAATTACATCGGATCTAGTGCAGGTCGATGCAAACGAAATTTTAAATCGGTATACACTGCTAATAATTAGCGTGCAAACGTACGAAACGAACACAAACATCGTCATTGTTTAAAAGTAACTAATGAATTTTCACGACAATCAGAAAGCGAGCAAAACAAAAAAAATGTTTCGATTCTCCGACGAGACTTTTCACGCTTGCAAAAAAGTCAATTACCCGCCGCGTGATAATTCATACGAATATTTTGAGGGGATCAGTATTTCCTAAATTTCTTATATTCTCGCTCCTACCTCTTAGATCACTCGTTCATGACCTAAAAACATTAACCAAACGTATAAGAGGTCGGCGCAAGTGCCTAGACCCTGCCGACAATCGCAAAAAGGTTTTTATTTATAATTTCGCTGATTTCCCAAGATTAGCGATTGCTCTGACTTTCTAAAGTAATTTAAAAGTACCACTCAGGTAGGGCGTATAAAATTGTATCCTTATCATAAAAATATGATCGAAGAATATTCATAAGGGTCATAAAAAATCATTAGCACTCCCAGTACGATATAATAATGTTAAAAATCAAAGAAAAAACGCCGTTTTTTCGACTTTGCTGTTATTTTGCGTATTAACCCTTTAACGCCTGAAATGACCATTTTTGGACAAAATTTATAGCGATAAATTATACCGACTAAAAATTGTTTAAAAAACTTTTCAGACATCATTTCTCACGTAAAATTTAACGTACTTTTCGAATCCGGGGTTAGAATTAAAAAAAAATTATTCAATAAAAAGTTATAAACAATTTTGTAAAAAAAAAACATGAAATTTTGAGAAAAAAATCTCGATTAACTCAACTCGGAAAAAAGGTTCGGTTTATTGTAAAACAGTTATAATTACGAAATTCAAAATGGTGATCATGAATTTGACTCCCAAAGACTTATATGCCATAAAATGATTTCGACAATTTTTAATTCGATAACCATCAACTTTACGAGAAAAAGTTATAGAACAAAAAGGGTTTAGAATTCATCAAAAAACACGCCTGATTTTTTTCAGAACTTTTTGGAACGATTTTTGGATTTCTGGATAACACCATTTTTTCAAAAATCCAAAAATTGTTCCAAAAAATTCTGAAAAAAATCAGGCGTATTTTTTGATAATCACCATTTTAATTTCGTAATTATAACTGTTTTAAAATAAAGTATACAAGCCATTGACCAAATTTGTATGCGTGAGACGCACGAGCGAACCTTTTTTCCGCGTTGAAATTTGAGTTAAACGAGATTTTTTCCTCGAAATTTCATGTTTTTTTTTTTACAAAATTGTTTATAACTTTTTATTTAATAATTTTATTTAAATTCTAACCCCGGATTCGAAAAGTACGTTAAATTTTACGTGAGAAATGATGTCTGAAAAGTTTTTAAAACAATTTTTAGTCGGTGTAATTCATCGCTATAAATTTTGTCCAAAAATGATCATTTCAGGCGTTAAAGGGTTAAATTAAGGGCTTAAAGGCACCCTTAAATTAAAAAAATTTTTAATCAATTTTTGGAAAGGATTTTTCTTTCTTTTTCCACTGCATTTTTTAAAACTTTGAAAATTTCATTTTTCACCGAGATAAAACGCTTTCCGCTAATCTTTTTCGTATACTTTAAATGTTGAATTTTTTCTTCTTTTGAAAAAACCGTGAAATTTCTTTATACTATGCATTCAAAAAAAAGTCATCGTGAAACGAGAACGCATTCAATTATTGTTTGACATTGAAAAATTAAATTTATTTATAAAATAGAAGGCATATATAATGAATCTTAGATTATGTTTACGAAGAAAAGTTATGAAATAAAATTTTTTTTTTCCAAACAGTGCTACAAAAATAAAAATAATGACTGCAAGAGTATAATTTTAGTCTAAGGTCCAGTAAATAAAATTATCTTTGAAATAAATGAAATTAAAGCGATATCGATTAATCGTTCGTTTCGGTAAACATGCTTTCGAGAAAAATGCGTTCAACGTTTTCAACTGACATCGAGCACCGTGTAAGCGCTTTTTTTCGATTCTTTGGTCGAACTTGATGAGATCGTGATACAAACTATCATGAATTTGATAAAAACGAGCCAGAGAGTCTCAGTTGAGCCGAGGGCTTTTTACGGGTGCAACTGGCTCGATGTATTTTTAGATGCAACGCATCGATATGTGAAGGATGCTTGAAGTACAAAGGACCTTTTATTAACATTCCGACTAAACAGAGCAACAGGCTCATCGCCAGATTTCCCCGCAGTTGGAGCTTGAACGTCGCGTAGTGAGTTCGACGTTTTCAAGCGACTGAGATGGAGTCCAGTGAATTTTTCGGCTGTGCCGTCAGGTAAATATCATTTTAAGGGAATAAAATGTTAATAATATTATTGTGAAAAAATGGATTTTATTGAAGTTATCATTGCAGAGTAAAAGAGGAGCCTACTGAAGTGTCGCGTATCGAAAATGATTGTAAAATGATTGACGAGAAACCCGATCTTAATCAAATCCAATGCTTACCATTTTCGACAGAAAATTCAGTAAGTAGAGATATAATTACATGCAAATGAAAACATTTTAATCTAAATTCAATTATTTTACAGACCCAAATGCATCAACAATTTGACGGAAATCGTGCAAGTGCTGAAAAAATTGATGACGATTTTCAATATCATATGCAGAATATAAAAGATAGCGATAGTTATGAAATTCGAGCTGCAATTAAAATAGAAACCGTGAGTGAAGTGAAACAAGAAATCAGTGACGACTTTGCGGTAGAATCGAGTTTTAATCACGACGGTGAACGCAATGAGGATTTGGAAATCATTTTTGAATGCGAAGACGTGAAACTCAATAGGGATTTATTGGTGGTTAATAAAATAGAAACTAGGGATGAAGTTAAACAGGAATTTTTTGATGACGCTGCCGAAAAAATGAATTTGAATCTTGACCGTGAAGTTGTCGAACAAAATAAAAAAAAGAACGGTACTAAAAAATCGATGAATAGCAATAACACCCAATATTGTCGCAAACGAGGGAAAACGTTTGTACGTAAGAAAAATCTCAACCATCGCGTCAATTTGATGCATAGTAATATCACTAATGCATGCAATATTTGCGAAAAAATATTTAAACGAAGAGATGGTCTCAATAAGCACATCGATGCGGTGCATAATAAAATCAATTATACATGCGATATATGTCGAAAGTCATTCACAACTAAAGCTAGTGTCAGAATTCACATCGATTCAGTGCATTATAAAATCACGTATGCGTGTGATATATGCAAAAAGACATTCTCAAGCAAGAGCAATCGTAAAACCCACATTGATTCCGTGCATCATAGAATCACGCATGTAACATGTGATGTATGCCAAAAGACATTCTCAGAAAAGAGCTATCTCAAAAAACACATCGATATTGTGCATAAAAAAATCACTGTTCCATGCAATATATGCGGACAGAAATTCGCCACGAAGGCTTATCTCAACATCCACATTGATATGGCGCACAATGGTATTGAACACGCATGCGACATTTGCAAAATTAAATTTAAATGCAAGACTTATCTGAAAAGGCATGTTAAATCAGCGCATGAAGGTATCACCCATTCATGTGATGTATGCGGCAAGACATTTTCATTTAAGGAAAGTCTCAAATACCACATCGATGCTATTCATAATGATGTTACCTATTCTTGTGACATATGCAGAAAGAAATTCACATCGACGACTTATCTCAAGGTCCACATTGAAAGTATCCATTATAATGTCACTTATACGTGCGATACATGTGGCAAGACATTTTCATTGAAAAATTCTCTCCGAAGACACATCAATGAAAAGCATATCGTAACATCAGATCGTCAGGGTATTATCCATTCGTGTGATATATGTGACAAGACATTTTTAATTAAGAAAAGTCTCGAATACCACATTGATGCTATTCATAATGATGTTGCCCATTCTTGTGACATATGCAAAAAGAAATTCACATCGAAGAGTTATCTCAAAATTCACATTGAAAGTATCCATAATAAAGTCACTTATACGTGCGATACATGTGGCAATACATTTTCAATGGACAGTGCTCTCCGAAGACACATCGATGAAAAGCATATTAATGTCCGCAGACATGCATGTGATAAATGCGGCAAATTATTTAATCAAAAGAGGAGTCTTAAAAGACACGTCAATATGGTACACCACAATATCTCTTACGCATGCGACATATGTGGGGAAAAATTCTCAACAAAAAGAAATCTCAAACTTCATATCAACGCAGTGCATAATAAAATTATGTTGACATGTGATACATGCGGCAAATCATTTACTGTAAAAAGTCATTTAAAAATCCACATCGACTCAATGCATAATCAAATCACTCATGCTCATCTAAATTCAATTGTATTACAGACCCAAATGCATCAAGAATTTGACGGAAATCGTGCAAGTGATGAAAAAATTGATGACGATTTTCAATATCATATGCAGAATATTACAGATAGCGATAATTATGAAACTCAAGCTGAAATTAAAATAGAACCCGTTAGTGAAGTGAAACAAGAAATCAGTGACGACTTTGCCGTAGAATCGAGTTTTACTCGTGACGGTGAACGCAATGAAGATATGGAAATAATTTTTGAATGCGAAGACGTGAAACTCAATAAGGATTTATTGGTGGTTAATAAAATAGAAACTAGGGCTGAAGTTAAACAGGAATTTTTTGATGACGCTGCTAAAAAAATGAGTTTCAATCACGAGTGTGAACTTAACGAACAAAATAAAAAAAAAACAGAAGAATCAAAGGATAGCGATAACGCCCAAAATTATGACAAACGAGGAAAAACATTTTCATGTAAGAATAATCTCAAAAGTCACATTAAATCTGTGCATATCAATATCACTAACACATGCAATATTTGCGGAAAAGTCTTCAAACAAAAAAGAGGTCTCGTTAGACACATCAATTCAGTGCATCATAAAATCATGCATACATGTTGTATATGTCAAAAAACATTCTCAGACAGGAGTAATCTCAAAACCCACATCGATTCTTTGCATCATAAAATCAGGCATGCATGTGATATTTGCGGAAAGAAATTCTCTCTAAAAAGTCATCTTAAAATCCACATCGATTCGGTGCATCATAAAATCAAGCATACATGTGATATTTGTGGAAATACATTTACACAAAAAAGTACTCTCAAAATCCACATTGATACAGTGCACAAAAAAATCACTTCAGCATGCGATATATGCGGAAAGGTATTTACAAGAAAAGATAATCTCAAAACCCACAACGACTCGGTGCACAATGGCAACACACCTACATGTGATATATGTGGAAAAGCATTCGTCTTCAAGTGCAGTCTTAAAAAACACATTGATAACCAGCATAGTGGTGCAATTCGCAGTTGTAAAGTGTGTGGAAAAAAGCTTACACGAAGGAGTAGTCTGAAATTATTCATCGATTTAGTGCATAATCGTATTAAACATCCATGTCACTTGTGTGGAAAGATATTTACACAAAAAGCTAATCTCGAGTTGCACATTGATTCAGCTCATAAAGATCAAAAACGTGACATCTGTGACACATGTATGCGATCGCTGCGATCTGTGAAAGTAATGCCCAACGGAGTGCCGTCTTAAATTCTACATTGATGTATGTTGATGTTTAGATGTCATATTTAAAAATTAATTATTCATGCGAAGGAATTTCAGAAGTAAAATAATATCTATTCTGAATTGTAGCCAGTGAAATGTTGAATCCTTCTAATTGATGTCAATTTTTTTACTAATGTCTATGGGATTATCTAGTTCGAAAAGATTTGCAACAAATTCAATTCAAAACTATATGTATTACTCATGTGTATCGATGTATTATTTATATGTATTACTTATGAATAAAACGAATGTAAAACATTAAACAACATGCGTTACAAAATATAATACAAATCGAATTCAAAATTCTGCAAGTGTGAAAACGATACACGTAGCTCAGATTTGTCAATAAAGATCATTGTAGGTATGAGATGATTTCAGAAAAATAATAAAACTAGGCATCTAGCAGGATAGTCAACCATCAGACACTAGTGTGAAACAAGTGATGCAGGCTCATATCTTTGGCTCTCCCACCACCACCTGCCGACCGCGAAATCGAGTGAATTTTCGCAAAAATGCACTAAGTTTTCGGGCGTTTTTTTAAAATAGTTTTCCATGTCAGATCAAAAAAATAAAATAATACGTTTTGAAGAGTAAACATCTTAGTTTTCAAATTCGTTTAAAAAATTTCAAAAAATTAAGTTTAAAAGATTTTATATGCAAAAAACAAAAATGCTGATTTTACGCAAAAAAAAAAAAAATTACAAATTGAATATTTCGGATAATGTGAGACTATAAGTCTCACAAAAATCAGGTTTTGTCCAGTTTTTCTGCTTGATAAGAGCTACTTTTCAGCGAAATTTGGTTTCCTAAAACCAAAAATTGAATGAGCTGCGAATTTTCGAAAATTGGCGAAAAATCAAGTTTTCCGAACATTTCCATATTTTTTCGGGAAATTCTTATCCGATCGAAACGTAGCAAAATTTGTTGGAAAGGTAACTAAATTTCCAATATTTTTTCTCACGGGAGCCTCAACGTAGCTGTCTTGGTCTCGAAAATATCTTAGTAAAGCCAAAAACTTTACTGCGATTTTTTGTTAACCCTTTAACGCCTGAAATGACCAATTTTGGACAAAATTTATAGCGATGAATTACACTGACAAGAAATTGTTTGAAAAACTTTTCAGATATCATTTCTCGCTTACAATTTAATGTACTTTTCGAATCCGGGATCAGAATTTAAATAAAATTATTAAATAAAAAGTTATAAACAATTTTCTAAAAAAAAAACATGAAAACATGAAATCGTGAAGATGTCGTTTTCTGAAATTGTGCTTTGACTTTATACAATTACTTTAACGTTGTCACTTGCGGATTTACGTTTAATGCTAATTCGCCATCTAGCGACGAAGGCTTAAAGTCGTTGAAAACTAGTCTCAATTTATGGAATCAACTAAATTGACAATTGACGGCTATTTAAAATGAGCTCATTGACGTATAGAACATACACTTTATATGTTATTTGAAAAGTATAGATATTTCAGCCAAAACTCTTGGCATGTTTTCGCGTATCATGTTCTCGAAAATAATGTCATTATATGTATATTATATATACATAAAACGAGGCTCACCCGGAATCGATGGCTCGCTTGTGTCTGCAGCCCTTGGCCAAGCCAGCGACGATCCAGGTCTTGAAGTAGGACTCGCCGGGCACCGGGACGAGCTCGCACGGCGCCAGCTCGGCCATCCTCGCGTACTCGCTCTGCAGCACGGCGTACGGCCTCTCGGACGAACTCGTCGTCGTCGTCGTTGTCGAGTCTGCTGCTGCTGCTGCTGGGAGCCCCCCTGCTTGGCTGCAGGCCAGACTCCACATGTCCTGATGCGTGTCGAGGAAAGCGATGCGCTCGGCCAGCTGGATGCGCGCGTAGACCGGCCTGTAATTCTTCCTGAAGCCGATCTCGACGATCGAGTGTCGCTCGGCGAGTATCGCGTAGTCCGTCTCGTCGAGCAGCTGGTCCAGGCTCGAGAACGGCGCCGGCGAGTAGGTACGCTGCATGAAGATGACGAGCTGCGAGCCGTACGAGACGAGCAGCAGCCACGAGAACAGGCCCGTGCTCAGGGCCAGGAGGCGAGAGGACGACTCCCAGAGGGCCAAGTACAGGGGCTCGCCCTGATTGCAGAGAGCGCCGAAGCCGTAGAACAGATAGTCGGCCGAGCTGGAGCAAGCCAGCACGACCCGCGGCGCTACGTCGTCGCTGGACGACCACCTCGACGCAGCTACGTTGACCGCGACGAGCAGCAGGTAGAAGAGGCCAGCCGCCGCCCAGACCTGCCACGAGAACAGATCGAGCATCCAGAGGCTCTTGAATCGGTAGTAGGGCCGGACGAACAGCCGATAGCGATCCTTCCAGATGGAGCGGGTGAAGTCTACGGCGGCGAGGCGCTCGGCGAACGCCTCCATCTTCGGTATGGCCTCGTAGCGGCCCTGCTGCACCAAGCCCAGCAGATCCGTGAAATTTTTGTCGTTGTTGCTCGACGACGACGACGACGATCGATTGGCCGGCTGGACGACGGTGCCGAGGCTGCGAGTCCTCGATCTCGTCACCACCAGGGTGAAGTTGAGGAGGTCGGCGAGCACGGACCAGACGTCGCCGCAGATCCCCGTGGCGCTTCGTTTGCCCCGCTGAAACTCGAAGTAATCCGGATCCTGCGTGTCGAAAGATCGTTACGTGAGATCTACAGAGAGATTATTTATTTACTTGTTTTTCGTCGTAAACTCTAACTTGGAAATAAACGGCGTGAATCTTGGTGCCGTTGAGATTCGGCCGGACGTTCCAGCGGCTGCTGCTGCCGTTGCCTTCCTCGCGACGATCCTCGCTCGGTGGTTTGAGATCTCGAAACGAGTCGGCGTCGGCGATCGGTACTAAGTCGCGCCGATCCTTGCCGAGATAATAGACGCGCGACGACGACGACGACGACGACCAAGGCAACGTCGCGAAGACGAGAAAAAGTATAATCCCGAAAGTCGAGCACCGATTCATCGTACGTCGTTCTCTGGAATAACTATACGCTCTCGTGTCGACGACGTCGCAGAGAAAGAGAGAGAGAGAAATGCTTTTAAACTAACATAGCGATGCGGAGTGCATCGATATCCGCACAGGATCTAAATTCGAGAGACACGCAAGAACGAAATTACCCGAAATCGCGATAATATGACGTTTCGGTGTAACATCGCGTGGGTAATGTTTCGTTTGCTATATATATTATTGACCAGAGCGTAAATGCCACAATAAGTATATTATACTCATAGTATAATCTATGTTACACGTGTACAAAGCGTGATGGTTTCGATTTTTAACGAGCACGCGGATATTAGTTTTATTAAATTAACGGCATTTATTTTGTGCTTAACGTCTTTTTATTAATTACATTTGCTATGAGTCTATGTCGAATACACAAAATATTACGTTTATCCACAAATTGCGTAGCACGGATAATTATTCTCATTCGCTCGTGATATATATACCATTATTATTTCATTCGTCGATTACGTTTAATAAACCACGACTCGATCCTGCGAGCGATCGTCGACTTACGACCGGCGAGCAGAAAGTGACAGAGAATCTCCGCGAGCAGCACCAGAATCGACAGACTCGCTCCCGCGGCGAGTACCCCGAAAGTCACGTAGACCTGCTGCATGTCGATCGACTGAAAGGGCGGCTGCTCGTCGTCGCCGCCGCTCCAGACGTTGTCGAGCCATCGCTCCCTCAGGCCGTCGAGCAGGCCCGTCTCGAGCATCCTCACGATGCCGAGGTCGAAGCAGCGCTTGTACTTGAAGCCGCGCTTCACCGCCGAGGCGACGAACGACTCGAAGTAGTGCGCCCCGGTGGGCACGAGCCTGCAGAAGTCGCGGCCCAGCGCCTTGTGCCGATCGTCCGCCTCGAAGACGGCGTATCTTTTCTTCCTCTTGGAGGAGGAGGAAGCCGCGGCGGCGCAAGCCTTGGCGTACATGTCCTGGGCCGCCGGGGCGTAGCTCACCCGCGAGAAGTCGCGGGCCGATCGGGCGTAGCGCTGCACGAGGCCGCGAAACTCCTGATTGGTTACAGTAAAACGAGACGAGAGACATACCACAATAAAAATATTTTACCAGCCGTTGCACAAATTTTTTATCAGTGATAACAAGTGAGGTATACGCCTTTAATTTCGATCAAATTTAAATCAATTTTTTATATAGCGATTGAAACTTGATATCTGATTTTGATCAATAATATATATCTGTTGAAGATGTTCGATTCATTCAGCCAATTATTAAAAACAAATTTCTTACGTCCTATTAAGTTGTTAATATTAATTACTGATCGAATATAGGGGCATATACTTAACGCTATGGAAAACTTTGTATCTTTCAAATTTGTTGTTGTAGTTATATTTGTCTGAAATTCACTTGCGGTACTTTTCATTGACTCGATGAAATACCAATTTGATCAACAAACAATTCATCATTCTCAAAGTTCACTGAGAAAAAAAATTCATCGATTCAATGAAATTTTAATTAAATACAATCTATGAAATAATTTCATTGAAATAATCATTTTTTATTTCATCCAACAAAATATTTAGTTGTTTTTACCAAAATTTCATGAAACTAAAGAAAAAAAGATCGTTTCAATGAAATTATTTCATAGATTGTATTTAATTAAATTTTCATTTAATCAATGAATTTTTTTTTCTCAGTGTTGAAATGTAACACTTGACGATCGACGATAAAAAAATTACTTACAAGAGAATGTACTTTATTTAGCCATTTCTGCTAGTACTCAAGATCAAAATTCTTATAAATAAAATCAGAAATTTCAAAGTTCCTTCATAAGCTTTTACGGAAACGTTCGTTACGAGCTCGTGAAATATTTTCTTGGAATGAAATAATACGAAATATATATATATATACCTGGTGCACCATCGAGCCGTTGAAGGCGAGCACGGCGTACTGGCTGCCACGCAGCAGGCCGCGCAGATCCGCGAACGGCGGCACGAAGCGCCGGCTCGTCAGCAGCAGGATGGCGTGCGAGCTGAACGCTATGAGCACGACCCAGGCGAAGAGGCTCGTGCTCAAGTAGACGAGGCGCGACTTGTCGTGCAGCCCCGCGGGCACGCCGCCCTGGCTCGTGGCCACCGCCACCGTGTAGAACACGTGATCCTGCAGGCTGGCGAAGCGATCACGATCGGTCTCGCCGGCGTCGTGTCGCGAGCAGAGCTCGGACAGGTACTCGGCGCAGCCCAGCCCAAGCAGCAGCAGGAAGAAGGCCGACCAGAGGCCGGGCGAGAAGAGATGGATCATCCAGGCCTCGTCGTGGCGCCACTCGGGCCTGATGTAGAGGCGATACCTGATCGACCAGAGGGGCACCGTGTACTCGAGCAGGTCGAGGCGGCCGCGAAACATGCCCGAGCGCGGCACGATCTGCGAGTCGTTGGCCTGCAGCCGGCCGAGGATGCCGTCGTAGCTGCCGTTGTCGCGCTGGCCGCCGAAGTTGCGCTGCTCCATCTTGACGGGCACGAGGCTGTGTGGATACATACGAAAGGAATAGAGTGGATCGATTGTAATTAATTTTTCGTCGTTACGTGAAGTTTAGATAGTCGGCGAGGTTGTTCCAGAGCTCGCCGCAGACGCCCGTGACCCTCGTGTCGTTGTCTATGTACTTCACCAGATTGCCCTCCTGCGCAACGTGGAATCAAACGCAATCCGTGCAATTTTATAAGAGCTATATCTTTTTCGATTAAATCGGTCGATATACGCACTTCGAAATAAACGAGCTTGAGCTCGGCCCCGTGAAAATTGTGAAACTCCAGTCGGCGATGCCACCTCCAGCGGCGCTCGCGAGCCTCGCGGAACGTCGCCAGATCGAAGATCGGCCGAAATTCCTGGCTGGCGTTGCTCCAGATCAGTCCGCCCGCGGCCTCGACCAGTAGTAGAGCTGCGCTTGACGCTGCTTTCTTCTCGTAATTGTCCTTGGAAACGATGCCGAAGAACCACGACGGCTCGAGGTTGAGCGCGACGAGGCTCGCGACCAAGGCGCGCAGTACCACCGATTTCATGATCGCGGGCGGCGATCGATCTAAATAATTAATGCTACTTTGCACGAAAGAGGGTCCGCTCGCAGAGTCCGTCTTCCGAACGCGAACGTTCCTTTTCTCTTTCTCCCTCGCTATTATCATTATTATTGTTATTATTATTATTATTTTAGAAATGCATGCCTGTCGGGCCATGAATCGATCCCTCTCTCTCTCTCTCTGCAATCGTTATCCAATTTTTTCATCGGCAGCTTTCTGTTAAAGTGCAACGGCGTGCATTTATAGGCGCGTAGCGACATTATCGCGACGCGTGAATCGCGATGCGCTTATCGGGCGAATTTTACCTAATGGTTGTATGCAAAGTCTATCGTGAAAAATGATTGATACGTGTGATAAGAAAAAAAAACTATATATATGGGTCAGATTCAGAATTTTTCAAATAAACCTGCGGGCGAGGTTCACGGATTTTCCTGAAATTTTGGTATGTTATAGTACATGATAAAAAAGTGCCAAAACCAAAATTTTGGACCCCCTCCCCCCTCCTACCCCCCTCCTCCCCTATAGACGTCCATTTTCCATCGAAATTTTTTCTGAGGCCTGAAGCTATTAAAAAATCTGAAAAAATTCAAAATTGTTGATTTTTCCTTGTGAAAATGAAATTTTTCGGAAAATCGCACTGCGCCATGAGAAAGCTGAGGAAAGTTCCTATCGAAAGCATATCTTTATTTATTTTTTGAGTCTAATTACGAGCGAATTTCGATTGTAGTGAGCCGTGCAACGCTAAAAACCTCAAGACCGCTCTGAAAACTGAAAACGGAGAACAGGGGAGTCAAAATACGTTTGTATAGGATTGTAATTCGGCTCAAAAAATAAATGAAGATGCTTTCGATAGGAAATTTCCTCAGCTTTCTCATGGGGCAGTTAGATTTTCCGAAAAATTTCATTTTCACAAGGAAAAATCAACAATTATTCAAAAATTTCACTTTTTCCGTACTGAATTTTTCGACATATTTAGCCCTCTAAGTTTGATGGCGATTTTCGCGGTGAAAATTGGATACTTCAGAAAATCGAATAGTACCATCGGAAAGCTGAAGAAATTTCCTATCGAATACATCAGTCAGTTAAATTTTTCAGATGAGTTTTGATACTTTTTCAACGACTTGTAAATCGAGCAATAAGTCGTATTTGCGTGAAAAGATGACTTTTCGGCGTCTAAAACACAAAAGTGCCCGAAAAAAAATTAACTATTTTCAAATTTCATGTTCACGCGTTTTTTTCACTTCTGGAGGTCCTATGAACAATTTGCGGGGGTCAGGGCCGCTAGGCACGCAAAAAAAAATTTCACCTTTTTTTGTTAACGAAACGGAATTTTATTTTGAGATTTGACCACATGTGCGTGACGCGACCTGCGAAACATTGATCTCGTTGATATCGTTTCGTTTCTGTGTTACATCGATATCAGGCTAGGTGTGTGTATCGCGCAGAAACTGTAACTCGTTTAATGCGAACGTGTTTACAGTTTCGTAATCGTGTATTTTTTTTTCGATGCTCCGCGCGAGAGACGGCGCACGAGGTCAAGCACCCGCGCGACGATTCACGTTCAACTTATCTCCTCGCCTTATACATTTTTTGTATCGGTATACAATTAGTTCATGCGTGCGCGAACACGAATTAAAGCGACTTTGTAAATGCATATCATGACGAATAATATAGGAGCGAATATTTTTGCGAATATTTTTAATTAACTCATATCCATGGATTACAGAGACCTTATCATTCCTTTTTGGTGATAATTATGTGGACGAATGTGATTTTTTTATTTGTAGATTGCCGATCGACACGTAAGATAATACCACAAGAGCCTATACCTACTATAAAAATTATTTATAAATTTAAAGTACATATATTTACCATAATTTCCTTTCACAGTTATATTTACTTGGAAATTACAATAGTTACTCTTTAAATCAATGATTTTAATGAGAATAATGTAGTACCAATACTAACATTAAAGAAGCTGAACTAACATTAAAATTGAAGTGAACATTTACTTGACAAATGTGGGAGTTTTTATTTAGTGAAGACGTGAATACTACTGTTATTTTATGAAATTTAATTGCATTCCTGGGTGTACAGACAATTCAAAATGTTTGAAATGTTCAAAACTTGAATATATTGAGAACTACGTTTTTTGTCAATCACAACACTTAATATCCATGAAATAGCCGAGCTATCACTTTTTTTAAGAGGATAAAAAAGGAAAATTAATATTTCAATAAACATCTCTTTTAAAGATAATTGAAAATTGTGAAATTTCACCATAACTGCGTTATTCTTATTGCTGATATGTACTAAAGCAATTGAAGCACTTCAAAGCAGCACATGAAAAGATTTGATTTTTAAGATACATTTCTTTAACGTTTCTTTGTTAGCTGCATTTGATTTTATAATTATTATTATTTAAAATTTGAATTCTCTGCACTTACGCTCGCGACGCGTTACTGTACGGTCATTGTCAGAATTTAAATTTCAGTATTTACACCGTAGGCGGCAGCCACTGTCTCGGTTTCTTCCTTTTCTCTCTTTTCAACACACATCTAAGGTATGGTAATCGAATTTTTAATGAAAAATAAATAAAATTTAGTGCTGAAGCAGTGTGAAAATTTGAAAACAGAAAAATAAGTTTCGAAGTTAAAGTCTATGTTTTGTTAAAACTTATTAACTCCAATTAATTTGTTAGCAATGAATTTAAAATCATCATACAACATCCTAACCTTTCCTGCAATACTGAATAGTGCAATAGTGTTTAAAATATTCTGCTTGATATTGACATGTGTGTGTTTGAAAAGTATACTTACCTGTTGCATATTTTTTAGATGCTTGCAACAAATACAAAAATCATCAAGAGCGGGGGTGCTGAACCAGATGAGTTTGAGAAGAGTGTTTCTCAAGCTATTGTGGAATTGGAGGCCAACTCTGATTTAAAACATCAACTTCGTGAAATCTACATCACGAAGGCTAAAGAACTTGAGCTTGGAACCAAAAAAGTGATTATTTATAATTCTTATTATTTAGTCTCAGTTAAGTTATTTGAGCTTTATTAAATCTCGCAAATTATTTCATTATTTTATAGAGTATAATTATCTATGTGCCAGTTCCTAAGCTGAAACAAGTACAAAAAATTCAAACTAGGCTGGTTCGCGAGTTGGAAAAGAAATTTAACAACAGGCATGTCATGTTTCTTGGAGATAGACGCATTTTGCCAAAGCAAACTAGAAAAACACGCAGTGCAAACAAGCAAAAACGCCCAAGAAAGTAAGTCTACTGTGTTAAACAGTTATTAATGCAATATCTTTTTTTAAATTTAAAGTTGCATATTAAAATTGAAAGATTCATTAATTTTATCACTATTGCATATTATTCAATCTACAGCTTATTAACTGTTTTAATTTTTTGCAGTCGTACCCTGACAGCAGTTTATGATGCTCTTTTAGAAGACTTGGTCTTTCCAGTAGAGATTGTTGGCAAGAGGACGCGTGTCAAGCTCGATGGCTCCCAGCTCATCAAAGTTCATTTGGATAAAAATGAACAAACCAATATTGACCATAAGGTATAATCAGTTATTCAATTCATAATTAGAATTACTTTGATTTTTTTACTCATCCTCATAATAAATATTTATTTTTTACAGGTTGATACTTTTGCTTCTGCATATAAGAAACTCACAGGTCGTAATGTAACATTCGAGTTCCCCGAATCATATGTTTAAGTAAATAATCAATAAAAATTGGTTATTGATTGAATCTTTTATAAAGTTCATTATTGATTAACCCTTCAGTCATATAGTTGAAATTCTATAGGTTTCTATCAAGAACAGTTTATTGTATTAAAGCAAAAATATAATTTTATTAATTGACACTTGCTGAAATGAAGAAAATGTTCTCTGTTCAGTCAATTAAAAATCTCTTGCCTCGTTTATTCTAACTAAATTATCATAGATCAAGAAACATGTTTGTTTTTACATATTTTACAGTCCCAGTTACTCAGTACATTTGTGAACATACACAAGCTCATAAAACTTGATAGTTTTACATTTTAAAAATGTGATCTTTTTTTATTAACGAACGTGTATAGCAAATAAATAGTGGTAATAATTCATGGTAAAAAAGCCATTTTGATTCGAAGCAATCAAAATTAAAAAATGCTTAAGCTGCAAGTTCTCCTAAAGATAATGGAAATAATCAAAAAATTGCCATTTCCAAACAATTTTTTTTGTAAAATAAAAAATATTGTTAGGTTCCTTGAAAAATTTTATACCAAGATGTTATTATTATTTTTTAGTCTGGTACATGTTATGAAGATTGAAAATCGTTAAAAAATTGAAAAATAGTAATACTTAGGTATTTTTCAATGAGTATAGAAATCCCCAAAACAATCCCTTTATTTTTTCATTAAAAACCACAAAAAGTATCGATTTATTTTTTCATATCGTTTGTAGTTTTTTAGTTATGCCGTCGATGCGCATCAGATCCGAAATTGGTGAGAGTTAGTTGCAACCAAACGTCTCTGTAGGCGTGTACCTCAGCTTTCTCTTTTTCGACCATGTGCATGTCCAAACTTAACGCGACTTGCTTTACATCAAATGAAACATAGCTATAGTTTCGAGCACGTGTTCTTTAGGCTCTATAAAATAGATACCGTAGCACATGTTTCGTCTCAGTACACGCTACGACTCCGCAGTATAAGCATAAGCAGAGCAAGATCCCATCAGACAGCGAGTGACTAAAAGTGAACAAAAATTAATTATTTAAAACTATAGACTTTTGTGCATCGAGTGTGAGTGCGCGGGAATATTCCGATACAATGGTTTTCATTAAGGAACGCTCAAGCTTCGACAAATTAAAGAGTTTACGAAGGAATGTCGATTGGGCGATTAAAAAACAGCGGGTTAAACTTCTCAGACAATTTTATCGCTTAATCGGCAATTGGGAGGGCCCACTTCCAAACCTTCTGGACATTTTTCGACCCGAAGAAATTGAAGATCTTCTCTCGGATTTCATAAAATATCCGGATACGTATTATGATGGAGAGATTAAATACGATTTCATCGAGTTCGTTGTACGCACCGGCTACAAGGACGAGCCCAAAGTTGGTGAAGATGGAAAGCCATTGTTGCAACGAACCACTGCACTGCATCGGGCGGCTACAAACTGCCGTTTTTCCGCTCCTATGGTTCGTCTGCTTTTCAATATCTTCAACAGATTCGACGAGAATTACATCGGCGATCTCGGCGTCTCACATTTCATGTTTGCCTGTATACATGGTTGTGTCGAAGCCGTCGAGAAATTCCTAGAGCTCGGCCAGGATCCCAATTGTCACGAGGGAGAATCAGGCCGGTCGCCGCTATTCATGGCTATGAGCAACGGAAGCAAGGACGTAGCACGAATATTGCTAAAAAACGGCGCCAATCCGAACTTAATCAGCAGTGACACAGCGATGACACCCTTGCACCGTTTAAGCTTAAGACACGAGGGTAACAATTTGCTGGATGAAAGCATTTGGAATGACCGTGTTGACTTGGTGGAGATGATATTTGAGGAGTGCGATGACAAATATAAGCCGGTGAACGTCGATGCCCGGAGTGAATTTGGTGACACAGCATTGCACTTGGCTCTGGACCAAGGCATGAGAAAGATAGCCGAAGAGCTGCTGAGAAGAGGCGCCGATCCAAATGTAGCCGACTCAGACGGATCGACAGCTTTGCACATCATTAGCACAAAAAAAGACGGCGAAGTTTGGGCAAAGATGCTGTTCCAAGTATGCGACGAAGTCAATCGGATAGTGCAGGTCGACGCCCGAGACAATGAGGGTCATACGCCGCTGCAATTGGAATTTTAAGCCAGATGTGATCGATGTACTCGTAGATCGTGGTGCTGATTTGTCGAGCTTCGTTTTTCCTACCGAGAGTTACTTCGGCAAGAGATTTCAAATTCGCAGGAACGATCATGAATCGAAATTGAGGCTGGCATCTGGTGCTTTGGCGGTCGTTGCAAGTCTTGATAAAAAAGGATACGAATTGGATCGTAGCGACGCTCTAATAATTATGAAATTTTTCGCTAATTACGGATTGCTCAAAAAACCGACGAACCTCAACAATTGCTGGTACGATGGCGAGAAATTCACGAGTGGAGCAAAAAGAACCACGATAACTCCGAGTCTGTCGCTCTACGACCTTATCAAGTTGCGACCCCAAGAGGCGGCGAGACGACTCACATTTAAGGATTATTTAGAGTTTGCGCGGACAAAGAAGTTGACGAAATTCCCCGTTAAATATCGCGAGGCTTGCGCTTCCCATCTGTGCGAGATGATGTCGAGAAGATTTTTCCTGGGCTGGACAATGGATCCTTTCATGAAACTTATACACTACCGATTGCCGCTTCTTTGCTGCGATATGGTTCTCGAAGAACTGAGGAACGAGGATTTATACAGAATTTGTTTGGCAGATGGAGGCCAAAGCTCGAGATGTCAATAATGTTTAGATTTATTTCATGTTGTATATTTTCTGTTATTTAAATAAAGAAATTCAAAAAAATGTTTTATAATTTTTCAATTTTTAACAACGCCGTCATTTCAAAAAAGACCTTCATTGTTTATATATTAATTACAATTACGAATAACTTCGTTCATGATGTAATATCAATGTAGTATCAGCTTGGGCCTTAAAAAATAGATGAATTTTTAAATAAAGACTTCAATACTACTGTTATTTTACGATATTTAAAAATTACAATACTCGCATTAAAAACAACGCAAATTGTCCAAAATATTCAAAACTTAAATGTATTGAAAACTACACCAAGTGTGTTGCGAGAATTACTCGCACATACGAACTCTTTTTTGTAGGCATGCAATATATAGTAAGTGGTGGGGATTGCGTCTCGCTTGCTGGCGTCCCGACGTTTAAGTCCGAGAGTTCAAGTGTAATTAATAAAAAAAAATTGACGTATCACGGTCATTTTTCAACCGATTGAGACGATTTTTTTTTAATTTGAGGTGTCGTCAAAAAATATGACGAATGGCCTCGTTTGTTTTTACTTTCATCGCGCCTTTTTCTGATTGTTAATAACTATTTTCAATTGTTTTAATTATTTCGATTATTGTTATCATTTCAACTAATATTTAACAAAAAACGAGTTGAAATCGTTATAAACCTGCCTGAATGTTGTTAACACAATCATATCCACGTGGGTTTTATTTTTTTATTAACAATCAATTAAATCAAGTTGAAATTGTTATTAACAATCAGAAAAAGGCGCGATGAAAGTAAAAACAAACGATGCCATTCGTTATATTTTTTGACGGCACCTCAAATTAAAAAAAAATCGTCTCAATCGGTTGAAAAATGACCGAGATACGTCAATTTTTTTTTCTTAATTACATTTGAACTCTCGCGGGACGCCAGCGAGCGAGATGCAATCCCCACCACTTGACAACGTAGAAATTGCGGCTTTAACTTTGTACGGTTTTTTTATTGTTAAGATTTCGAGAAATCAAAATCATCAATATTTCATAGTAAAATATAAGTATTTAAGAATGTAGCCCCGTTGGTTTGATTCATTAATTGTTCATAACGACGAAGCAATGATTAAAAAAAAACCTATTTTAGTTAAAAAAGCACTTAGGCAAGTTTTTGTTTTTTTTTTAAAATCTGCGTTTCAATGTCAGCTATTGAACAAAACAAACATTTTCCGGCTAACTGTTACAATTGAGTCTCTGGGTCTATTTGTTTATAACTTAAAAAGTACCACAATTTCATCGCATTGTTTAACGTATGTTTTTTTGATTTTCCGTCTAAAACTTTTTACTACGTATAAGTACAAGTCTCAAACTTTCATTTGCGCATCGAACGGACTCGCTATTGTTGCTAAAAATCGAGATATAGCCTAGGTCGGAGGGAGTGTTTTTATAAACAAATGACTGTTTCTCGAAAACAAAAAGTTCAATTTCAACTTTTAAAAGTTCATTTTTTTTTGTCGCAAAAAGACCTACATTTTGAGGTAATGTAAGTTACGATTGAACTGAAATTGTTTATAATAAATGCAATTGAAAAAATGGCCATTATAGAGGGTTTTTTTGCATTTTTAATCGATCGTGGTCGAGCTCAAATTAAAGGTCTAATTAATAGCTACAACTTTTATTTGAATTTTTTTTGGATTGCTATTCATGGAAAAGCTACAGAGGCGAAAATGTGAGTTTTCCACCCTTCTAATCATCCCCCTACCCCAACCGCTGCTTAAAAAGTTACGTAGCTAAGGGTGCTTGTTGTACTCATCGAGACCAACAAATCCCATATGGTCCGGTGCTGGCACTAATTTTGTCAGAAATAACATTGAGTGAGTCTAATTTGACTGGACTAGTAGTTCAAAAATTATCACCAGATGGAGTATGGCGGAATTTTCGTAAACCCAAAGAGAAAAAGTAAAGTTTTGGTATTAAGTACAAGAAGCTGCTGAACAGCTGTTACCGACGCTTGCTGATCGGACCATGCGTATGAATCACCCATTTCATAATCCTACAAATATATCATGATGGATTATGCAGTGTCTAACACATATGAATTTCTTAAAATCAAAGTAAATACCTATAAAATTAAATATTATATGAAAAAATAAAACGTCAAAAAATTACATTGGTTTTTAAAGTCCTGAATTATAATTCTCAATCAAAGATGATTGTTGCAATTTCAATGAATTTATTAATATCTAATGAAAGGTAGAGAAATTCAAGGATTACTGGAAATTTCATAATGATCCAGTTAAGAAAAAGTACTTCATTATCTTACTTGTATCTTCGTGCAGAAAATTTTTGCTTTATAATGCAATCGCGAATTATTCATTGTTAACTTGTAGATGATAAACCGTCCTGTTTCTTTCAAAAAAATTGCGCGTCAAAATCTTCAGTGCAAGCGTCATCTATCTACAACTTGAAACATCGAAAAACCACTTTTATAAAATCTTCTTCGCTGCCGGTTAATTTTAGGTCTTTCTTGGGAGTAAAACATTTCAAACTTGCAAGGGAAAAATTCGGTGGTAAAATTCCTCTCGATAAAAACCCCGCTGATCTCATCATTCGCATCGAATTTTTGCCAATTTTGTTTATAGCCATTCAGCGTTTTGTTTGTGTTTGAGGTTACACCTATGAGGGGCACATGTGCCGGTAGTACCATTCTCGACGCATTATCCTGTTCTACTGTTTCGTGGCACGTGTGCAATTTGTTACATTTTTTTGTGAACAATTTTATTTGTTAAGGCTGCGCAACAAGTGCATCGGAGCACATCAACAATTTGAATGGCAAGAGTATGAACAAACGAGAGAGAACTGTGCAAGTGTAAGGAATTTACGATTAATAAGAAAATCATTTGATCTTACAGGATGCAGGAATTTTGTCCTGTTTGTATGAAAAATGGCATCCAGACACAAATCAAGTGTTATCAAAAGGATCTTGAAGAGGCCATCTTTATGTGCCCTACTGTAGAGGTATACTATCGTAATCAATTTTAGAAACTAATATTCCTTATTATATTCATTGTTTTTTATTATGTTTTTGTTCACAGTGTCCATGGCCATTTGAATTTCAAGATCCAATTAAAATTAAGCGTCCAATTTTGCCAATTGGCAATAGAAACTGGGATGAAATTCCACAAAGGTATTTGAAAAAGAACAAAACTTTTCAAAAAGATGTTTTGGATTTTACATTATGTACAACACCGCAGATACCAAGCTCCAAACATGACATCAATGGTGTACAAAATACAGATATTATAGCTGTTCCTGAAGTTCTGGATGGTATGACCCAATCTGTTCTTGTAGATTGCGGTGGTGAAAAGAAACCGTTTGAGTTTACAATCAATTGTACTAACTCATTTGATGACTTTAATCAAACCAGTATTAATGATGTACTTCCTGAATTACAACAGTCAATTTTTTCTAATTCTGTAAGTGAAGACCTACCAGTTAAGTATGAAAATTCTAAATGTCCTGTTAAGAATGAAGGTACTGTATCTAATGTAAGTAGTGAGAAGTCTAGTGTTTCCCAAAATTATATTCAACCTGTTGTAATTCAAAAAAAAGCACCTAGAATTATTCAGAATAAATGTCTTTCGACCAATTTGTGTGTAAAAAAGGTAATTGCAAAGAATGGACCAATCCTTGTGCAAAATAAGGAAAATTCTACTAATAATAGAATCAAACAGCAATCGAAATTAAGAGTAAAACCATCTTCTTCAAGTTTTTCTGCGCCAATAACAAAATTCAATTTTGATGAGTTCAAGTCTATGAAAAAGCAGAAAATAGAGACCACGAAAAAGAAAGAAACGGAGTCTACAAAAAACAAGGAAATTGTCCAGGCAATTGGTTGCGACTTTAATGACAATAAACTACATCAAAATAAAGACGACCCTCTGCCACAAGCTGTTAATGTTCAAAAAATTAGTCAAGATACAATTGTAAATAATACTAGTGGAAATGAAGGAAAAGACGCGTTATTCCAGCTTGATGCCAAAATTAATGAATTGAATGATAGTGTGCAAACAAATGAATCAAACAAATTTGATTTTAACGGTATCAATTTCGACGACTTGCTCAATGGTGACAATTCTAATTGTAAGAATGAGAGTCAAAAAATGTTAAATTTAGAAAATAATTGTACAGATATTAATGTTAATTGTAATGTTTTTAGTCTTAATGAGACTAGTACCGAAACTAACCAAATGGAACTTGATTTAGAATCTTTCTTATCTTCAATTACTTTCTAGTCAATAGCTAATGAAAAAACGAAAATAAAAACAGTCTCTGCTCAAAATCAACTCTCGTCTAATAATTAATTTATAGTGCAACTTTTCATTCATCAATTTTCTTTTGCAGCTCCGAGCTACTGTCAAAATTTAGTTGGCGTAAGTAACCAGATTACAAACTATATAGTTGGCCAAACAAAACTCCTACAGTTTGACTGTTTTTACACTCAAAAGTATATCTATATTACGAATCCATCTGATCGACTTTTCAGCCAGTTTTCGAGTCTCGCGCGCGCGCCTGCGTCGTAACCTACCACTACTATCTTCATTCCATCCTCCGCCGACTGTCATCCTGTCGTCTGCAATCGCAGTACAATTGCAGTAGATAGTAGTAGTAGTAGTAGTACGACGTTGTTTTGCTGCTGCTAGCCTGTGCTGCAATCAGCCGCAGAGCAGCATGACGAGATACGTCCACCCCCGCGCGCGCGCGCTCGCCTGGCGCAGTTGCCGAGACCCACGCGCGAAATTATAATGAATGAGACGCCCTGTTGATACGTGCTATATCGTGCACATGAATGATCGATCCCACACAGGCGCGCTGCGCGGTACTGCAAAACACAGGCTAGTCCGTGTGTATATAGGATAGGAGTCATCTGCCAGTAGTGCGCGCTCGTTCGTCGTCGTGTGTGCAAAAAGCTCAGTGTATCTCGAGTGCAATTGCTCGTGCATCGACTCCTATACATAACGTGGATGTGTCAACGAACGTACGATATGTCTCGTTAATTGATCTCTGTATACACGGAGAGGATTATAGCAGAGAAAAAGGAAGAGAGATCGACGCAACGTCGCAATGGATAACGTAGCTGCCACAGAGTGTCTTACTTTGGACTTTGGCCCCTTCGAGACGGTTCATCGATGGCAGCGAATGCCCGAGTGCGATGAATTCGTTGGCGCTAGGTAATTTAGCTACCTCCTCATTTTATGCATAGATTTTTTAATCAACGGAGATTCGATCGACATAATTTTGCATAACAATCTTGCAGGCGTAGCAAGCACACAGTTGTGGCATACAAGGATGCGATCTACGTCTTCGGGGGAGACAATGGGAAGCAAATGCTGAACGACTTGTTGCGATTCGACGTGAAAGAGAAGTCGTGGGGAAGAGCGTTCTCCACCGGTGGTCCTCCAGCTCCAAGATATCATCACTCCGCCGTGGTCAATGGATCTTCCATGTTTGTCTTCGGTGGATACACCGGAGACATTCACTCCAATTCAAATTTAACAAATAAGAATGATCTGTTCGAGTATCGCTTTCAAACTGGACAGTGGCTCGAATGGAAATTCACTGGAAAGTAAGCATATACAATGTATTATTATAAAAAGCATCTATCAATGATTTGTGTAAATGATTTACAGAACACCAGTGGCAAGATCGGCTCACGGAGCAGTAGTTTATGATAACAAATTGTGGATTTTTGCTGGATACGATGGTAATGCTCGCTTGAATGACATGTGGACAATATCTCTACTGGTACGTACAAATTAGTCCCATATAATTTGTATCATGCGACACATTGAATTACATCAATTTTTGTATTGTCTGTAGCCAGGAGAACCAAAAACTTGGGAAATGGTTGATCAATCCGGAGATTGTCCACCGACATGTTGCAATTTTCCAGTAGCAGTCGCCAGAGAGTCCATGTTTGTGTTCAGTGGCCAAAGTGGTGCTAAAATAACCAACAGTCTCTTCCAATTTCACTTCAGAGAAAAGAAGTACGTTTTGCCAATCATTTATATAGATAAAGATATTTCTTAAAAAAAAAAAACCAACAAAAATCTGTATCCCTACAATTTCTGTCCCGCAGATGGACGCGCATCTCCACGGAGCACATCCTGCGACGCGCGCCACCGCCACCTGCTCGCAGATACGGCCACACGATGGTGAGCTTCGACAGGCACCTCTACGTATTCGGCGGTACGGCGGACTCGACCCTGCCCAACGATCTGCACTGCTACGACCTCGATACTCAGACCTGGCACGTGATCGCTCCGTCGACCGATAGCGAAGTAAGACCCCAATCGCATATCGACAGATGTAAAAGCCATAAAGACAAAACAAAAGATTTGTTACCCTCCCGCAGATACCCTCGGGTCGGCTGTTTCACGCGGCGGCCGTGATCGGCGACGCGATGTTCATCTTCGGCGGCACCGTCGACAACAACGTGCGCTCCGGCGAGACGTATCGCTTCCAGTTCTCCGCCTATCCCAAGTGCACCCTTCACGACGACTTCGGCCGGCTGCTCAACTCGCGACTGTTCTGCGACGTCGAGTTCGTCGTGGGCGGCAGCAGCAGCAGCAGCAGTAGTAGCAGCAGCAGCGACAAGGAGCAGCAGCACAAGGAGGAGACCAAGATACCGGCCCACATCGCCATGGTCGCGGCCCGATCCAAGTTTCTCCGGCAGCGAATCAGTCGGGCGATCGAGCGCAGAAAGGAGCGACTCGAGGAGCTCCACGGCACCGCCGATCTGCCCGCCAAGGAGGTGCCGATGTTGCAGGTGAGGCTGCAGGACGCCGTGCCCGAGGCCTTCGAGATGGTGCTGAACTACATCTACACGGATCGCATCGACCCGACCAAGAAGATCGAGGACCCGCTGAGCAATCGCATAGTCCTGCTGATGATGGACGTCTATCGGCTGGCGGTGCAGTTCAACATGCGCCGACTGGAGCAGCTGTGCGTGCACTACCTCGAGGCCACCATCAGCCACGCCAACGTGCTGGAGGCGCTGCGCAACGCCGACTGCCTCAAGCAGCAGCTGGCCTTCATCAAGGAGCTCTGTCTGGGCTTCGTGGTGCGCGACGGCAATTACAATCAGATCGTGATGAGCAGCGAGTTCGAGTCGCTCGATCGGCCGCTCATGGTCGAGATCATCAGGCGCAAGCAGAGCGCCTCGGCGTCCTCGGGCAGCAGCAGCACCGGTGGTGGCAACGGTGGTGCTGGTGGTGTTGGTGGCGGCGGTGGCACGAGCAGTAGCGGCGGCGGCGGCGGCATCGGCAACAAGCACCACCACCACTACCAGCAGCTCAACAATTACGAGCGCGACACGGGCACGACCCTCGAGCAGGACATGGAGCACTTTTTGAACAGCATCGGCCGGGAGTTCTGCGACATCACGCTGATGCTGGACAAGGAGCCGATACCGGCCCACAAGGCCGTGCTCACGGCCCGCTGCAGCTACTTCGAGGGTCTGTTCCGCTCGTTCATGCCGCCCAACAATACCGTCAACGTGAGCCTGTTTACAATTCGCCTCTTTATAGCAACGAGCCCGGAATACATAAAAAAAATGTAATTATTGCAGATACAGATCGGCGAGATGATACCGTCGGCCGCGTCGTTCCGCTCGCTGCTGCGCTACATCTACTACGCGGACGTGTCGATGCCGCCGGAGGACTCGCTCTACCTCTTCACCGTGCCCGTCTTCTACGGCTTCACCAACAATCGGCTGCAGGCCTTCTGCAAGCAGAATCTCGAGATGAACGTCACCATCGAGAACGTCATACAGATACTCGAGGCCGCGGACAAGATGCAGGCGCACGACATCAAGAACTACGCGCTCAGCCTCATTGTGCATCACATCGGCAAGGTGGTGCGACTGCCACGTCTCAAGCAGCTGGATCGCGGACTGCTGCTCGACATCCTCGAGGCCGTGGCGGACGAGCGCGCCGAGGCGAGGACCTGCCAGGACATGACCAGCGGTGGCGCGGATTGCTGACGTTGCTCCTTTTGCCAGCCGCCAAGGACATCGACGACGACGACGAGGAAGATGAGTGAGCAGCAACAGCAGCAGCAACGGTACAGGCAGCGTCAGAGCTATCAGCAGAGGCAGCAGCGCGATTGGCGCGTCTCGACGACATCGACTTTTCACGTTAGTCGATCGATCGGCTTTCATTTGATGTACGACGACGATTCGTGATGACGATTAATAATACTCGTTCTCTCCTTTCGCAGGATCTGTGTCGCTTGAATTTCACCATGATCGGCCGGACGATACTCTTCATCGGCGACTGCTATCTGGAGCGGGCGGCGCCGATCACCAAGTGCTTCTCGACCACCCAGCAGCAAGCCGAGTTCATGGCCGATATATCCAGCAACAACAACAATAATAATAACAAAGATAACAACGAAAACAATGGCTCCGCAGCCGGTAAGCACTCGTTGAGCTCCTCCGATCGTCGAAGCGATGGCGGCGGCGCTCATCAACCCAGCGTTTTGCGACGCACCCTCTACGGTTTGCCCGACTTGAAGATCAAAAAGTTATTTTTGTGATCGTTGCACGGCTAGAGAGAGCTGTGGCTCTTGTGTATTTGTTTCTTTTTTTTTTTGTGAACTAAACCAAAAATGAGTACTGGGCGTTTATTGAACTGTAAAGACGACGACTTTTTGTTTTGTGTAAAAAGCATAGAGAAAGTTGAGATTTATTTAAATGCATTTTTTCCTGATCAATCAAATGATATTTAACTGCACCTTTATGAGTAAAGATTAAGTGAATAGATTTATTTAAACGTTGAAATGATAATCAAATATTGAACTAACGAATAAAAAGAACACCATGTGATTTCCTCTTAAAGCGTAAATGATACAAATACAATTATTGTAAAAATTTATGATTTTATTATAGTTATGTTTATTTCATCGGGAGAATCTGAGATAAATGATTGTTACTTTTTATACAGATTTTAGATTGCTTGAATTTGTATAGATATTTATTGAAAACTAACGTTGAGGAAAATGAATTGAGCTTCTCGTAGCCTAATCATAGGAATAAAATTATTTATTCATGTTAAAACTGTAAACTGCAAAAAACTAGAAACTCAATGAAATGTTATGTCCACAAATTGTGCATTTATAGATTGTATGTATAAAAACTGAAATCTAGATATATAAATAAATTTATTTAATGAAAGCTATTGTACTCTTCTCAGTACTTCACCAGACCATTAAATTAAAATTTTTTTCATACTCCAATAGAGATGCCAGATTAACAAAGTATTTTACACAATGGGAAAAAATGAATAACTAATTCTTTTATTTTTTACTCATTTTTATTTGAATGTAACCAAAAATAAATTAACGGTAAGATTTTTGGTAACGGGCACGAGCACCGGGACCACCAAACTTCTTAGGTTCACACCTTCTAGGATCAGCAACCAAGAGAGTCCTATCGTACTGAATAAGGATATCTTTGATTTCCTTCTTGCTTGCCTCATCAACAACTGAAAATAAAGTTGTAAATATTTATTAATACTTGGTTTTTAAATGAATTAAGTGAAAATATTATTTTTATTGTGAATACTTTTAAAAATATAAATAAATAAACATTGAAACTAATTGAAGTATCTAATATATTAACACGTCTCAATTTCTATTTGTAATTTTATAGTAAATATTAATAAAAATAATCCTAAATGATAAAATGAACAACTTACATTTCTGATAGAAGGCAACTACAGCCTTGGCAATTGCTTGTCTGATGGCATAGATTTGAGCAATGTGACCACCACCGTTAACTCGAACACGAATGTCGAGATTGGCGAACCTTTCCTATAAAATAAAATAATATATTGAAATAAATGAATTATCATAATTCATTGTTTTAAAAACAATTGAGTCTACTCATTCACAGCCAGTAATTAGAGTTTAACACAATTTCAGTAAATAAAATTATATGTGAAAGTAAACTGTACCTTGCCGAGCAGGAGGATGGGCTCTTGCAATTTGTATTGCAGCATGCGGGGCTCAACGAGCTCCAAAGGGCGACCGTTCACCTTCATGAGTCCATTGCCCTTTTTGCAGTATGCTACTGCAGTGGCGGTTTTCTAAAGACGTCAAACAAAAATAATAACATGAAATTTTGCTTACAGGTCGACGGCGACGAAGAATGCAATTTATAACAAAAAAAAGATGGGTTAATTTGTAGCGTGTATTCATTGACGTACCTTGCGGCCGAAGACCTGGACCGATTGGATCGGGTTGCGCTTCGTTTTCGGCTAAACAAAAATAAAAATCGTTAATTCATCTATGAACAATAATTAAATGAGTGAATAAAATAAAAAAATTCCCCAAAAACATACCTTCGTGTTCATGGTGCAAGTGTGTTCTCTACAACGGCGAGTATAGAAAAGAAAGGTTATGATGGCGTCCACGCGGAGTCGTGGCGAGCGAGATCAGAAGCAGAAACTAGGGTCTCGTTTTGACTCGCGCAATAACGGTCATGTCACGCGCACGAACAGCGCGCACGAGTTTCATAGTTTCGAAAATTTCAAAAAAATAAAGTATAATATTTTTCTACGGTCTGCGGGTCATTACAGAAAAATCGTTCGGACTTTTCGCTTGCAAATCTAGCAGAATTGAAACCAAAATTTTACTTACATTTTATTGGAATGTAATCGTAAATCTAGTTGTGAAAATGATTATTTAAGAAATTTACAATTGCCATCAGTAAAAATAAAAAAGAAAACACTTGTGTTTGTGTCGATAAATATGTTTTACAGTCGTTTACTTTTTCATTGATAAAAAAAATACTCGGATGTATCTTATTAATTGCAGGCTCTAGATGCACTCGATGCAATTTTTTTTTTGTTATCTTCCCGAACGCCGAGCGTATCTCGCGCAAACGAGCCAACAATTGATAATCAATAATTACACACAGCTCCGAATGAAAGTTTCTTGTACACAGCGAACGCCCGCAGAACTGCACGATCGGGACGACGACGACGACTCGCTTCGAAATGTCGGGAAAAAATGTCGTACGTATACACACCGGGATTGATTTAATTAAAGCACTCTTTTTCAATTTTTTGTAATAATAGTATTCGATAATTACAGCCGAGGATCGTCGACTTGAGAAGCGACACGATCTCGAAACCGTCGGCTTCGATGAAGCGAGCCATGGTCGAGGCCGAGCTCGGCGACGACGCCTATCGCGAGGATCCCACTGTCATTGGTATATGAAATAAATATATACATTCTCTTGTTAATATTTAAAAAATTTCCATAGAGAATTTAGAGTGCTTTGAAAAGTTGAATCAAGTTTTAATTCAATTACGTTTTAAATATTTTTTTTTTTTTTTTTTTGAAATCTATAAACTTTATTAATGCGGAGCTTTTGGGTATTGTTTCTTATATCGGCCGTATTTTGTGAAAATGCCGTGAAGAAAAAAATTTCATGAAAAAAATACTCTTGTTTGAGATGTGTTTTTATTTACGAACACCGACGAATATATTAAACTACAATGAACAAATTTTTATGGGACTTTAGACACATTTTGTCGACTGTATTTCTCAAATACTTTTTTGACTGGTACCCGTTCTTGAGCAATTTATGAAAAAAGTTAATACTTTCATTTTGTACGAATGAGTTTTTCTGAACAATTTTTAAAAGAGGTAGTTTTTGGGGTGAATTGATCCGCGTTAAAAAAAATAGGGATTATTTTTTGAATACGTCTTATGCATCTTATAGTTTAGTCTGATTCACAGGTAGCAGTTAAAAAACGCATTAAAAGATTTTGTACAAGATTTTATATGTAAAATTTCATGCACGATAACGGCAATAAATTTTATTCCATCACGATTTTATTTCTCAAATTTTATATGATATTTTATCGACAAAAAAAAAGGTGCCGTTGGTGAATTTTTTCCAACAATTTATGACAAATATCGTTCTAAATCTTTTTGGGTTTAATCAACCCCCAACACCACGAGTTGATCGGAGGGGGTCACATCGTTCTTTAGTACTCATGTTTTCGAATTTCAGCTAAATAAATGGTGCATCAACAATGCTATAAATGTATACGTATCATGCGCATGCTTCTAACGTCATCGATGCTCTTTACGAAGATTGACTCTTCTATATGGATCATATTATACAAGAGTTGATGTGATGAGAATCTCTTAAAAACTCCGAATTTTGTCGCAAAAAAAGATCAAAGTTAAAGAATGCAAAAAATTACTACTATTCAAAATAAAAATCAAACACGATCAAACTTTGAACTAATTTTTTTATTAGTGAAGCTATGATGCAATCATCACGCAATCAGTTTATCAATTGTATTTTACAGAGGAATTCATATTACGATTGTAAAACAATAAGTTTACACGCGTTTCTCTTGACTTGTTATGGATAAAAAGAATTAGTAAAATAATGACGCCCACGTCTTCGTACTTTTTTTTAAGTCTTCGCTTGTAAAGCAAATATTCATTATATTAAATCTTGGTTCTTCAATTTTTTAATGATTACGTCGCTGCACAGATCTGGCAACTGGTAGTGGCGCGTCAGCTCCAGGTGAGGTTCCAATGCCCAACGTCGGAAAAATTGTCTCGCTATTATCTCGGAAAGTTGCGCTACACACTCCTGACTTTGTCTTTTGTATCACCAAAAATTATTGTTTTTATAGTCAAAACTAATGAAATCGCATATGTTCTTATACGTAAGTACCTTCTCAACCTCTTTGGGTGATAAGTGAATCAAATCGTAGAACGACAGACTAGGAATAAACATAATTTTTTTGGACAATCTCACGTACTTTTCTCTGTCACGCAAACATTCATCAAGATCCACTGTCTTTTTGAAAAATTCGTTCTTATAAAAAAGGTATCGCTTCGGTTAAATTCATATCCTCTTTTCTCTAGACTTTCGACGATGGTCAGTGCATCAGACACCAGAAAAAGATACAAACTAAAATCTAGCCACCTATAATTGTTATTCATTTCCCATCGCTCGATTTCGGTTGGTATTTTTAATGTTTTGTGGTCACTTAAAAAAAAACCACTGCCAATTTGTTGACAAAGGGCTTCCGCCTGTTATGTGAGTAACAAATTGATAGCTCATCGCGTGCCGGATGAAAGGTAAAAACTAAATTGCAGCGTGAAGAACCACAGTATTAAGCTTAATTATTCGCAATCATAAGAATCAAATATAAGCAGTGTTGATTTGATGAAATTGAATTTTTCTTTTAGATGTAAGAAATCAATTTATAAAAAAAACGAGCTCAAATTTTATAAAATTCCGGTGTATCACAACGAGATAACTTTGTTTAATTTAAATTTTTTATTTTCTACTTTTACATAGAAGCATACAATGATCTAAAAGTTGCCACGTACGAAATCGCTCCTTTTATTATCTGTAAAAATAGATTTTGCTTGTTAGGGTTTTCAATGTAGCAAAAAATTAATCATCGTCTTACACTGCTGCAAGTGTTAAAATTCAATTCGATCGTGGGACCAGCTGTCAATACGAGAGGTTTTATTGCTTTTGCCATTGTCAGCATCAACATCAGACGAGCTTTTATCGGATAATTATACCAGTTAGCCCAATAACTGTGTGAAAATGATACAAATTACTTGTAGTATGAAGTGCTTGCGAACCTTTAATATTTACCAATGAAGGAAAAAGTCACAGCTGGCATTACTCATCAATTGACTTGGAATACATAATACAATGACAATAAGCAGAGTGGCATTAAATGCAGCAAACATTCTTCCAGCTTCCGTCAAGTCCAAATTTTGTAGTGAAATTACCATCTGAATTTGTATAAAAGTGAGTTTGTTGAGATTATCTTCGACATTTCTTCGAATACTTACCCATGTTCCAGTTAAAACGAGAATTAATGCGTTTGATATTATCATTCCAAATCCCACAGGTTTTAGCAAGGAACGAAAAACTTCAAAAAGTCTAAAATTCGTGTATATAAAGTTTTGCATTAATTATTGACCCAAAAACTATTGTTCATCAGTTAACCCATACAAATCTTCCAAATGGAGTTTCGATTTGATTTAGTGAACTTTAGAATATTGAATCGTTTAAAAAACAAATTTACTTGTGTAAAAAATAACTCACTCGATACAATTTTGATGTCGACGAATTATGGTCTTGAGTTTTTTACAAACCAAGTGGTTTTTAGTTTCATCAAGCTTTAAAATTGCCTGGTCGATTTCATTGTCTATTTCATTGAAGTAATAACTAAATTTCATAATAAGCAATTCGAGTTAAATCAAATACAGAAGAAAATTTCTGAGAGGTGAAAAAATAATTCATAAGTTTTTACGCACTGTAAACATTTAAGTTGTCCAACAATAACACTTGCGAACAGACATTGATGAAAAAAGAAAGTTCCCACAATTGTGGCGTGGAAAACAAGCAGCAAAAGCTGCATGACTATAATGTAAAAATAGTATTCATCCTCGTCGAGAAAAAATTCGATCTTCAATGGTACAATTTTATCGTATGTACGATTATCTGGAAACAGCCACGAAAAAATTATAGAGCTGGCTACTGGAGATATTACGTAGCTTGCGCACATTATTAGGAAGCCAACTGGAAACCAAACAAACGAAATTTCTCGAGCTTACTATTGTCATTGTTTTCGAAAAAAATTTACTTATTACCCGCTTGAATAGTACACAACCATAAAGCCTTTTTAATTATTTTGCGAAGTATATTTTTCCCTGCCGAATCACTGCTTTCAAACAGTCTGAAAACTATTGACATGCACATACTGATCTAAATTAATGGTTTATTAAGTGATTATCTCTATGAAATGAAGGAGCGAAATATTGTATTTAAGAAAAAAATTAGCTTACATAGTTGAATTTTAAAATGATAAAAGTGTAACCGTGAAATATTGTTAAGTACAATAAAATCTGCATAATACATTCAATGATACTGTTAAGGTCAACGATGGGCTCTTGATATTCTTCAATTAACTTCACGACCTAAGTACATTAAAAACGATCTATAAGTTTATATAGTTCTAATATTAAAAACAAATCTATCAGTTTATGATAAATAGTTTTATCTGGGAAAATAATTTTTCTTGCTGCGGGGGACGATTTTATTCAATTATTCAGTGAATCTTTTTCATTATAAATACTTACCGAACCAATCACCAGAGCTAATAAATATAGCATGATAAAAAAGCTGCCTACAGATTTAGTGCGCGAAGTTTGGGCAGGCCAAATAAAGGTGCATTTTGAAGTGAGTACAAACAAAGGAAATTGAGAAGTTACGAAGAGATCCATACATTTTCGGGCTTCCTCGTCGATTTTCGCGATATCCGAATGAACCATGTCGTTGAAGTATACTTTTTACATTGACGGACCATATTTTTGTTATGTACGAATACGTCGGTGTACGTTTAAACATAACTAAATTATACACGATTGCAGCAAACAATGACAGAACACGTTTTTACAACAAAGAACTTTCTAGAATTGAATATTGTATTTAGAACAATGAAGTATAAAAATGTACTCAATGATAAAAATTTTATTAATGGAAAAAAAATTATCGATCGTTCCATTAACCGCGAGGTGGTACGTTCACTGTTACGCGACTTTCATTCGCAGACTATACATTTTTATTAAGGGGTAACACCTACACCTAAGATTTTTTTAAATCCTAAAATTCGGAAACTTTTCGCGGAGGCAATGATAAATCATTCAACTTCGGACTTCGAGAATAAATAATAAATGTCTTGAAGTATTCAAAAATATTTTATTTATTGATTTTCATTACGAAACTGCGGAGACATCGCAAATTTACAAAAAAGCGAATTTTTTCACTGGCGGTATCTTTTCTCGGTTCCGAAAAATGAACAAAAATAAAAATATTCTCTTAAAGTTAAATGCTTTTTCTGTCGAAATACGTATAGGATTTTAGCTCAAAAGTGAAAATTATGAAAATAGCAGCTTTCCATAAAAAAGTGCTCTTTTTATAAATAACCACTAATATAAACTAACTTTACTTTTATCATTGATGAACTAATTATGAATCTTTAATTGAAGCTAATAAAAGTAGGGTGCGCAGCAACAACATGGCATTCCGAGTGGAAGCAAAAGTACAACTTTACATTTCGTGTCTAAAACTTTTATAAGATTCGGTGAATCTTTACGTTTTTGGTCTGTACGAAAAAAATTGAATAGAACAAAAAAGTCTTGAGTTTTGTCGAGGAAAGCGCACACATTTTTCTGTACTGCAGGTACATCCTTGTATTACATAAATTTCGAAATTATCAATGTAAACGAAGCTAAAATAAATATTTGTAATTGAAGATATGATGAATACGGAAATATATTTATATCGATAATATGATCATTATAGAAAAATGAGAATTATATTTTTATCATACATTTCAATTATATCGAAATTTTCAATTCAACGCAATTATAATAATACGAAAAATGTTCCATCTCTCTCTCGATCCGCAGCGCTGGAGAACAAGGCGGCCGAGCTGACCGGCAAGGAGGCCGCGATCTTCCTGACCTCCGGCACGATGGGCAATCTCATCGCCGTGATGAATCACTGCGAGGCGCGCGGCTGCGAGGCCTACTGCGGCGACGAGTCGCACATGGCGCGCTACGAGCAGGCCGCCGCCGCCCAGATAGCCTCGGTCCAGCTCTGCGGCCTGGCCAACGATCCGCGCGACGGCAGCTTCGACCTCGGCCAGCTGGAGCGACGCTGGCTGCGTCCGCGCGACTGCGGCGTCGACGAGCCGCGCTCGAGGCTGGTCTGCGTCGAGAACACGATGCGGGGCCGCGTGGTGCCGCAGGCCTGGATCGCCCGACTGGCGGAGCTCGCCCGTCGCCGCGGGGATCTCAGACTGCACCTCGACGGGGCGCGACTCTGGAACGCGGCCGTGGCCTCGGGTCGGCCCGTGCACGAGCTCTGCCGCGACTTCGACTCGGTCACCTTCTGCCTGAGCAAGGGCCTCGGCTGTCCGGTGGGCGCGCTGCTCTGCGGCAGCCGGGAATTCGTCGAGCGCGCCCGGAGACGTCGCAAGGCCCTGGGCGGCGCCTGGCGACAGGCCGGCGTGCTCGCCGCCGCGGGTCTGGTCGCCCTCAGGGAGATCGTTCCACTGCTCAAGGACGATCACGCGCGAGCTCGGAGAATCGCCGAGGCCATCGTAGCTCGCGGCTCCAGGCTGTTCAGCGTCGACCTGGCCGGCTGCCAGACGAACTGGGTGCTGGTGAGGATCGCGGACTCGGACCGGGTGACGCCGGAACTGTTCGTGGCTAGATTGGGGATGATCAGGGTGGGGACGGACGGGGACGAAACAATTGTCAAAGCATCGATAGTGAGCGAGGATACTGTAAGATTGTTGCTTTATTACGAGATTGATGACGAAATGACTGCAGCAGCGATACAGAAAATCACCCTGGTTATTGAAGAATTGGACGCTTGCGACAATGACGTCGCACTTGCGAAATTCTCCAAATTGGTGCTCGCTTGAGATTATCTTACAATTTGCATAAAACATTTACTTAAGAGCTATCTTAAATGCTAGAATTACACCCGACTAATTACAATGATTAATTAATTTATAACGTACTAATTACACATTTTTTTTTGATTTCTTCTTTTTAGGCTGAACATTTTCCACCTCTTCTTGTGCTTCGGGCTCAACAGACTCTGCTTCAACTTCTTCGATGGTCCTCTTTTTGTTCTTCTTCTTCTTTTTCTTTTCTTTCTCTTCCTTCTCTGGTACCCTGCTAGCAGCTTCCTCAATAGCTTCTTGCATCACGTCAATATTTTTCTTAGGGATGTCTCCTGTTTCGTAAAATTTCAATCTGTCTTCAACTTGCTGACGCAATTTATCTCCAAAAACATTTACTGGGTTTTCGGAGAAACAATCAATTCTGGATGCTATCGAGCATTTATTGGCCAAATATCTCGAAATGCGACCCTTATTTTTTGTGCCAGCACGTCCAATGAATGTTGAGTGGAAAAGAAGACCATACTTTGGAGTATTTCCACGAGTCTTCAGAGCTCTGAACAAAGCTTTCTCGGCACCTGTTGAAATTAAAGTAAAGAGTTAAATAAATTGCTTGTAAGCTAGGAGGTGTTCAATAAATGCATAGAAAAAAAATTACCAAGAATTTGTACAGTTGATGCTGGGTACTTCGCCAGATTTGTCAAAGAGCCAGCATGGGCAATCAGTCTAGCTCCTACTTGATCACCAATCAATGTGGCCAAGTTTGGTGCTACACCAGTCATTTTTGATTTAAGATATTCAGCGATCTCTTTCCTATATTCAGCAAGATCAATGACACGATTAGCAAACATATCAATGTTAATGAGATCAATGGGGCTAATATCCATGCCCATGGATGATTTTGAAGCATCAATTATGGCTTTAGCTTTTCCTGTATCCATAATAATCTCTTCTAAAGCTTCTAATTTTTCTTCAGTCAACTCTTTTCGGTTTTTAAGAAGCTGGACTACTTTGGCATACATTAAATTGTCTGGAACAATTTTAACCAACTCTGGGAAATGGTAACCATACCATTCTCTAAAATCAAAATGTCATAGTCAATTAGTATACATTTAAATATAGTGATAATAGAATATAATTCATTTCAAATTTTTACCTGATGCGCATACTGAAAGTGTTGACATCCTTATCTAATTGATCGAGTAAAGCAATACTCTGGATAATCATGTTATCAACACGATGAACATTGAACTTAACTTTGGCTCTAGAATAACTGTGTCCTAGACCAAGCTGAGCAACACCAGCACTCTTAGCTGTAAAACCTTTAACCAAGTTGGGAAAATGCGTACGGATGCCTCGAATAATTTCTGGAATAGCACCAGTGTGGTCGCACTTAATCTTAAGAGCTTCTGTGATGCTGGCACCAAGTTTTGGTTCTGCAACACCTAAGACAGCTTTCTTTTTCTTAGTTATGTTTGTGTCCAAGAATAATTGTAAATCTTCGGGTACTACTCCTTCTGACACGCTGTTGATATTTTCAAGAGCAGTCACAGCTGTTTTGAAAGGTGAAAAACTGATCAATTTCACAATCTGGTTGAATCGAGATACATCCGTAACTGAGGCTTCAACTTGAGGCAACAGCACTCCAACTTCTTCGAATTCCCGCACGGAAAACAAACCGTACCCAGCGGCATGTTCGTAGAGAACATAGAGCTTAGACTGTAAATAAGATACTTTATTAGAATAATGAAAAGCGAGAAAAAGCGTAATTATCTGATATGTGACATGCTGTACGGGTGCAATTAAATTATATAGAATTATGCGACAACGAAAATTTGTCATAAAAATATTGATTGATCAAACAATAAAAATTATATTAATTGAATCATTTTTTAAACGACCTCGTGCATTCTTTATCATAGGTTATGTGTATATCACGTTCCGTCACCAAACATTGCACCAAAGCACCGATTGCACCATCGCAGAATGAACAAAATTACAAATGAATTGAAAAAAAAACTTACCATTTTGATAACACTAAAATATCAACTGTCGAACAATAAAAACAATTTGTAAAATTATACCGCCGGCAAGTAGCCGGGCAACGAGTATATAGGCACACGCGGCGTAACCACTGTAAAAATCGAGGCGAGTAAAAGTACACGTGCGGCGCGGCGCTGCACTTGGGCCTATCTTGGATCATGCAAATGACGCGGTGAGTTCGACGGAGTCGGTCAGTTCGCGCATCAGCGGAACACGTCAAAAGCTAGAGCTTTTTGGGCGTGAAATTCGAACTTGCTTCGATCTAAATTTGTAAATTTAGTCATCTTGAATTCGTAATTAGTTAATTACCTATTTTGCTTGAACAATATTGTAATTATTTATCATCGATACGCTTAACATTATTATGGTTCTATTGTTATTTATATATATGACCTAGGTATAAACACTTATAGATAAAAGAAAAACGATACCTTAACTTTGTAAAGGTGTATAAAATTTCGAATGAAACTGTATAATATCAAGAAACTTATGTTTTTCATTTATTTAGCGGTGGAAGTTGATTAAACAATATAACAAAAATTGGATGAAGTATCGAGTCCAAGAATCAAACAACTATGATATGTTTATGATTTTTCTATAAAAATTTAAAAATGAGATTTGCATTATATTATTATTTAAAAAAGGATTATTAATTTAATAACATGAAAATTTGCTATCAGCAAGCAGTGGCTAGAATTCATTCGAAGTTATAATTATCTTGAATGAAAAATCGTAAAATTCTGTTACGGAGCTGTCTGCTCTTCTTGTTTTCGATCGCTTTGAATGCGTGTTAGTTAGGTGACGAATAACATAAATCACAGGTAATCGTTGAAATCGACATTGCTTCAATAAAATTTACTGTTCATAATTGAAGTGTTATTTGCTAGTTTAACGTTAGCCATGGAATTTTCCATTTTCAGTCACGTTTGACTTCTTTTTTATTAAATAATTCTTTAATCATAACCTCAACTTGAGTGGCGGCGCGACAAATCAAAAATTTTTTTGATTAAATTAATGTAAATATTTGTGAAAATTGTGAGTTAAAGGGGTTTGTTTTAAAACAAATTTTGAAAAATGAATTTTGAGGGTTGCTTTTTACTTTTGAAGGCGTGAACCTGATTTTTCATGTGATGAAATTGTCACTTTCTGCTAGGGGAGTTCAAGATGTCATCTGTATTATTATTATTAAAAAAGCATGCTCTTTCATAAACAGGCAATTCATTAGCGTAGCTAATTCAAGTTCTAATAATTAGATATATCAACATATAAGGATAATTATTTATTGCTTTTATTTTTGTTTGATTTTAAAACTAGCAATGGTGCGTATGAATGTACTCGCTGATGCTCTCAAAAGCATCAACAATGCAGAGAAACGAGGAAAACGACAAGTTTTGCTCAGGCCTAATAGTAAAGTCATCGTTAAGTTTTTAACGGTGATGATGAAACATGGTGAGTGATTAAAAATCATTTTTGCAAATATTCATTGATGCTAATCAAAATTATTTACATAAAAAGCTTTATCAATTTAATCCTTATAGTTTGACTTCAAGTAACGACACAAAGAATAAATAAAAATAACTAATTCATTAATTTTAATAGGATACATTGGAGAATTTGAAATCGTTGATGACCATAGGAGTGGAAAGGTTGTTGTTAATCTCACAGGTCGTCTGAACAAATGTGGTGTTATCTCGCCTAGATTTGATGTACCAATCACTCACATTGAGAAGTGGACAAACAATCTTCTGCCATCCAGACAATTTGGGTAAATTATATTATGCAGAATAATAATAAAAATACTAAAACTATTTTTTTTCTTACCAATGTAATTATAATTTCAGTTATGTAGTGTTAACCACAAGTGGTGGAATCATGGATCACGAGGAAGCCAGAAGAAAACATCTTGGAGGCAAAATCTTAGGATTTTTCTTTTAAGTTAATTTTATAATTATTACAAAATGAGTTTTGACATTGCGATGTTATAAAAAACATGAATAAATGTCAGACTTTAAAAATCAAATGTTTTTCTTTGTTTAATACAAACATAATAACCCTGTGTTGATGTAACACAATTCAATCAGTATTATATTCTAACTTCAAAATATAATGTCCAAAAATAATTAAAACACGAAATGATGAATAGTTTTTTGTTTTTCCTATAATTTTGTGTCTAAAAAATTCATCTACAATTGATATTCAGTTCTGATGTCCAAATCAGTTGTTTAAAATCAAATATTTTAGTTCTCAACAAAAAATATTTTTAATTTCAAACACAATCAGACATTTTTTCCTACATAATAATTAAAAACAAATTTATTAAAATCTTTTTTCCATGATTTATTTGTAAACATAACAGCAAATAGTAGTTGATATTTTTGCAGGATTATTCCTTATAAATCCTTTTTTGCCAACTAAATAATAGGATATTATTTTACGAAAAACCATTTGAAGATGGTCAGAAAAAAGTTTTCAGCCTCGATGATCTGCTTGACCGATAATCGCGATTTAAGGCAGTTTCTGTACACACCACCAGGTTACGGCTCACAGAGTATTTTGACAATTTTTTGTTTCTACCCAAGGTACGTGGCGGTCCGATAAGTAATGTACGATCTGTTTTTTTTTTATTTTTAATAAAAATTTACCCTTTTTTGGGATATAGTTGTTAAGATTACACTTTCAATGAACTATAAATGAGTGCATAGATTGTTACTTTTCAATGGCTTACATGACATATGAGAGGTGGTTGTGAGCAGTACATGTGGTTTTTTGCTCTATTGTGTATTATTCTTAAATTAAAACGAATGAAATAGAGTGAAACATTATGTTAACGTGCTGCTAAATAAATTATGTGTACTAAATTCGTTGATATATTAGTTCATAATGTTGCACACGTATAATTGACAAGTAATGACGCCTCACTTAACCTTTTTTAGTTTTCTTGAATCTGTGCCAAGCTGCAAAATATATCTCATTGTTGGTTTACAAACATTATTGATTGTTTTGATTCATGATCATTAAGTATTTTTTCATTATTTTACAGAAATTACAATGGAAACTAAAGTAGAAAGTTCAACAGTTGCAAAGAAGTCTCTGCAAAAGAGGCCCATGAAGAGGCATGGTCGTCTTTATGCAAAAGCTGTATTCACAGGGTACAAGAGAGGACTTCGTAATCAACATGAAAATACAGCTCTCTTGAAATTGGAAGGAGCACGATCAAAGGAAGACAGTGATTTCTACGTTGGCAAGAAATGCGTTTATGTCTACAAAGTACGTATGCCTTTCATTTGCTTCTTTAAATAAACATTTTCAGAAACACTATTTAACACTCTGATTATCAATGATAGGCCAAAAACAGGACTTCAGTTCCTAACAAAGCTGGAACAAAAACCAAAGTCAGGGCTATCTGGGGAAAGGTTACTCGACCCCATGGTACCAGTGGTGCTGTCAGAGCCAAATTCAACACAAATCTGCCAGCAAAAGCAATGGGACATCGTATTAGAATTGTAAGTTTATTTAAAATTATTGAATATATTGCTGAAATGTAGTTTGTATAGCAGTAAATAGTTTATACTGAATCTTTCTACTTGCAAAATAAATTCTAAAAAATGTTTTTCATTTTTTACAGATGCTGTACCCAAGCAGAGTCTAATAATAATAAAAAATTTTAATAGTATGAAAAATATTTGTTCTCATTTTTGAAATCCTTATTTTTTATAATATATTTAAAAAAAAAAAAAAGAAAAAAATTGTAATGCACAGAGTGTATTATAAATTATATTATAAATTATTGATATAAATTGTATTATAAATTATTGATTCTATGAAAAATATCACTTGAACTTGTTGACATGAATGATACAATAAAATAGAAAAACAACTCGAAGGTAATGAGAATATAACAGAATCGAATGGAGTAATAATCATGTTTTACACAGAAATATAGAAATAAAATAAAAAATATAAAATCCCCTGTTGTCTGTAAGTAAACGAAGGTGTTCATTGTTAGGAGTTCATATTTACAAGTGACAGGAGATCAATCATTAGTTTTCATAAAGTTTTTTTATGCAAAATATATCAAATGCAACAATAAATTACGTAACTGCAATTGAGTAAAAAAAGACGGGTCTTATAAACTTCTGGCGCGAATGAAATTAATCGGAAGATATTATGGCCAGCATACAGATCTACCAGTACTACTCAGTCTCTGCTCACTTATATATAATTATAATTATTATAAATAAAATTTATAGAATCAATATTAATAAAAATGTGTAGTTTTATAGTTTATTAACACAGTTTTTTTGAAAATTGTCACTCTTTGGGTTCATTTATATTTAAAATTCTATCTGCAAGAGGAGCTATGATTTTAAGGATGTACATAAGAAATTTTCGGTGCCCCTCCACGCCGTACTTCTGCAATTTCCAGCATTCCTTATTAACATTTTTTAAATTTTTCATACAATTTTTTCTAATAATTTTTAAAATTCATGTTTTGAATGTTTTGAATTTGGTGCTCGGAGGCCATCTTTTTTTCTGTGATGATCAGAATCGGGGCTGGCCCTGGCGGCGTGCGCGGTCAGCTGGATTGTGTTTCACGTGTATCTCTTTCTCTTGAATCTTTCTTACCAGTGAGATCGATACACATAACCCTAATCGTGAGTTAAAACTATTAAAAATGCATAAATATTTATTTAATCTTCGCGTTTATAAAAAGGATTGTTAGCCTAGTGTTAAATGAGTTTTAATGAGCGAGCCTTCAGTTGTAGTGTTTTTATTTGAGCAAAAAAACCTAATGATACAGTGTTAAATGTTATGAGAATTCGAACCAATCTTTTCACATGCGTATACTTTAGTCATTTTGCACCATTACACATATTATTATAATTATTAATTTATTATAATTATTTATCATATAGTTATGATTATGATATATATTTATTCATACTAATAATTATTATAATCTATAATTTATAATTTAAACATAAATTTATACTAATAAATGTTTAATTTTACAGCAACATGTTGATGCCAAAACAGAACAGAACGGCTATCTATGAAATGCTCTTCAAGGAGGGTGTTATGGTAGCCGAGAAGAATGTGCATTTACCTAGCCATCCTGAATTGGAGGGTATTCCAAACCTTCACGTAATAAAGGCCATGCAGGTAATATTTCATTCTTATCCATTGATTTTTATATATTATGGTAATTTATCATTTTGATAATTAAATTTTTCATTTTTAGAGTATGAAGTCTCGTGGTTTGGTGAAGGAACAGTTTGCCTGGAGGCACTACTACTGGTGCCTAACAAATGATGGCATTGAGTACCTACGTGGATATCTTCATTTGCCCCCAGAAATCGTCCCAGCCACTCTGAAAAGGAAGGCTGCCGCTGAAGGTGCCCGTATGGGTAAGCCCATGGGGCCAAGAGGCGGTGACTCTTCTAGAGCCGCAGAAGACAGAACCGCTTATAGAAGAGGACCCGGTGATAAGAAAATTGATGTTGGTGCCGGCGCAGGCAATTTGGAATTTATGGGAGGATTTGGCAGAGGCAAAGCTCCACAATAAATTGACCTATTGTAACGCAATCAACATCTGCGTTAGTTATGCTTTTGTATTGAAGAAGACAAACTCTTCAATGTAAATAAACATCAATTTTAACACTTAAGTAATAAGTAATAAAATTCTTTTATTATCAAAAGATGAAGATTTATTTTGATGAATTTATCACTTATTCAATAACAATCACAAGTAATTCGTTTTCCTGTTTTTGTTTACCAATCAAAATCTTTTGCAATTTAATTACTGTTTCTTTTAAATGAAAATGAAGAAACTATTGATTATTACTTTTAATTATTGGAAAGAATGAAGTCTTATGAAACTGAAATGCAACAGAACACATTGACTAATTGTTCATACTCTCTATACATCTAATTGCAAGTTTCCAGTTTCATTCCAAGTCTTCTATCAAATAAAATGAACAGTCACTAAGTTACTTGTTTATACATATCTTTTTTAATTATTCTGGGTGATAAAGATAAATAAAATCAACCAATTACGATTTTGTTAAAAAAGGAAAACTGTCGAAAAATGAGAAAAGTCAAAAATGAATGAAAAAGTCAAAGTTCAATATAAGCTTATATTTATAAACCATTATGGTAAAGTTATGAATGAATTTGACTTCATAACAGAAAATTAGACATTATGGGAGGAAATTTTATCTTAAAACTAAATTTATCTCTCGTATTCAAATTCAATTCTTACAATATGATAAAAAAAGAATTACGAAATTTTCAATTAACTTGAAGCTGCAGGCGCCTACCCTATGACTTATAACTCTCACTATACTATTTAAAAAAATCAATTTATTAACAGTGGATTACATTAATGTTTCAAATATCAAACGTCTATTGAAGTCCTTGAAAATTAATTCAATTTACAATGAAAAATAGTTTATAGGTGGTAAGTGATTTAATATCCACATATTAATTATCGTACAGCGCATTGAGCCGGCCGGGTCAGATTTTTTTGGATCGAGCAAGGGCCGATTTCGCATATAAAAAGATTGAAGAAACTGAATTTTCACTTATCATCAAAAAATCACTATTAAAACTATTCTTTACCATATTTTGCACGAAATGCAGAAAAAAAATTTGTTTGACGTTATTTGAACTTAAATTCAAAAAACGAGCGCGCCAATACACGGTGCTCGAAATCTTCGAATTTTGTAAGACAAAAAAATTTGAAAATTATGTTTTTTCAAACTTCGGTCAGGTCGTGCATTATAAAGTCGCAAAAAGATTATTGCTTTTGTAGACATAAATCTAAGTTAAGAAGACAACAAAAGTGAAGACCCAACGTATATCAAACTGTTTCTATGGTGAGAACACTACTGGCTTATACAAGTAATTTTGCCACATTTTTTTCTGATTTTTTTTCTGAGCTAGTAGTACAAGAGTTGTCGTAAATAGAAGAGTTTTCTAATTTGATTAGGTGAAAATCAACTTTATGTAGTAATCTATAATCGCAATTTTGCCACTTGCGGAAACTCGTCATTGGAAGGGCGATATTTAGCGTTAGCTTACTACACTAGTTGCGTTGATGCGCGATCTTCCGCTGCGTAACTATAGACAGTCCCACTACGTCGCATCGTATTCTCACAGCGTAACATTTTTCACCGCTTTCATCGTGAAATAGCCGGCCTTGCAAGATGGTTGCGGTAAGATTCTTTTTTTAACTAAAAAGTCTCATTTTTTTAATGTTAACGAATTCATTTTTAATGCCTCATCGTTTTCTAAGGTGAACGAGAGCCTATTTTTGCATGCGACCAAATAATATTGCCGAATACATTGAAACGATTAGTGTTTTGCCGCTTGCAGACAAAACTTTAGTAGTTGCACGTGGTTGTTTGTGAATAACATTTTTTGAATATATATTTTCTGGCATTTTTGTTGAAAGTTTTTTGCAAAATGTTAATATCAAATTAATGGAGCCCCGTGTATATATATTTAAAATTGTTTCGGTGCATAATGAATTTTTATATGGATTCTAACCTACTTGGAGTTTTCATTAAATTCATGAATTGTCACTTTGACCTATACTGACTGAAATTTATTAATTTTAGACCACCAAGAAAACTGTCGTCCCCAAAGCGGGTGCCAAGAAACAACATCTTCGTGGAAAGGCCCAGAAGAAAAAGGTCTCCCTAAAATTCACCATCGATTGTACTCATCCTGTCGAAGATGGCATTATGGATGTAGCAAATTTTGTAAGTATCTAAAAAATTAGTATAGAATGTTTTGAAGAAACACGTTGCATTGCTATTTATGATAAACTATTTTCATATTAAATTTGAAATTAATAGTCTTATTATTTATGCAGGAAAAATATCTCCAAGAGAGAATAAAGGTCTACGGTAAAACCAACAACTTTGGAAACAATGTTTCCATAGAAAAACAAAGGATGAAGTTGATTGTCAATAGTGACATTGAATTCTCCAAGAGGTGAGTTATTCATAAAAAATATATGATGAAGCTGCTTAAATATTTGTGAATGGTATTTTTCTATCTAAAAAGTCTCTAAGCTGCAGAAATGAAATAATTAGAACAAGCTAGAACGATATTTGCACTCACCATACAAAATTTGTTTTTTTAGATACCTGAAGTACTTGACAAAAAAGTACTTGAAGAAGAACAAGCTCCGTGATTGGCTCAGAGTTGTATCTAAAGACAAAGAGACTTACGAGCTTCGTTACTTCCAGATCAACAGTCAGGATGATGAAGAAGAGGAAGATGCAGAATAAGTATAATAAGTACCAATAGGCTAATAATCATAACTAATAAAATAAAGAGCAGTTATAAGTACAGTCTTGAGGAACTTTTAAAAAATAAAATATAAAAATTGAAAATGAACAAAAGTCAGTGTCACTTTCTCTTCAGCATACCTTTATAATATATTAGCGAGATCAGTCCTTCCAGCATTGCAAAAAGATATTAGGTATTATGAAGGTAGTTTCCATTGGAACTAAGGCATTTACTTAGAGGAAAAATGAAACCTATTTTTAATGAATGAATGAAGGTTCAAAATGGTCAGAAAATAATGTACCCAATAAGAATTTTGTTTTTAACAAATCATGAGGTATATTTCTCTCCTTATTCACAATTTTTAGTTCACTATTTTCAGCGAAACATCAATTTTAAAACCTCTTTTTGATGCTATAACACCCACATGCACTGTTAATCTTTCACATAATTTTGCTATGTGTCTTTCATCATGCTAAAACTCGATTCATTTCTAATTTTCAATTCCAACAATCAAACATTATTCCTTGTCCACTTTTATTTCATTTTCTTCAATTAAATTTTCGTGCGGGAGCGATACAATAAAATAAAATAGCAACACAGATGGCTATCAGAAGATAACAGAATCTAATTTTTTTACACGAAAGCATAATAATAAAACGACACAAAAAACTTTTACGGAATGCTTTCAACACAATTATTGTTGCCAGGCATTTTCTTTTAAATTTTCAACTGGACCGTTGATTTCGTATGGAGAGATTAAAAAGATACAATGTGCTGCGGACAATGCAACAAGAATTTTTTGAATAAGTTTACACCTTTCACGCGATTTCTCTGTCATTCATAAATAGTTTCTATCGTGCTCGTAACGTTTGTACCACATATATATTTTTAAAATTCACAAACAAATATGCCATAGAAAGCATAATATATATAATTTTTTTTCTACGATGATTCTTCTACAATTTTTTCTCCGTCATTATCTAGAATAATGATATAATATATTCTATGCGTAAAGTTGAGATTTTTTTGCATTGTTAACTTTATTGTTATACAATAATTATTTATAATCTAAGTAGGCCATTTTTGTTCGTCTTAAGACTTAAACAGCTAAATTGAGCTACAATATCATATACGAAGTAGAGCCGGGAATGTGGTCGTCTCTTACACTTTTATTTTACGCGTCGAAGCTTACACGAGCTTTCGGTACATAGCTTGACCATGATAGAAAAAAAAGATTTTTTCTTTCCTTCGGTGACTCGTCGTTGATAATTGAGATATACATTTATTTAAATTTTTTACTTTTCGTTTATAATTACATCTAAGTTCGTTTTAAAAATGTTCACGTTGTTTCGAGTGGCCCCATCTGAAAAAAGGCAGAGGTTTTATTTTAATATAAATTTGATTTCGTTCATTCGAATAGGTGCGAGCAGTACAACAATATTAAAACGTGAGTCAGGCTTACCTGTTGTGAAATAGTATTGTTCCTTGTTGCGCCTCGAGCTCGCGCGTTTACAGCATAATTCTAAATAAACAAAGATGTAAGACATGTCAGACGAGAGTTATAATATGAGAAAGTTGGCTCTAATCATGCGTTCGTACAGCAATCGCTTGACAAACGAATATATTATCTATGTACATTGCGAGACTAATTTGAAAGGCGAATCGCAAACGCCTGCGAACAATAATTTTTTTTTTCATTGACTATTGCGTTGAGCCGCAAAAAAATTATGATACAATATAACAATGTAAACGACTTGTCGATCGCGCTGAGGAATGATGAAGAAAGTAAAGGTCGTACGATGCTTATACGATACGGTCGCCTCCGCAACTATGGTCTCCTTTATTTCTGCAAAAAAAAAAAAATAAATCGTATGTAAAAGAAATAAAGAAATGAATCGAATCGGTAAATCGAATTACAAGAAATGAAGGGTACCTTTTCCTCGGCGATGCTGCTGGTCGAGGCCATCCTCTGGGAGGGCTCGAGCCGGCCGCGGCGGCGCTCGTCCAGCGACTCCGTGTCCAGGCTGATGGTCATCTGAAGCGGCACCGTCTGAATGCTGCTTCCGCTGCTGCCGACCGACGCATTGACGTGGCGAGTCTTGATGAGCGGCGGATTCCTCGACTGCGGAATGGCGAAGGCTCGCCTCAGAGCGCCTCGGGGTGGCGACGGAGGCGGATACGATATACCTATTTAGGGGTAACGTATGATCGTTTTAATTTTGAAGCTGAACGTGGCCTCACAAAGAGTTTTGCAATTGTTCATCGGTATTTTCGTAAATTATCGACGAGCGTGCATATCTTTTGCGTAAATGCGTGTCAGCTGTGAAAATTCGTATCTCGATGGTTCGACGAGTACCGTGCGAATATTTTCTATTTACTAAAAAGCGCACGATCCGAGATAAAAAATAAAGGCAATAGTCACGAAAACGAAACGAGATGGAATACGTTAAATAGTTCTGCATGAAAGTAACTCGTGCAACTAAGGTATAATGCAGCACACAATATAAATCGGATGTAAAAAAAAATGTACAGTAAAAGAAGATTCAATGTGAATAAATCTTTTCGTGCGCATGAGTTGGTACTTTAAAAAAAAAAAGAAGAAGAGAAAAAGTCCCAGCAAATAAAATGTACTTATTCGGAAAATTTCACGAGTATATGCATATGCGTGTAAATATAGACGGCGAAATTCAATTTAACGTATGTCTCGCGAGAGTGCAAATAAAATTTTACGTTGCACGCGTTGCTTCCGCACATTTACCATCGTAAAAAGTATACCATATTACAATTCAGCATCGATACGATCGCGAGTCAAGAAAAACGTATGTATAAATGTATCTAATCTATAATACAAAAATATATAAGCAAAAAAAGTGGGCGTGCCTTTTTTCTTAAATGAAAATTCACCTCGATGACCGGGCGACAGGAGGGTGTCCTTGCTCTTGGTGATTTGCGGCACGATGAGCAGCGAGCTCGGCGGCGTCGGCGACACCGTGGATGTCTGCGGCGACGTCGCCAGGGTGAGATTCGGCAGCGACTGGCCCAGGCTCGAGTAGGCGGGTACCTGGACGCTCAGCGTGTTGGGCGTCGGCGACTTGCTCAGCAGCGATCGTCTGCTTGCGTGCCGTGGGACGCGAGAAAGAAAGAAAGAAAGAAAAAGTTGTACGATTAGCGGATCGATGCGCTATAGTGAAGGGGAAGGGGCTCGTTACGATGACATAAATTTACAAACGATTGCATGCGTGAAAAACATCGAGTGTTAGAAAAAAGATTTGAAAAGCACTTACTCGTTATTTATTTAGCTTTTTTTTTTACGTACGCAAGCTGAACGAAAGACGCATGCACATATGGCGTTGATTTGTATTATGTAAGCACGCAGACACACGTGCAAGCTTTAACGATACTTTATTTAGCTACATAAGCATTATAAAAAGCTGTTAGATGTATGCAGTACGCTATAATAAATATTACTGTAAGTATAAAAAGCGGAAAAGAAATCAAAGACAAAATTAAAGATTAAGAAGCTGACCAATGATTTACTCGATTTGTTAAAAATAGTAATTTTAGTTACACATTATATGCTCAAGATAGTATTGTAGTACAAGTCGGTTTAAGAAAAAGTACGATGCATGTAAATATATATATATTTTTTTCTTCGAGAAAGAGTTAAAATGAATCAATCGACGTAGTCGTCGCGATCGGTATTTTATTAATGCAAAACCGATCGGTCGAACAGACGTTCGTTAAGCTGACATGTATAATTGAAAACTTTGACTAACGCAAGCTATACATTATATATAAGTAAATAGAATTTCAATAGCGCTAAATAGCTTATCGCACATGCACATAAAATATATCAATAATCAACGAAACGAAAAGATACAGCGCCCGATGATGCGTAAAACTACGAGCGTTGCGCATAACAAATATCGCTCTCTCAATCTCTAAATGCTCTCTAGGTATTATATTAAAGATTCATCGAAAAACATCGTCGACGTCGCCATCGTCGACGTCATCGTCATCGTCATTATCAACGTCATCATCGTGCATAAGTAACCTAATCTGTTGCTGTCGCTGATTGTGCGCCGCGACGGCGGCCGCGTGGGCGTTCGCGGCCGCGGACTCGACGCCCTCCTCGGACGAGACGCTGGACGCCCTCGGCGGCAGTGGCTCCTGGTTCTCGACGCTGACGTTTCGGCTCTGGCTGTAGCTCGGCAGGAAATTGCTGCCGCTCGGCGACGCGCCCTCCATTTCCACGCTGCCACTGTGCGCGAAACGACACAGGGGGGAAAAAGAAAAAGAAAAAGAAAAGGTAAAAATCAAGAACGAGCGATAAATTATGCATAAAACAAAGAGGAAACCTGTGACTGTGCGCGAGGCTGCTGACTCTGGAGGCGCGACTGCTGCCGCGCGGCGTCCGACACGGCAGTCCGCCCTCGGCGACGCAGCAGATCTCGTCGATGTCGTAGTCGACCTCGCCGAGATACGTACTCGGCTGTCGGCTGACGAGGGTCGATCTCGTCTCGCCTCCAGCTGCTCCCGATGACCCGCTGCCGGCCGCTACTCCGGCAGCAGCAGCAGCAGTCCCGCTCGTCGTCGCGGGTTGCCTGTACTGCGCCAACTGCTGCTGCGCCTTCCTTATCGATTCCATCCATAGCTGTGGGTCGATCAATCACAAGAGCGATGTATAATCACAATCGTATGTGTAATTATGCACATTCGAAGATGATATAATTATTATATGTATTGGACTGTTTCGCGGGAAATTTTCTTTTCATATCCGCTTTTCACGTTCTCTCGTAGCTCGTTTTATAATACCAAAAAAGTCAACCAGTTGACTATTAAAAAGCTTGCATTTGAATTTTTATACCGGCTTATGCCCATTGAATTGGTCAAAATCGACGGAATTGATTGCGGTGTGATTAAGACCCATCAACGTCGTAGCAGATCCGTTGGGATTCTCGATTTTTCGGTCATTTTTAGATAAAAAAAAAAACCATCGAAAACTCAACTGTTTGCAAGATGCAGAAAAGATCCAAAGGGCAGCGAATGTGAAAAAAAAATTCCTCAGGGACTCTTCAACATATTATAGTGCAGTAGGGGCACATTGATTCGGTAACGAATTTACACGGTCATAAATGGGAATTCGTTACCGAATCAATGTGCCCCTACTGTACATAGTCGCGCACCTTTGCCACTTTGGGCTCGCCGACGCTGAGAACGAGGGCCGCGGCGGCGGTCCCGTACTCGTTGAGATAGACCATGCCGAGATTGGAGGGCTCCTTGAGCTCGTACATGCGTATGCGATCGACCACGTAGGGCTGCCTGATGACTTTGAGCCCGCCGCCACCACCACCACCCAAGCTGCCCGTGGCGGTGGCGGCGGCTGCGGACGACGACGAGGCCTTGCTCTTGGCCGACTGCTTGCAGACGAGCAGCATGTCGGTGAGCAGCAGCAGGTGCACCTCGGTCTTGCTCGACGTGGCGTCCTTGAGCTTGCAGTCGCCCTCGCGCATCAGGGTGCGCAGCGCGTCCCTGGGACAGCCAGGCATCGGCGTGTTGATGAGGTCGAGGCTGCTGTGCAGCTTGATGAGGCGCTCGAGCTCCTCGTCGCGCGACTCCACGGCCTCGTAGCTGTCCAGGCGGGCCGCTGCGGCCAGCAGTCGCGCGGCGTCCTCGCACCTGCGCAGCGCCGCGTTCACCGACGCCACGAAGCCGTCCACCAGCCGGATCATGTGGCCGAGCTCCAGGCGCTGCTCCTCCAGCTCGGTGTGCTTCTGCACGGCCTTGAGCAGCAGCGAGTACTTGGTGATGCGTTGCATGGGCTTCACCAGGATGTCGAGCAGTCGCAGCCGATTGCAGTCCTTTTGCGTCTCGCACCACTTGTTGTTTTTTTACATCGTAATGCGATAAGTAGTAGTTGGCACTCGCGCGTGATTCAAATACATATAATACACGAGAGAGAGAGAGATGAACTCACCACGAGATAGGCCGTGAACACGTCGTTGTCGTTGAAGCGATCGCGGCAGTACTGCTGGCACCTGGTCTGCTCGGAGCAGTACCTCGTGTAGGGCGCGAAGACGCGCTCGAAGCTCTCGAAGCCCGGCAGCAGGTAGCCCGGGTCCAGGGGCTGGCGGCTGCCGCGGGCCTCGTGCAGCATCGCGTACACGCACTCGGTCCAGAACTCGCGATTCGCCGCGTAGATCTCCGATATGTTGCTGAACAGCTTGGTGCGGTCGACCTCCACCAGGATGTTCGAGGCTTGCAGGCCGCACAGGCAGGCCATGAACAGCTGCGCGCGCCAAGGGAAGTTATACAAAGTTGATATATAAAAAAAAAAATATCAGAACCAGGCCAAGTTTTTACGGTATTAATTATATCGTCGCTGCTCTCGTTGTTGTTCTTGAAGCGTAACGCGCGAAAGACAATGCCGCTTCGCGCGCGTACGTTGCGTTTACATATAATAATACGCGCGAGGATACAATGTTCGGGAAGCATCATCAAGACGAGTCTCGAGCTCGAGGAAGCGCAAAGTTTGTTTGCGCGCAAAATTCAACGTCAAAAGTTTTTGCTCGGCGCGATCGTTGTTATAGTTGCTGCGCGGACTATTCACTGTATTACATATTATATATAGTTGCGGGGCTTACTCTGTAGTAAGCAGCGCGGCATCGTATACTTACGTCGGTCACGACTTTCAGCGTTTTAATGTAAGCCGCTTCGGTCTGCGCCAGCTCCCAGAGGGCCGTCTGCTGCTGCTGCTGCTTCTCGCTCAGCATTTCCGAGCCCTCCACGATGTCCCGCCAATCGGCCTCGAGGCTGAACAGCGCTGCAAAATGTACACGCACATGTATACACATGATTTCATTTCTTTATATTATAAGTCGAGACTTTGTTCGGAATGGAGCAACGTCGAGGTGAACGTAGCAATTTTTTTCTTTTTTTTTTTTTTGATCGCGTGATTTGAGAGATCGTCGAGTCGTATGACGATATTATATATTTTCAGCGATCTATTTCGTTTGTATACATATAATAATCATACGTCAGCAGGATTCTTAAAATACAATTTGTGCGCGGTTTTTCTCCAAGTGCTCGCTAGAAAGCTGGACGAAAAATGCCATTTTTCAGCTCGACTGCATTTTTCAGATCGTTGTGCGCATTTTCTCGAAATGAAAGATCAAAAAAATCCCAGGGCTCCGGCCGCTTTTCCTTTCTGTACACTACTAGGTGAGTGGTGTAATTCTGTCCGAAGGAACGCCAGGAATTTCCACTCACCTAGTTGTACCTCGCGATCCGAAGTTCCCCGCGTAAAAATATTCTTCTTTGCATCTGCGACTACTTTACTTACCGTCGTCGCTGAAGGCGAGCTCGTGGGGCTGCAGGTGCTCGGGCAGTTTGGGCACGCCGTGCTTCGTGTAGTGGTTCAGCTGCTCGACCAGCATCTCCATCTTCGTGCCCTTGGTGTTGGTGAAGAAGCCGCTCCAGCGCTGCTTGCTGGCCTTGAGGCCGCTCGACGCCGACGCGGCGGACGACGAGCTGGTGGCGCCCGCGCCGGCGCTGCTCTTGGTGATGGCGGCGGCGGCTGCCGCGGCCGCGGCCGCCGAACCCACCTCCGAGTCGACGCTCGAGTCCTCGGTGGACACGCTGAAGAATCGGCCGCCGCTTCGGCCCCTGTAGCTCTGCAACGAAGCACGACGATTATTGCGGATAAGGTTTTGCACGAAAACAAATGATATGGATTTAACTAGGCATAAAAATTAAATTCTGTTTTATTTGCTAGATCAATTCAAATATTTTAAGCACAATGTTTGAAAACATATTATTTTGAGAATCTTCACTTATTGTTTTAGATATGATAGTACTGATCGACTTTATTGATATTTATTCATTTTATCAATTCAAATATATTAGGCTAATTTTATGTGTATGCTTTAATTTTATACATAACGCTCACTATTTATGTATTTACAAATCATATCTATTGCTCATCGTTTTATGTTTACTTTGCCACTTGCAAATTTACAGACCAAGGTAATCGACACTTAGTGGTGGGTGATTAATTATGATTCAATTTTCATTTAAAAAAGCAGCCCTGAAACCTTAATTTTCAATCAAATTGCTTGAATCAACGTATAGAATTAAATCTTTTTGGTTCATTATTGCTGTTAAAGTAACGTATGCGATTGAATTTTCTTGCATTTTTTTTGTAGTTTATCTAAAAAAGTAAATCGGTATCTTATGCATTAATTTTCAGTAAAGATTTAATTTAAAAGTACTTTAAATAAAATTCAGTATCTGTTATGTAAGTTTCAATGTCTGATTTCACATTGACTCTGCACTCAATTTAAGGTTTTTTCTTAAAGTATATCCACTATACTGTTTGAAGAAATAAAGCGGAAAAATGTGTGTATTTATAGCTTTACTTATTCATCGCAATCATGATCGAGCTTTTGTATTAACAGCAACTCGACACCAAATTAGAATCTCGCGCCTTGAAAGTTCAAAGCTATTTTTGTTCTAAACTTGCTTATTATAATGCTTATCTGTACGTGCATTATGCGCAAATACAGAACAATGTCAAACGCGTCAAGATTTCGCCAAGATTAAGTCGAAAATCTTGCACTCGCCGCCACTACCGCCACCACTTACTCCCCACTCGAATAACCATTGGCTGCAATTTAAAGCGTAGAAAGAGCGTAAGAGTCAGAAACGTCGATTAATAATGCATCACGTGTTGGTATATACACTGTAAATGCGCACTTGTTAGCCATAATTGTGACGAAGCAGTTGAACTACGAGGGGGAGGGCTGGGGGATTGCATTTGTGTACCCGCATACATAATATTATTATCCTTGAGCATTATAAGCTTCGAACTAAAGATTTTGAGGACACGCGGCGATCGTGTGTTATATACGATGTGTACGAAACAGCTGGTGGTTCTGCTGTCGCTCGATCGATCGCTGACAAAATATACTCGCGAGCTAGCTGTGCAGAGGCAGCCCCCCGCGCCGACGTCCCTCCCTACACTCCGCCATGTACTCTTACGCCTCCACTCGAAGAGCGAGTATATACGTATGCAGTTCGATACAAACGAAGTGTGTGCGTGTGTGTTATGTGTGCTGCTGTTGCTGCGGTTATTATCGAGTCGCATATATATATATGTATAATAAAGTCAGGCAGTCGCTGCGATCGCGATTAATTAGAGACTCGATACGTATATATATATAAATAATATACACGCGTGTATATAACTCCTCGATTTGCGCCTATAATCATTCGTCCTTTACGTGGATCCTTTGTGTGTATAAATCGACTGCCAAGTGGTTGCTAGTACACTATACGCCGTAAACACCGCGAGGTATGCACCCTGGTATATAACAGCTATGTACGAGCTATCTATGTATTATACACAATCGATCGTACGTATTGCCGATCCCGAGCCTACTTGTCTCTCGTTATATCAATAGACGGATGGATGTGTATTATGTACGATTGGTTGCGTGTGTGCGCCTGTCTGTCTGCCGCACGCGCCCGATCTGTAATCTTTGGGTCCGATTAATTAATCGTTCGTTTCGGAAATATACGCGACCCTCTCAATTTTCGGGGGGGCGCGCGCTATGTGTGTGCACGAGTGTGTACAGTACACGCGAGGCAGATAGAGTGCACGTTGCGTCGCGTAAACGGATTTCGTGCGTCGTAAGCAGATTCGTAATAGGATTAAAAATTATTATTTTAGGTCATGTAATGATGGCACAATTTCGAATCTCTCTCTCTCTCTCTCTCTCTCTTTCTCTCTGCAACTGCATAAAGTACGAATTTCTAAATGACTGGGCGCTTTTGCATCGAGTATTTTGCAGGACTGCATGTCGTGTATATTGTATAGCATACACGTGTACGGTATCTTCGTGCAGCGCTCGCAGGAGAGAGAGAGAGAGAGGGAGCTTGGCTTGTCAGGTCACTCATAAATATAAATGAAGTCAAGGAAAAACAGGGCGGTAGAGGGGTGCAGCCACGACATGCACATCACACATAAACACACATACACACACACACACAAACTCGCGCGTGCATTCGTACGAACGTTTGTTAAGTAAGTGGTTAACGAGGATTGCTGCATGATGGACACCGCGTGTTTGTATAAGTATACGATTGGTTGCGAGCTTCGACCTGCTTTGGCAAACAAAAAAAAAGCGGACCCTCTTCGAGATGGAAAAATTGAAAGATGACTCGAGAAATGTAGACCGAGGAGCCCGCGAGGGGATTCGATTATCGTCGCGCGGAGCTTCGTTAAGAGCTTTTTTAATTTCATCGAAAAATCTACGCTTCGCCGCGTCAATTTTCATCGCGAGCTTTTTTCTTCCTTTTACAAAGCACTTACAGCTTTTTTCAGACATTGTAAGCTCGCAAGAGCGCGACACGTATATCGTGTCTTAATGCTCGACGATCGACTGCTTAAATATTGATCATCTTGGACGTTCGTTGCATATTTTTTTATTTTTCTTTTTTTTTTTTTTTAACAAAAAGGGATAGAAAATTGAATTATGCATGCTCGACGTTTAATTACAATCGATATATGCGCGGGTGTCGCGATCGAGTTTTGAGAAAAAGTAACTGCGCGTATATACGTAATTATATGCCGTACACAGCATCGCTGGGAGCACATCTGTCGCGCGCCCGCGCTCAATTTCAATATATTTTAATGTAACCATTATGTGTATTGGACGCGGATCGCAGGCGCGTCAGTTCGAAACTCGCACTGCGTACGCGTGTACGCAGGCTTAAATAATGTAATTAATCGCGCGAATTTATGCTACATCACGACGACCGCTGCCCGCTGTTCGCTGCTCGTGCCCTATACTGTGGCTTCGAATTATGTTATAATAACGCATTACGTTATAATAACGCATTATTGTGTGAATTCGCTTTGACTTATACAATTATTTTGACTTTCCCACTTGCAGATTTACAAATGAAGGTGCTCGCCATCTAGCGGTGGAGCCTCAAAGTGGTCTCCTGACTGGTCTACATTTTTTGAAACGATTGAATTTTTATTTTCAGTTAGTTAAAAGTACGCTTGATATCCGTTGTAATTGCATCAGAAAAACTGCCCAAAAGAAGCCAATTAATGGTATTGGTAGTTACTTTAAAAAAGATAAGAGCAATGCGTCACCTCGACAAATATTTCTAGCGGCCTAGATGATTCTCGATCGGATCGACCGCACGCGCATAACGTTATAAGTACTCAAGATCGCAATTATCGCTGTTATATTTTGCACTTCGATACGATATTATTCAGCTATCACGCAAGCGTCCGCGTCCGAGGTTTACCTTTTCAAAAGTATGTATCGTACGTACATATCCTCGTAGGGTATAGTACAATGTTGCCGACGCCGACGCGTCCTTCGATGCTAAATTTATTCCACTTCTGCACTCTTCAAAGCGAGCAAAATATATTTATATCCGTCTATATTTATAGGGGATATAGCTCCGTTTGACCGCGCTCGCACACACGCGAGAGGGAAAAAAAATATACATCTTACGCGATACGCGCTCTAGAGCACGCGAGTGTCGGTGCGAGCGCAAATGTACCGAGCCAAGTCAACTTTTTTTATTCGGCACTTTACGCGCGCACTGCACTGCTAATTTTTCATTGTCGCGCGAGCTCGTTCGCGCGTTACGCATACTATTTAGTTATGCCAAGTCGTGTACTTTTTTTGCTTTTACGATTTTCTTACAACTTTTTGCGCCAACGTGGTATCTGATGCATATAGCTTAATCAACGTGAAAATTTAGTAATACACACTTTAAAATCCAAAAAAGAAGGGTTGATTTGTTTCATGATCATGATTTTTTAGATTTTTATGATAAAACAGTGTCATGTTTATGGAATTAGCTAAAAGTAATCTATTTTTTTTGAACGGTGTTTTTAGTCGATAGATCTGCATATAATTTGATGGATTTTTTTTTGAAATTGAAGTAATTTGGACGGTATTATTATTAATTTTCGATCCTAATCGAGAAAAAATTACGTTAACTGATTTCTGTTTTAGATTTGACATTATACAGGGGAAAAATATAAAATAACTATGAAGTTTTATGTAAATAAAGCTAAAACTAACATTAATTCGTATTTGATGCTCAATTACAATATCAAACACGGATAGTCGCGTCATGTGACGAAGTGTAAGCCCCGCCTTCGTCTCGGATCCCAATACCGTTCTGTTCTTAAAACCACTACGGCGCTGTTCGGAGTATCGGCTCGAAGTCAAGTCGTAATACTCGCTAACTGCCGACACGAGCTAGAACGTCGAGGCGTAAGTAAACAAACGGCGGCAAGTTATTTTCGTGAAAAATAGGAAAAATATTTCAAGTTACGAGCGACCGCGCGGCAACTCTGAACAATGGAGACTCAATCCGACCTAACCAAAACCCGCTTCGAAAAATTGAAATCAGAAAAAGAAAAAGCCAGTTTGACGACCGAAAAGGATCGACAAAAATTTCTCCTTGCGCTTAACCCTATAATCCAACAATGGAAAACCGGATTTCGAAGAGAAGAAGAATGGAACGATGTTCCAAATCTCGGGGACGTTTTTGAGTCCGGAGAAATTGAGTTACTTCTCGAAAGTTGCATAAATTTAATTATCGAAGATGAGAAAAATTATCCTCAGGTAATAAATTTCATCAAGTTAGTGCCTGCCAGCGACTACAGAGACAAGCACGACGACGTAGTTGACCAAGACGGCAAGCCTGTATTGCTTCGCGACACCCTATTGCATCGCCTCATGGGCAGACACGATTTCTACAAGAGAAGCGCCGTCGCCGCTGAGTTCTTTAAAATATACGATAGGTTCGACAGGAATTACATCAGCACAACACACGTCACTCACTACGACGTGGCCTGCAGGACCGGCTGCCTTGACGCCGTCGAAAAATTCATCCAGTCCGGACAAGACGCCAGTGGCGAACGGCTATTATCGGCTGCGAAATACAATCAAAGGGGGGTGATTAAATTACTGGTGGAGCACGGCGCCGATCCGAACACGACAGACAGCTATCTCAAAAATACTCCTCTACACATCACTTGCAAGAGGAAAGAAGAAAGAGATCCCATGACTACATGCGCGACACTCATCAAAATCGCCAAGGATAAAGGCAAGCCGGTGCAAGTGGACGCCCGGAACCATATGGATCAGACACCGCTGCACGTGGCTGCGGACTGGAGAAACCACTCTTGTGTCGATAGGTTGCTGCGGGAAGGCGCCGATCCGAACTCGACCGACTATCTCGGAAATACTCCTCTGCATCGCATTTGCATAAGCACCACTCCGCGAAAATGCGGCACAGACGAATCCCTGACCCTGTTGCGTAACTTTCTCAGGGTCGCCGAAGAAAAAAATCGGACGGTGTTGCTCAATGTCAAGAACAATGCTGGTAGGACACCACTGGACATGGCGTATTGCTACAAAAATGAGGAGATTATTGAATTTCTGACGGCCAAAGGTGCCGAAAGAGCAACACCTCCACCTAGTGAATCACCAGAATCACCGGAATGATCCTGGACGAATCATTCGCGATCCTGGACCAATGATTTATTCGCTTGTTGGCTACTGTTCAAAGCTTGAGATAGCTCGTTCGTTTATAATATCTTTGTATCGTTTATTTATCATTTTGTACATAAAATAAATAACGAAATTTAGTTTACGAAGTTGCTTGGATTTTATATTTTATTTCAGTTTAGTTGACAAAAAAATATAAAAAACTTTCCCATCGCGCAACTGTTCTAATCCGACTGCTCATTGATTTCAAAGGAACATTACTTTTTCTTTCGTTCTGTCAACGTTTGAACGTAGATCCATACGCAACGGTGGTTGGCTTCGCCTCTTTTCCTCAGCTCATTACGTTAACTTCTTTATGACTCGGTTCAGCATGTATTATGTATAACGGTAATAAAATGAGTATTATTTTCGATCGATGCTCGAGTTTCATGCACGTGAATTTAACTCATGGGGTATCTTGGAAGATACGGTATAATAAAAAAGGAAGAGACAAAGCGTTACTCACCCCTCCGGTTTTTCGCAGCGAGACATTCTGGCTGCTTCGCTGGCTACCCGATCTGGAGGTCGATTTTTCATCTTTGGCTGGAACAAAAAATAAAAAAGGAAAAAGAAGCAAATAAATATGACCAGAAATTACCAGATGAGTTTTCGCCGCATCGCGACGTTGTACGACTATATATAGTACATAGATATCAAGTAGCACCCGGACGGAAAAAAGTTTTTAAATTTACGTTTCTTATCTCGAGCCGACGCGAGACCCTGTCGTGTCCTGCTTGTAAATAGGCACCGCTGCTGCGGTGGTGGAAAAACTACAAACGCTCGGCTCGCGCTTTATGTCGTATGTATACCTAGATACGTTTTTTCAACGTATTTTTGGTCGAACGGTGAAAGATGTTTTCGCGTGCGCGAACGGAGGAGGAGGAGAAAAAACATTCTGTTCTCTTTCTCTCTTTTTCTCTGTTTCTCTCTTCCTTTTCAAAGAAAACCACGAAACTGAAACTCTCGGAAGCCACCTGACCCATAGAGATTTAATGAAAAACAAATCGTCATCAGCCATGAAAGCTCGAGCCCACCCGTGCGCGCACACAAACACACGCTCGTACGCACACGCGACTTTTCGCCGTGCTATTTATATGATAAAAAACTTTTACGAAAAATTTTTTTTTTACTTTATCCTTTACTTTTATTTCTTTACGAGTGTAATAGTTATAATATACACATATTCTTATTTCCACTGAGCTAATAAACAGGAGTACGAAAGTCGAGTAGAAAAATAAACGAAAAAAAAATTCTAAGCGACTCGTTTTTTCCCTCTCCTCTTCCACGAAATGCTAAACGTGTCGTTTCATACATATATATCCCCGATCCTTTATCCTTCGGACGTTTTTTTTCTTCTCTATCCTCGATATATATACAGTGGATTCGAAGCTGCAGTATATAATACAGTAGCAGTTGTCGCGCAGCTCCCATTGCAATCGTATTCGAGAAAACAGCTCCAGTGATACAAGTACGTGATCGGTCGGACTCATGGTATACCTATATCACTTCAATTTTGAAATATACGGAAATTTTTTTTCAACCGTATACGTATTACACTCCTGCATCGAAGAGAGTCTTGTACGTATGTGTGCAGCGGCGTACTTTTTTCTTCTCGTCCGATGATTGCACCCGTGTGGCTTTCACAGATTGCACGTTTTTTTCTCTCCACCCGAGGAGTAGTCGAATCCGAGCTTTATTTATATATAGTACAATCCACGAGCATCATCTTTCTGTACTTACTTTTAATTTCTTTCGTGAGAACGAAATGTCGATTACGAGTTTTGGAAGTTTTCTGGAGAAAAAAATTAAGGAAAAATATAATACGTAGAATTGTAAAAATACGCATCGGGTTTTCATTAACGCTTGAAACTAGAGCGCAAAGTACGGACTCGTACAGTAATGCCCGAGTATAATATGCACATGACATATGTAGAGAAGCGGGAGAGTCGCGCATCTTTTGCATTAACGAGAGAAAACTGCAGCCGCGTATCCGCGTGTATCGGTGTATAAATATAGCAGCCAAGAAAACTCGGCCCCTAGGCCATGTGTAGTAATTTATATATTATGCCCTGCGATACCTTGAGCACTAGGAGGTTTCATAGATGCGAACGCTAGGAGTTTTACGCGCCGCTTTAAGAGAAAAAAAACTAGAGGGTAGGGCAAAATTTTGTACGTATCTCTCCGATTTTTCCTTACAGCCTTCACTCTCATTATCGTTTTGTGCACGCGTCTTTTTAGTTTATTTTTTTTTGTTTACTTTTCCAAGTCCTCCTTTCTTCATTTTCTTTTTTTTTATATGTATTATTTTTATTTCTTTTGGAGAGTTTGGCAGCGGGTTGGCCCGTGAAGAATGAACGATAATCGTGGGAATGTAAAATTTTCAGAAATAGTATCTATCACAGGCTGCAATATCATAAGGATGGACTCCAAAATCTTTAATCTTTAATTTCCAAAATCTTCAAAAAAATTCACGCCTGTTCTTTGATCAATTCTAAGCATTTTTTGTTCTATTACATTTTTCGTACAGTCCATTGTTAGCGAGTAAAAAAAATCTCAAAGCATTATTGGCTAAAAGACGATACGGCATATGTTACAATATAATAAAATAAAACAGAAATTTATTATTATTACTAGTATAAGCTTTAGTTTAATTTTTGACACAATAACATTTAAAAAAATATTAATTCATACAGATACAAATAAACTCAGTTTGTTTTACAAATCAATTATTTAAAAATAGTTATACGTTTGGAATGGAACTTTGAAAAGATTTTAAATTAGAGAAAAATTAACAAATGAAATGTTTCGTCTTATCCTATAAACGATTTTTTCTCATTGTGCAACTTTACAGGAGAGGAAAGTTATTGTGCGCCCAATGCGACATTACAACGCAAGAGTCGGTATTGTATGGCTCTATTCTGTACCTTAGCCTTTCAACTTTGTTTTTTCATCTTTTGCTGCCCGGACCCCGAAGAAAAGTCAGGTAAAGTACGAAGAAAAAAAAGATCAGCTGACTCGAGCGGCAGAAATTGACAATCGAGAAAATGCGAGCATTTTGACAAATCATCTCATTAAAAGTCTCTTTCTTTCGGCACGTAAAAAATTAATTGTTAGTCGCTGCAGAGAAGTAATTCTCATCGATGAATGAAAATCGTGCTCTCGTACTCTCTTCTTGGGGGGCGGGGGGGAAGAAGTAAAGGAGAGAAAGAGAGAAAAAGAAGGAACATCTTCGGCTCTCGCTTATTTAAGGAAAGGTTATACATTGTTCTGCGCTATACCCTTTCAACGCATTTCTCCCTCCTCTTCTCTCCGTTTTATTTTTTGCTCGTCCGAGAGAACGGCTAAAATCAAATCGACGGGATAATTAAATCTGTCAATTAAAGATCTCGTCAAACGACATCGGCGGACTCCGCAACATCGAACTGTTCACCAACGCAAAACTTGATATCGCGAGTCGAGGGAAGCGCGGGGGCGACTCGGTTGGAAACTAGGGCCTCGAAGAGATCGTCGTCGTCGTCGTCGTCGTCGGCGACGTCGTCTCTCGATAATAGATCTTATTTTAAAACTAAAAGCGCAAGCTCAACGCCGAGGACATCGTTCATCGACTTCTTTCATCAACTTGTCACTATTATACATAGACTTGTCGCTTTCGAATCTCGAATTACACGATTGCTCCTTTCTCTCTCCCTCTCTCCCTCTCTCCCTCTCTCTCTTTCTCGTTACTCGTCAATTATAATAGGCCGGAATGGCTCGATCGCCCGACCACCGAATGAGATATCGATTATCGATACATGTATACGTATTATATGCGGCATGCATATAACGCAGCAGATAAAGCCCGCGCGACCGGTGTATCCTGGGTCGAGCTATTAGTTTTATTTCCGCGTTTCATGCTATCGTGTATTTATACCAAAACGAAACAATGCATAGCATGAAAAATGATTTTCAATTCATCAGTTTTTGAGTTAATGCCTTTTTGCTACAGCAAGAGCGACAGAGAGGAAGAGACAGAGACGCAAAAAGCATGAGTTTTCTCTTTGTCTTATTCTATATCTCTTACGCGTGTCGAGAAATTAATGGCTCCCTAAGTGCAAGAGAGGTTCTCGTCGACGGCTTCTGCCCTCCTCCACCGCCACGTGCACCATTATTACACAAGAGGCGCGCGGCGTCGAGCATAGAAAAGCGAGGCGAAGAGGCGGTAAGGGTACCGAGAGCTTCGCGAGAGGAATGCGCAAAATTCGCTAGATTATAAACGGGCCGAGCCGTTTATAGCATACGTGCGAGCTGCGAAGAGAGATCGGAGACTTACCAGTTATACGTAGATGTTTGCCGCCCAGGCAGGAGGTTTCGGTCGTGTGAAGAGATAGCGGCGCCGAGAAGGTGTCGAGCAGCACGTCGACCCGTGACAAATCTATGCCCCTGCGCTCGCAGGCCGCGCTCAATATGTCCCTGTAACAGCACACAAAAACAAAAAAAGAATGAAGAAAGATGAAAAAGGCAATTCACCGAAAAATATTCACGCACAAAAATCGCAAGGATAAAATACGCGTTTGCTTTCAGAGAGAGGTGATTCATGAGCGAGTCCACACGGTTCGATCGCGCGATATTCCCCGTAAAAACCGCACAACGAGCTTAAACGCGCTTGTAATGCATAAAATATCAGTTCGAGCTCGGTATAATACGCGCATGTGTATCGTAATAATTTCCGAATCCAATTCGAGATTTTCAATCGCGTTTCGCGGCAGATCGGAATTTTTTCTACCGACCACATTTATGTACGTACTGTCGCTTTGGCTGGCCCGTGTACGAAATTGCTGCGCATTATACATACGTGAAACACGGGGCTGGGAGTAACGTAACGAGTGGGAAAGATAAGGTTCTCTCTCTCTCTCTCTCTCTTTCAGAAGCAGAGGGACTGTGTGAGAGCATTAATTAGTTTTAGCATTACGCTGCAGTTTTGCGCGAGCCCTTCGTCGCTCGAAAAAAAAGGAGGGTAAACCACAAACGTCGGTTTAAATAATTTTGCTCTTAAAAAAAAAATCTTAATTGGAGAACGTGTGCGATATTTTTGCGTGGCAGCTCTACTTTAATTCCGCAGCATAACAGAGTCTGGCGTTTGCGAACGCACAAATTTCCGAGCTCAATTGTATTGACGCTAAAAAATGAAATGAAAAAAAAAAAAAAATACCCGAATAAATAAATAGACAAATAAAAGAAGTTCAAGTTTACGCAGTGCCGAGTGCAGCTGTTTATACCGTCGTGTGTATATTGTTTTCGAATGTATGTATAGCATCGGTGGGACAATACACCGTCCACCGTATATATATACTATACGCGTTATAGGTGTTGGGCTGCAGCTGATAGCTCGGCTACAGACGTATAGGATTAATCGACGTTTCGTCGTTGTATATATGTATGACCGGTCAATGTATATACAATATGCGTGTTTTATTGCGCGATCGGTCGTACGTACGTATGCGCGATATATATTCTCTCTGTTTGTATCTATTATACAGTGCCAGGGCTCAAATTGATTGATACCGAATCGATTGTTTTTGCCTCTGTACATTATACGCGCGACGTTATACGCTCTCGATTTATACGTACGAATTTGATTTCACGTCGCGCGACGAGTCCGATTTATTACGCGTTGCGTTCTATATTATTATATGCTATACAGGAAAGACGATTGACTTTCGTGCGACGTCGAATGCAGACTTTATGCTGCGCATCGAGGTCGATTATAGCCAACAACGTTCGAGAAGCGAGCGTCGATTCGCGTTACAAAACGAATTCTCCAACGTAATTCGAATTAATTCGTATTGTAAGCGTATTACGCGATACATCGTTTGTAGTCGGAAATTTTACGAGCGTAATTTTCGAGCTTATAAATCAAAACACAGACTCGCGTGTTTATATACAGGAGTTGTGTTACGCGCGTATCAGCCTCGAACCGGATGCGAACTGGCTTCGGTCATTACGAGAAGAAAAATAAAAGGGCAGATGAGAAGGGGGAAAAATTAAATTTCTCTACGTATGAATATGAGCAGCGGCCGCGCGAAAAGGGCATAAATCACGAGAACGAAGCAATATCCTCTCGATAAATACGATTTCATAAATCATATTTACCGTGTGTGAGTGAGGGCACGAGAGAGAGAAAGAGCGAAAGAGAAAATAGGCAGCTATGCCGGCCTCACTCTAGTTTTTCTCTCGCTCTGTTTCTTACATATAATATACGCGCCCGCGCGCGAAGGGAAAACATCAGCCGCTTCTAAGCGCGCAAACTGCTGCTGCTGCTGCTTCTGTGTTGTAGCACGTCGAGGAAAATTTAAAAATAGAAGCTAATTAAAGTTTTCGCTCGCTCGTGTCCGCGCGCAAAGTCGTTAATCTTTGCCGATTCGATGCGGATCGCTTATATATATACATCCTCGCGCTCGATAGTAAATCATTCGCTCTCAACGAGTCGTGTAATACGGAGGCTGTCGGGGGAAACAAGAGGGATCTTAATTAACAACTTGTCGATCGAAGAAAAAAAAAAGTAAATTTCGTTCAACCCTCTTTAAATGGATTTACACCGTGATACAGAGTTGGGTCACCGCGTGAAAAGTGTATACACACACACAATCGAATCGCGTGTCAACTAGCCGTACGAGCGCGTCTCTGCGAAAATATAATCACGGGCTTGGCGGCTCGTAACACGCGAAAGCATTGATCGTTAAAAAAAAAAAGAAAAAGAAAGAAAAGGGAGCACAGAGAGAGAGGGACGAGCGAGAGGTGTCGATCGCATTTATGACCTTCGTGAAAAACCTAATAAACACCCATACGTTAACCCGTTTGTGTATATAAGCACACGAACGCGCGTGTGCTCGTATATATACGGCGCGGCGCGTGCAGCGGATTAAATTCAACCCCGTCCCTCTCGCTCCTTTTTCTCGCTTATTTTTTCTAGTTCATCGACGCGAAAATTGCGAAGGGAGAAAGTTACGTTGCTTTTTTTTCCTTCGGGTGTATATAGTGTGTGTGTGTACCTTTGGCTGTTATTCAATTTCCAACAACGGGCGCGCGCGCGCGAGCTCCAGGTGCTATAAAAGCTTCAAGTGTAAGATGAGCGAAAATGTTTATTTTCACTTTCTTGGCGAAACAGCACGTGCGCGTAGTAGTTTTTTTTTTTTGTCTCTTTCGCCCCGTTTTTTTTTTTCGTTCTTAATGAAATTTATCTCGCACGAGACGCGGTCGTTTACGCCTTCGGCTCCAGCTGGCGTATATATGCGTTTGTAATGGAAATATATATTTTTTCATAAAGCGCTTGACATACGCAAAGATTCTCGGCACGGCCGATGTAACGAGTAAATATGGCCCTTTCTCTCTCTCTCTGTCTCTTTCGCCAGCTGGAAGCCGCTATACGCTGCAAAATATATTGTTTTCCATAAAGATATACGTATGCGCGCGTAAATGTCCACAATTTTCAACCTACGCGTCTTCTCGCGCGGTATAACGCGCTCGCGTACGCCCCATGTATGAACTATTTTTTAGTTTTCCGAATGGTAAAATACTGGGCACATACGCACATACTTTTATTCGAGGAAGCAGGGAAAGGGAAAAAAAATTAAAAAAAAAATATCACAGTTTTGCGGTAACGCACTTCGTAGAGCGCGATTTTATCCAACCGTATCTGTGTCTGTATCTTTTGACAAAAAAACACGTGCCGAAGCATCGGAATACAATAAATCATACGTATGATCTTTTTCGTACATACGGCCGGAGGCCCGCAGGGCTTTTCCTCCTCCTGTGCGATTTTTGTTCATTTGTTTCGAAATTCTCGCAAGAGTTGCTTAAATTTTTCCGGCAGCGAAGCGCACACCCGGGTTATATAACAGGTACGTATACAAAGTATCGATTCCGCATTCCGTGAAAAAAGTAGAGAGACAGAGAGAGAGAGAGAAAAACTCTCCCCGCGGCAGGCACGGATACCGGAGATTTCTTTTCTACCTTGGCTTTCGACTCGGTGAGCTCTCTGTCCGACCATACACGTATGTATGCAGCGGCACCGAAACTTACGTGTAATATTCTCGGTCAATTCACGCAAGTATCTAAAATAAATTCGGAAAATTCGTAACTTGGCTGCACTGCGTGTGCGCTCGCGACGTATGTAACGTACGATTCGCGTATTTCACGATTCTCTCCTTTTCTCCCTTTTTCTTCGTCTTTCCTTTTTTTTTTCTCTTTTCGAAGCTGAATCGCGAAAAATCGTATTATTCATCTTATAAAACGTACTTTTCTACGGTTAAGACTCTTTATACGAGCGGAGAAATTCGAGGCACGTCTCGAGTTTTGTCTAATCGCTTCGTTAAATCCTTTCTGCCGCGTGCGCTCCCACAAGCGTCTTTTCGCCTCGCCGAGCTTGCTCGTGTACGGGCGCCTGGCCCGGCTCGAGTCGATTTTATTTTTATTTTTCCTCCGACCCGCGCAGAACTCCGTAACGGGAGAAGAGAAACTTGGCTACAAAGGCATTTTTTCGTGCTTCTATGTGTGTGTGCAGAGCGTATCCGCGAGTGCTTTGCGCGACTCTCCTAACGAAGCCAATCAAAGTACGCACGCACGCGCTTCTATGCGGCGAAAATAAAAAATGAAAAAAAAATATTGGGATCCAACCGCGAACGCACGCGAAATTACGATTGAGATCTTTTGAGAGATTTCTTACTGTAATGCGAGGGCGTAAGACTTGATACACTATAGTAATTTACCAAAAATGGCATTAAAGACGCGGGGCAGGAAAAAAGGAGGGAAAAAAACAAGAGTCTTGGGTAAAATTCAGACAGGGTAGTATTTTAAAAAGATCGTAAAGGTGTGCGGAGAGCGTCGTAAAAGCTCGACATTTATGCATACATTTTACAATCGCCTCGAGTGTATGCCGGAAAGTTAAGAGGCGGAAGCTATAATTTATGTATTAAAGCCGTTATTAAAACAAAATATCCATTTGGTATGCGTATTTTTTTTTTCTTAAAAAAGATTGGAAATAAATTGAATTTTACTTTACAGCGTTTTCGTGTATTATTATGACGTTTTACCGATCGGTTGAGATGAATTTTCAAAGAGAATTAATCGAGTCTCTCTCAAACTATCGGTCACATTGTCGCAACGAGTTCAATTACGTGTCGATGCATCGCATGTTTATGGATTATATTATAATCGAGAAATGCTATACATTATGTAAATCGAGCGCTGCAATAGAATTCGGCGTTTATAACTGTATCAACTCGGCGCATTATAATTCGATGAATTTGATTAATTTGCAACCGAAGCCTTTGTTTACTAAATACGTTGGAAATTCTCTCTCTCTCGATATATATATTATATATAATTGATTTGGCGCATTTAGAAGGTTTGACCGAGCTTCGATTCGTTTTGCGCTCGGCCTCGGCTCTCAAAGATTAGCTACGTATACAATACGCGCGGATCGATCGCTCATCATCGCTCACGGCTCGCGCCGAAGCAAAAGCTTTTACACAAAGGAAGAGCGATATCTTATTTATCCTTTTGTTGCAGAAATTAATCCGCGATTTATATGTATATAGAAAAAAAGCGTGCGCGCGCGCGCGTCCCGTACATATACACGCGAGGCCAGAGAAGCGCTCGTGGATTTAGAAAAAAAAAAAGTAAGAAAAGGCTCGGATTACTGTTTACGATGAAAAGTGACGGGGGAATATAATCTTATCAGGATGACAAACAGCCAAAGAGGATCTTTCACTCCGAAGATAGAGGAAATTGCTAACGGAAAAGATAAAAACTCGAACTTATACGTGTACGAAAAAAAAACAACCAGATCGTTGGGAAGTGAATTTTTGAGATAAAAAAAAAAAAAAAATACACGAGTCGGAGTCTGGACTTTTCGCGAAATATGATAATAAAATTTTCGACATCTCCGAGAAACTCCGGGATAAAAGCTGCTGCATCGTAGGTGGCTTACGAGTCGATCGAAGCTTTATATCATCAATATGTAAAGCCCCGCTGTAATGCCGTTAAAGTCGACTCCGCGAAATACACCCTTCGGTACAGGGCTGCGCATGAAGTATTTATTTTGCTCACTCACGCGAGATATGCTCCTTTGGTGGCGGGCAAAAATTCCTCGCGATCTATGCTGGATTGCTCGTCTCCCACCTCGAAGCTGACGCTGAAATATTCGCTACTGGATACCTGCAAAAAAATAATAATAATAATGAAAGGTAAGGATAGAGAAAAAAAAGAACGACATTTATTGTGCACGATTTATTAATGCAGATCTCGCGCTCGCTCGAAAGCTGCAAGAGTCCGTGTCGTGTATGTTTTTCTTTCTTTTTCACTTATACATATTTATGATACGTTCGCTGCCCGAATTGCAGCTAAAGCTTTTGACGAAAAAAATATTTTTCGAGAAACATTTTTTTTTGCTGAAATAAAAATTTCAAACTTCGAGCACGCGTATAGCGCGGAGACCGGGACAAAAGTTGCATTTCTACTTACGCAATATCAAATCTGTCAAAGGGAAATCCGAGAGGTATACTCTGTAAAGTTGAATTTTGTATCGCTCATACGTATCAGTATCAGCAGTGTATATAAGATGTCGAATTATATCAAAATATAATTGTTCGATTTATAATTCAGGCGAGTTTGCCAATTTCTTTCACCTCGGGGATTAATAATATTTTCCAAAGTCGTTTGACACGCTCTCACTTCATATATACGTTGTTGTTTTTTCAAGGATTCAATTGAAAAGAAAAAAAAGGAAAAGGTAAATAAAATCGATCCACTTCAGACTAAAAATGTTCAGATACACAACTTCTCGTGTATACGTATGTGCTTCTGCAAAAAAGAGTCGATGTAACGAGATCCCTGCTTTCGAGCGCCAATTTACGTCGGAAAAATGCGCGACTCGCATATCTCTCGGTTAAGAAGACCATGAACCGAAGAAGAGGAAAAAATGTAGGTAATATTGATTTTACATCGCCGTCGCGTGCAAGTACGCGTGTTCACGCAAAAGGAAATTGATATACGGAATGGATTTACACGTGTGCTCGAGTGGCTGCTTAAAAAAACTGAGTCACACACGTGCTGCAAATGGCCAATATCGAAAAACAAGGCGCGTGTAATTTTACGTTCGACTTTCCATTATAAAAATTCTGTGAATCACGCGATCGCGTAAAATAAATCCCGAGATTCGAGTTGCAAGATTAGTTTCGTGATTTTTCGCGTATAGGGTTTTTTTTTTCAAAAAAAGCTCCAATCGCTCTCGGTCCATAAATTATCAACTACGTTGCCACTGGCGCAGCGAATTTTCCAATTTCCAATCAAGTCGATCGTGCGTATAAAAGTTGACGGACAATAATTTTCCGCGTGGCGTATTGCGATGTAACCCGCCAAAAAGCCCCGAAGTAATAATTATTGATTCTCGCGCGCGCGCGCGCGCAGGTACAGTTCTGCATATATTACATCGCAAGGAAAACTCCGGCTCGCGCGCTCAAAGAGAAAATTAGGCAGAAGCGGTAACAGAGCGAGAGTATTATATGGTAAAACGGAATATTAATTTTCTGCGTCGTTAAGCCAACTGCTGCTCGATCGAATAGATAGAACTTTGACGGCGTTTAATAATGCTCCGATTCCGATCGAAAACGACACACGTTAATCAGAATCTAATTATTCTATGGATCGAGCCGGCGATGAAGCAAAATAAAATTCAATTTGTACGTCACATCCGCAGAGTCGAATCCTTCGCTTAACAGATGTAAGCTTCGACGTGGCCGTGTTTTGATTTTGAAACGATGCAGTCGACACGGGATAATCCTTCGTGTTTACCCTCTTCGACAAACCACCTGTTGTTGTCGACGAACGATCGTGTTTTATTGTTGTATTGTTAAATTTTCATGTATTTATAAGTGTTAAAGGAATCAATGATTAACTTTGACAGTTTACTATTTTATTTTTTCCATGAGAGGTAACTGATGTTTATTTTGAACGTTGCTTATAAACTATAAAAATGTACAATTGATTATGGCACGTGTAGAATTGATCTTGAAGTCTAAAAGCTTACAGATGGTACTTACAGCTAGTAGCTTACAGAAAATACAAGAAAAGAAACTTAAAAACGAACAATTTTCAGTCTAATGGTCTCTTTTGTAAGTACTCTTTTGTGCCGCAGTAGTAGGGTATCATTCCTTCCAGCATCGTGAAAAGATATTTACATATGATAAAACGATGGGTTTGATGTTAAAATTTACAGAAATGGCTACTATTGCTGATTGAAATTGTATAAAACAAGATGGTACGATGTTACAATTTACACGTGGCACTATTAGTTAAGATTAACTATTACAGCTTTATAAAGATGTTACACGTAGATGTTGAAATTCGTATGTGACAGGGCGCGGCTACCACTATGGGACGATGTTGGTCAGAATTAAACCTCATTAAAATTAATAAGAAACAGAAATGAAAGCACTACGGAAGTGAGATGCCTAAAAGGCAACTTAAAAATAAAAAAAAAGATTCTGTTCCTCCAGCTCATAACTCGTTACGAGGCTAGCTTAATTCTAATTCCCATGGCACTACTGATATCGCACGCTGGATTTGAAACTATTCGGATCGGTTAATATAGATTACGAGCTATTGGCAGTTGGCGGCTTTAGAAATTAATTTGTTCTTTAAAAAAAAAAGTAAACTATTGCTGCGTTGGCACGAGAGCTAGGTAATTCGTATGTACAATAATTTCAAAAAGCGATGATAATTTTCGTGAGCGTGGAATATTTACAATTTAGATGGAGATCAAATGAAAGCCAAGCTTAAACTTCTAGATGTTTACAGTTACTAGGACGCTACTCGGCGAAGCAGAGAAACGTCGAATAATATTGGTTCGGCATTTACGCGTAAATTATCAAACTGGCACAGCCAACGAGAACGGACTGGATGTTTCGGATAATCTACTAGTAGGAACACGTGGTGGCTCTTTACCCGTCACCCTATTGTAATCTGTTAAACCCTTTTTTTTTGCATTTTTGTGTTAAATTTTTTCCCCTTTGACCCTTAAACCATAATTCAATGCGGTATGTACAATTAAATAGACTTAAGAACTGCTCTTGACTGAAAACTTACGAGTTAAGAGCTTAAGAGATACGTTACAAATTAACGAACACAGACTTAAATGGTAGGTAAACTCAGCAGGATAATAAATAATAATAGCAAAGGGGCTCGCGATGATCGCGATCCTGACCTATTGCTTCTACATAAACTAATCACTGGGTTAATCGGTCCCACTTGGAATGTTATCAGCTATAATGTACCTTACTCGCTAGGCTGCGACGTTCAATGATCAGTTAATATCCTCTCAATTTTTCTACGCGTCCTTGTGTATGGTCTCTCATCTCCTTCGCGCGACAGCGTCCCGACCTGGCTCCAAGCTCCATGACTCGTCGGCAGTGTCGGTGCCTCGTGCGAGCTGGGAAGTCCCAGGGCCGGCTCGGATCGACGAAGGTCCGCACGTCGTCCACGTCCTGGAAGTAGATCCTCCTCAAAGGGTCGCGCTCGTCGATCGTTCCCGGACGCAGCGCGACGTGCTGCACGTTGGAGACGACATTGACGACGACTGCGTTGACGGTCCCGACGTAGTGCTACTATGAATAGTGCTGGACTCGGTGCTGTTCGCCGCCGAGCGATGTACGTCTCGCAACGTGCCATGACTGATGCCTGCTTCCTCTTCTTCTCGCCGATGACGGGTGATTTGGGCGCGATGTCGATGCGCGTTGCGACCCACGTCAAAGGTTCCAAGGAGAGAAGCAATCACCTGGGACTTGGATGGGCCAACTTGATGACGGTTTGAGACCGAGCCGAGCTTCGGCGCTCGTATTTATACGGAACCGACCGAGGGATAATTCGTGGCACCGATGGTAGGGGCGAGTCGCTCGATCGTTTGCTAACGAACTAATCGCTGCTCGCTGTACACGTCGAATTACACTTACATGTGTACGCGAAATTGACACTCACACACGCTCGACACATCGACACAAAGTCCATGTGACGTGTATACAAAAATAACGTATAAAGCCGAACGATGTAATACGTGCGCGAGCCGAAGCTCGATATAAATTTTCTTGTTTTTCAGCTCGCGTACATATTGTAAAAAGTTACACCGTAAAAACCTGCTATAAATGGGTCTTGTTCTTTTTTTTATCTTCCCTCGGCGCGTCTCTATATACCGGAGAGGCACGTACAGACGGCGCAGGGCCGAGGAGAAGACGCGCGCTATAAGTTCTTTATCACTCGCGCCCCGGAACTCCTTTCTCGGAGCTTTATCTGCTCTTCGCGCTTTACGTACTTCTTTTTTTCGCAGTACATACGAGTGCGCATAATCTTTATTCTTTTCTTACTCTCGATGTTCGAGGAAGAAGGTGAAAAAATATAGCGAAAGTCGATAAACTCACTTGGGATCTGGACAATTTGTGTCTGGTCCTGTTGGGTCGACCCGTGCCGTCGGCCGACGCGGCGCTCGGTACCAGGAAGCGAGTCGACGACGACGACGACGCGGGCTCGCCGAAGGTTTGCGAGTGATGATGATGCAGCTGATGATGATGATGGTGTGGACTCTGCTGGGCCTGTTGCCGCTGCTGCTGCGGCTGCTGCTGCTGCTGCGGCGACGACGACGAGGACGATCCACTGCCGAGCGTCTGCTGCTCGGCACCGGCGTCGAGCATGCTCGAGCCGAGCGCGTCCAGCTGCGTCAACGATCGCGAGCGCACCTGCAACAAAAGGAGAAAAAAAATCCAACGTTACAAATGGTGTTCGTTCGAGAGAAAATTACGCGTCGATGAAAGAGAGGGAGTAAATTTTCACATCGCGCGCCAAAGTCACACACACACACTTACGGTGGATTTCAAAAGGAACAGTCGCGGTAGAGACTCCCTTTTCTTTTTTTTTTTTTTTTTTTAGCGTTGCGGAGATGAAAAGTAGGCCGCGAGCGCACATACGGTATTACCCCGGCGATACGTGGCCGTATTCTATCAGAGAGCTCGTNAAAAAAAAAAAAAAAAAAAAATAAAGAGAAGGAAAAGAGAACGAGAGGAAAAGTAGCGGCTGTGCGCATGGGATCGAAAAACATCGTGTGGGTGTGCGTGCGTGCGTGTCGCTGATCGACAACTCCGAGTCAATGAAAATATGGTGATTTTCTTTTTATGCGCGCGCGAGGATATATAATGCTCTGCGGAGGTTTCAAACGTCGTTTTATTCGTAAAATACAAAATGCGAGATTCCGTATATGTACGTGTGTGTACGTACACTACTCTTTTGCCTTTTTTTTTCTTTTTGATATAGTTTGAAAAGAGAGAGAGAGAGAGAACGACGGAGAGAAAAAAAGAGGAAAAAAACACGATTATAACTCGTTCGACGTGAGTACATTTTTTATGATACATCGGGAATCTATTTATCAAAGTGGAAGTATCGATAATCGATGAATACAAATATTTTATTCAAAATGCGCGTTCGTGAATCAGGCAGCAGTAGCAGCAATGCACAGCCTGCCTACGTATACCTGTAAATTGATTTCACGATCGAGCGTAGAAAAATTTTTAAAAAACGCATCATGGCCATATCGAGGCTATTACTATTAATTTTGCGAGCTTCGCCATTGAGTATATGCTATTGAAAGCTGCGTTATGCACGAGGGTAGCTCGATGCGTGCGCGCAGAGGAGTCTAGCGCAAAAATGAAAAACAGAAAAGAAAAATAAAACAAAATGAAATAAAATTCAAATGAAAGAGTTCATAGAATAAAGTGAAAAAAATTTGCTTGATCCAAAAGATCTCTTTTCTCGGCATCTATATAGTACATATTATACGTTATAGCAGCAGCAGCAAGAGCAGAACTTTTGACTCGAACAACTTTCATTTTGTCGCACGCAAGAGAGAGAGAGAAAGAGTTGAAAAAAGAACGAACAGGGCCACTTTTCAGCGCAGGAACAAAGTAATAATTACGTTCTCTAATACAGATTCCCTTTAACTCGCATTTGTAGCCTGCGTATAAAAGAAAGTGGCACGCACGCGCGCACGCATCGCAGGTACGAGCTAGATTGAAAAAATTGCGCCGCCCTCGTGTTTTTCGCTACACGAGCGACAACGCGGCGCGTACGAAATTTTGCACGGGAAAAATTGACAAGAGAAATTTTCTTCTCTTCTCTCTTTATCTTTTTTTTTTTTGCCGGTTCCCGGCTGACTATGCGTTACATGCATGATGTCCTCCGTCGAACAATTCTCACGATTCGAATTTTCATTGCCACGCACATAGTACATCGTGTGTACGTGTTACCATGCTCTTTTCTTCGCAAAATGTTTGGTTCGAGAGCTCTTGAAACTCGTGAACAATTCCGGGCCAATTGGCCGAATGGCTCACAAATTGTCTTTTGTTATTATCGAGACGAGAGTTTTATATAAACAATAACTTAAAACTCGGGAAAATACAAGCGATTCTAACGAGCTTAATTTCAAAAGTATTAAATCCAATTATTACATGCTATATTCACGGGCACGTCGGCGCGTGCAAATGCGTTGTGCTTTATCAACCGCAGCGCAAGCACGAGTGGATCAATCCTGTAACCCTTTGACACCAAACACGATCCTCACATGTACATACACAGCTCGCAGTATCAAATTCATTCATTTGCGAGCTTATATGCATATCGATTTGCGCACGCGAATAATCGAACTCGAAGCTCGCCCTATGCGTATCGAGACTCGAGTGCAGCTCGACGAGATTATATTAACGAAGCTCGAGGATCGCCTTCTAAATGCCATTGTAAAACAACGGCAGCGGTAAGAAACGAAATGATTTTCGTCATATACGGCATGTACACGCATTGTGCAGGACGTAACAATCGACGATGACAATGTGACGTCGAGCTCGAGTCGAGCTTCCACATATAATGTATTACACGAGCATCATGTGAATTTGCGCATTTGATCACTGCAGCGCGTAATGCAGCGGCAGCAGCAGACTTTGAAGGCGGCACACGATCGGCATTAGTATAGCAGTGGATAGTGGAGGCATTTAAACCGTTTATATACAGCTCTCTGTACCACTGCGCATAGTGTGGCTCGCGCGCATGGCTTGTTATATACACTGCGCGGAGCTCGTGCTCTATAGGCTGCGGAATTAGCAGTTGGAGTAGAGCTTTAGGTATATACCGCACTACGCAGCTATAGACCAGAGCCACAGAGAGAGATATGTAGTGTGTGTGTGTATGCAGCAGCAGTTTACACGAGAGGCATGCAAAGCGAGGCCAATATACGGTTGCACCACTGCAGCCACGGCGGCGGCGGTGGTGGTGCCCTTTTGCCTTGCGCGCGCTTGAGGTTTCCTCGTAGTGCATATGTACGAGAGAACCCCGTGTTCAGAGAAAGCTTCATGATAATAAGTGCGCAAAATTATGAGAGCTGTGGGTATGTTGTGTTTCGCTTGTATAGAGACTCGCTCGCTCGCTTTTTGTATACGAAGCGGACTTTATGTTATATATGTATTATAATAAATAGATATTCAAGTATTGTGCGAAACCGCTACAGCTTCGCCGTACACGTGTAACGTTGGTTTTGAATTTTGCGTATAAACACGCGTTCAACAATAATTGTTACGATGTACGAACGAACGTCTGTGTGTGTGTCGATATGTTGCTGTTAAAACTAGGCCATCTGCGAACCGATATTACAGACGTATATAAACAAATGACTTTCTTCAAAACTATGTCTGGCGTTATGTATACGATATTACTGTATAATCTATCTCTCTCGCTCTCGTGGCTATAAATATTCATTTAAGCAAATGCCGTTTCAGCCGGGACAAAACGATGTACAAAAAACTGAAGTGAAGGAAAAAAGGAAAAAACCATTATCAACGAACATTTGCCTCCAGCTCCCTCTCTCTCTTTCCCTTTTTTTTTTTTTTGTTACTTTGCTCATCGGTGTGTGTATTATATGGACGTGCCCCTGTAGAGATTGAGAGAGCTCTTTCGAAGAACATCGATTTTTGCTGCGCGCAAGGAAGACGCGAACAAAGCACATTCGTTACTATTTTGCTGTCTATGCAACCACCTCGACGAACCGTCGAAATATTTCCTCTGCGCCTGTCCCGCGCGCTACGCTGACTTTTACATTTTTCTTTGCTATTTTCTCCTTCGTTTTTTTTTTTTTTTTTATTATTCTCATGCATCTTTATTTTAATGACGTGTCGTTGTTTTATATACATTATATTTTTTTTCTCCTTTGGAGCCTGAGAGAGTTCGAGTTGTTTTCCACCTAGTCCCCCCGCAAACCCAACCCCTATTTTCCTTTGGCTGTCATTGTTGTTGCCGCGTTGTTGCCGTTGTTGTTTTTTTTTGTGACTCGGCTTCATAAGCAGGTCTAAAAGGTGGTTCGCTGCAGCCAGTGTAACGCAGCACAAAGCGACCGTTGGTTTTTTGTGTCGAAGTATTTCTCCGCGCGTGCATTAATTCACACATGCGTCACTCTCTTACAAAAATATTTTAATTGTATAAACCACTTGAATTTTTTTTTTCAACAATTTGTATATTCATCGACTCGTGCGCCAAAGTTCGAAGAATATTGAAAAAATTATGCACAAACTCGGGGAAATGGAATATTTTAACTTCAAAAAGTCGAGTCGTAGATTATCGACATTTGCGTAAAAGTAAACGCAGAAGAAAAGATCAATCCTTCGCGTTTTTTTTTCGTCAGAGTCGCTATTCACAAGGAAAAACAGGTGGTGCAAATCGAAGCTGCGAGAGCGAAGCGCGCGGAAATGCCAGTGGCGCGCTTCGACGTACACATTGCACACGGCACTCGCACGCGAGCACCCAAGCGCGCCAACTTTTCGCGCGCGAAAAGCACAAAAAGACCGAGACGAAAACTCGCTCGGTATATATAATAATATATAGAAAAAAACTCGATGTTTACGTCACGATGGCAGCTCGCGAAAGCCAACAGAGAGATAGATATGGACTGCGAGGCGAAAAATGCCCAGAACTTTCTCACTTTTCAATATTTGCGTTAAAATAACGCGCGCGCCCGCGATAGCTCTCGGGACGGGAACGAAGAAGAAGTTGACGGTGAAAAAAAAAATAATGAATGAAACTTACAAATTGACTAAATTGGAATTAAGTCGAGGCAAGCAAAAAAAAATTACGAAGCTTCACGAAGCTTGTTTCTGCCATCGCGTCTGTCAATAATAACATTTTGAATAAATTATTCTTTTTTCAAAAGTAATATAGAAATAGCGATTGCGAACGAATCTCTTTACACTTCATTCGTTTTGCGCACAATTTTTCCGAGATATTTTTAATTCCGTTTTTCACGGATCTCAAGCTTAATTAAATCTCTGCTTATAGGCAATAAATAATTAGCGACGAATAACGATCAATTATTCAAGCTAATTCATACTTTGTGAATAATAACAGGCTTAATAGGTGGATTAATAATTTCGTTCCGTATAAAATATTCCCGCCCAGATTCATTGAAATATTCATTCAAATGGATTTTAATAATTCGTTGCGAAAAGAAAGTGTAGAGAGATAGAGCGAGAGAAAAACAGAATGTTTTAACCAGCCACGGGCGTATCCTGCGCCGCGCGTTCGAAACAATCGTGTTGTATAGCAAAAACCGACTTTTCGTGATCAAACTAGTCAATTCCAGCTACGAGAAACACATTGTATCAAGTTTGTAAACATCTTGTTTTCCAACACTTTTCTCTTTCGAGAGATC